AGGCCTTTGTCATTTACATCACCTTCTGAATCTCCACTGCCCTTCTGTTGTGACTCGATGACCTCTGACCAAGGATGGTCAGCATTCGAAGACCCTGGGAGGTGTAGGGAGTAGTATACTCCCTGAGGCTGAAATAGGGATGCCAACACCAAAATTCCACCATTACCATCCACATCTGTTGTCTTCAGAATTATCCCATTTGCCTCATGCATTGCCTTGTGTGCCACCTCGCCCATCAAACCTTCGGAGCTTCCCTATCCATCAGTAATGCACATCAGTCATTGTCCCAAAATTCTGTGTCAACATCAACCTGACATTCGTCTATCCAGAATTCCACAGTCATGTCGCCTCAACCCTCGCCTCGCCACATAGCTGGGAAGCCACACAGATCATCAGTAAAAACTCCAGTTACCCCTCTCGTTCCTTTCCCACAAACCTTTCTCTGCAATGCGAGAACCCCTTTCTACCTATGGCCTCTACCCTTCATGTTCCACTCTACAGTACAGTGCACACTCGTCCTGTCAGAAGATACCCATCTTTCCCCTTGTCTTTCTCAGTTGCTACCTTACAGTTTGTTTTCACACGTTGCTGTATGGCTTTGACATCTGACATGTCATCCCCTTTATTTTTCGGAGTTTTGCTTCTCCCACCCCACATTTCTCTGATCAGTACCTTACTCTCCATGTACTATATAATTCTGCCTCAACGATGGAAAAATACCACCCATCTTTTTGGAGTCACAATCTGTGTATTTGTGAGTCTAAGTGTTCAAAGAGTCATCTGTGCCCTCTGTGGCTATTGTGTATCAGCATCTTCTGTGTCTTTCATGTCCTCTGTGTATCTGCATCACCCATGTCCATCCCCTCCTTTGTGTCCCTGTGTCTAACATGTGTCTTACTCATCTCGGAATTACTTCTTCACCTCAAGATCATCACTCAGAATTTCATAACCAAGTCAATTCATACCCAAATTTTCCACAGCCCTGCAGATCTAATTTCCGCACCCTACATTCAACTTCCTAGCTGTCTCTACCATCGCATTATACATCTCCTTCCTACTCAGCACCCCTTGGGTCGAGCCTAGGGATTTCCCTACAGCTTTCCCCCTATTCGCATGCTACCCAGAGGTAGTGTCCCACACTGCTCTCCTCCCCATCCCCAAGTTTGTGCACAAGAACAAGCATATTTGCAGCCTCCTCAAAGATAGGCTCATTCATGAATGCCTGGATATCATACTTGAACCTGTCAAGCAAGCTGCCAAACTCAGCATTATGTTACCAGATTCTCTGGGGCACATGCGGTACTGTTTCATGCCAATTGCAGGTTATATCACCAACACTCCCAAGGCTGCCATGCTTGCAGCTGTTGGGGGAAAGACTTCCCTGATCACCATGGTGATGTACAAACAGTTTGGAGACCCATTCTGACATGAGCCACGAACCATGTCCACCACTTTGGCTCAGCTTGCAGCAGTGAAATTGAAGGTCCACCCTACAAACATCCAAGTCTTCTTTCACAAATCACAGTGCTTTTGCCTCAGCAGAGTTAGTGACCCATTTTGGAGGGACATTCCACTTTCTTGTCCAAGCACTTTTATAACTCTGGAGCCCCTTCACCACCTGCACAAGGAATTTTGGGACCACAACATGAAGTGGTGCATAAATGTGGTTGGTGAAGCCAAAATCGACTTTTGCTTCTCAGTTTTACAGCCTACTGCAGGGTTCTGTCACTTTAAAGGTGGTGTTGCTAAGCTGAAGCAGGTGACTGGATGCATGCACCATGATGTCCAATGTTACATTTTCAGTATTATCACTGGAGCAGCCCCTCCCAAAATTATTACTGCTATTCATGTGCTCATGGACTTCTGATACTGAGTCCAAGCTTACCACATTGACGATGATGATCTTTGTATAACATCTTCTGTACTGGACAAGTTTCATGTGCACAAGCAGTCGATACTTGATCATGGTGCATGACATGGTAAGGGAAACAAGCCCATCAACAATTGGCACATCCCCAAGTTAGAACTCATGCAGAGCATCATACCAAGTGTGAAGTGTGTTGCAGTCACCATCCAATGGACTGCCAATGTAACTGAACATGCCCATGTATTGGAGATCAAGACACCCACATCAACTAGCAATAACAATAACTATGATCCTCAAATTTGCCAGTACCTTGATTGCACTGAAAAATGTAGGACATTTGAACTTGCAACATCATTATATGAATCAAAGACTCACTCCCATGGTCGTGCAGAAGAAAAGTCCTTGGAGATTGAGGATGGGAGTTCTGATGGTGGTGACAGTGAGATCAGTGATTGTGAGGAGGCAAATCTAGTTTCCAAGACACCAGGTCCTGCATGGCCCATCACTGATTACTTCACCATCTCTGTGCGCCTCAGGACCCAGGATCCAGACTCCATTCCCTTCCCCTTGCATAGTTTTATCGCAGATGGTATGGCGATCAACCTTTCCTATGACCCACCCTTGCAATGCATTAGTGTTGATGGTGCTGCCAAGAAGTTTGGACTACTTGACCTCTGAGCTGCCCTTGTTGATTTTCTAAATCATGAGAAGGTGTATGGACCAAGCCCTGTGCACACTATAAGTGGGCAACATTGGGGATCAAGCTCTTCAACCCTGCCTTTTACCAATCTGCAGGTTTGGTACAAGATGTGGCTGCAGAACACAGCAATACATGATATCACAGACATCCTCCCTGCCCAGACTCTCTTCTGTTCTCCACCTTGCAAGACCTGGACCCTTGGCCACTCTGATGCAGCTATCATCAATGTGGACCCCTGTTTCAAATGACCAGAGAGTGGCTTGAAAGGTTCATGGTCCACAGTACTTTTCCATGTCACTCACAAGAGTATCTTAGGTCATGTTGTTGGCCAGCTCCATCTCCTGATGTGCCCTTTTGGCAAGAGGGTCATGGACAGACTGTTTTTTGGTCTATGTACAACATTTTGACATAGCAGCTGAAGATGCGACACACCTACATATCCTTAGGCATGCAAAGAGAGCAAATGGCCAATGTCTTGGCAATGTCATCCTGCTCAGTCAGGTCCAGGCATTCACACGTCTCATACCTTGCTTTGGGAAAACTGCAGATAATCAATTGATGGCATACAACTCCTTTGAGCATTCTACCAAATTCTATCTCAACAAATACTTTGACAAAAATATGTACTTTGCCCTAAGTTGTTCAGACTCTCCTCCCATCTGGTCAACATACATGTTACCTTACTGTATACCAGAGCTTATTACATGTTAATGTTGAAATGCATCAGTATTTTGAGTGGTGGCACCATTTTCAAACATGTGACCCTACTTGGCAACATCCCTCAGAAATGTCCAAAGACTCAAACAAAAACAGATATCAAACAATAGATGGTACCTACAAGCTGATCAGTTCTCTCCCCCTGCCCAAACACAGCTGCATGGTTCATGTTATGGACAAGTTCACTGCTTCAGAACTTGAGGGCACCATCATCTGTGAACCACAGATACAAGTTAGCTCTCCTCAGAGCCTCGGTTATGTTACAAATATTATCTTTGAGTCCTTCAGAGATACATTCACCTCCATAGCTCCCAGGTCCCTGATTGTCCCTCTGAAAACAATTCCTGCATGTATCCATAGCTATTCCACCTCCTTCAACCAGGGTGGCTTGTCAGAGGACAGCCTGGACAGCCTATACAACAATGATAAAAAGTGCTGGAACTGGGAGCTTCATCCACCCCCAGGCTCTGATTCACCTCCCAAGCAGCCCAGGCCACTTGCCTCAGAGTTGCCAGTAGAATTGGAAAAGCTCTGCTTTGAAAGGCAAGTTTCTCTGTTTCTCAATGCTATCAGAACTGCCACCAAATCCATGATGCCCAGTCTATCCAGCAAACCCCAGTGTCAATGGATGGCAGACTGGAGCAGAACCAGCTTGTGAGGTTCTACAGGTTATTCCCGAAAGCCCAACCTCATCCTTGTCAATAACACCCCAGTATCCCTCAATGAGATTGCATGGTTAAGTCCCAAAGTCATCACCAAGTACTCAAAGGAGTCTTTCAAGCCAGCATCCTGCCTTGGGAAGATGAAGGACACTAAGGCATATCTAACCCTCATCAACTAGCCCTGGAGGTGCTATGCCCTTGGATTATCAATTACTGATAGTGAACTTCTTCAACTTCACTTTTATGACCACTCTGGTGGTGCAATCTCACCCTCTATCAATATCCACACTGATGCAGAAGTCTTCATATACATTGTGTATGTGCCATTGCATTTGGCTCCCACTCAACCCTTGGCTTTGATTCAACCATAGAGATATCCCCCCATCCTGCACACAGCTGCAAATGCACAGCACTTGCGATACCTCTCTCCCCTTTCCCCTCTCCTGCAATGCCTTCTCCTCACTTGGAGTTGGGCATCCTCCCCAGTGCAAACTCACTCCTGACTCCCACATCACCCAAACACATCCCAGCAATTGGGAGGATCCAAGTAAACAAGACCTTCTACAAGGTGCTTGATGTATTATTCTCAAGCACAGGCTTTCTAGGAAGGGGTACTGTTTGTTACCTCACACACTACAATGGGGAATACTACATCATCAAGGATTATTGGGTGGAGGAGTCAGAGCAGAGGACAGCCCTGCACAAAGTCAACATGATGAAGCTGGTCCAGGACATTGATGGAGTTCCCAAGTTGCAACACTACTGGGTCATTGAGGTTGAGCCAGGCATTGTTGATAAAACTGAACAATATCATCATGAGAAGTGGTGATTGTGCATGAAGTCTTGGAGAACTCACATGCGATTGGCTATGAAGCCATGTGCAAGGCCAATGGTAATGTTCAAGACAAAAAAGGAACTCGTTTCATGCATCCAAGATATTTTATGAAGTATGTATCCTCTTCCACTTGTAAAATCAATACTAATTGCTTTAACAGTCCAACAGCAGGCTCTTGAGAGGGGTGTCCTCCATCGAGATTGTAGCATCAACAATACGATGATCAAGGGCTTCACAAATGGGTCATATGGCTTTCTCCTCGACTGGGAATTTGCTGTATGGGTCATGTTACAGGGGGAATATGACTTGGGCAGCACAGTAAGTACTATGCAAAACATTTTGGAACTTGAAGCTGATAGTACATAAAGGGGACAGTCCCCTTCCTTTCAGTGAATATCCTTTGCCAACTCAAGGAAGCCATCACTAAAAGTGGAACTAATGTCCCATCAATCCAGAAAAGTGCCTCTCTCACCCACATATTCATTGATCACCCTACTACTATACACCATACATTTGCAGACAATATCAAATCCCTGTTCTACATTTTCATCTGGATCCTCATCCTTTATGATGGGCCACTTGGCCATGAGTGTCAAGATATCAGCCATGAAAAGACACTTCTTGGCTTGTGGAGTGAAAAGGTGGCTGAAGATCTCAAAATCACCAGATGTGCCAAGTTCACATTCCTTAATGACCCATCCAAATCAAGGCTGGATTCTGAGGTCTCACAATATTTTCAAGATCTAATCCCTCTGGCTAATGAGTGGCATGTATTGCTTGGGCAGTCCCTGCTGAGTGGAACTGCAGTGCAGTTCTCTGACACTATCTCCCTTTTAGATTGTTTCTTGGCCAGCATGCTATACAAGAAACCACCAGAGATGATGAATGCATTCCAGCAGATCATCGCCCAGCACAAAGCACTTAATTTAAGCATGCATCCAAGTCAGGAGAACAATATGGATGTTATGTCTTTGGCAATTATGTCTTCTAAATGCCTTTGTGAAGAGGTAAGGAGCATGGATAACCCTCCTATACCCAATAAATGCTTCAAAGGCATGTAGTCTTAGCATGAATTTTATGTTTAGTTCACATTCTGTACATTACATGTAAAGTGTTTCAATTCATTTGCAGTGGGTAACCATCTCTGTGCATTGTTTTGTTTTACATCTCATGATGAACCTGTCAATGTTTATATGGATTCACAAGATGTCATTTCATCATGGTCCCCAGGCTTCCATCTTATACTGTTCTCTGCTTAACTGCTTGTACCTTCAGATGTCCACCCAATCTGGAACAATCCCACCAAAAAAGAAGGATAGCAAAAAAGCCAAACAATGACCAGAGGCTGACAGAAGCACTCCACCTGCAAAAAAAAAGTGTCTAGGAAGCCCACCCATGATCTCAAAGAGTCTCAGTCTGTTGCCACAGCAGGACTCCATCATAGCAGAAGGGCAGGGGTGGGTTCAGGTGGAAGGGCCAAGCAATTGGAGTGGATTGGTACTGCCCTTGAAGGCCAAGCTACATGGCTGTGAAAGTTGATGGATCTCCCCAACAATTCCATTGTAAATCCTCTTGCACCTCTGCCCACTTGGCAGAAAAAGGGTGGGGGCTGCAGTGCTGGCCAGAATGCAAAACTGAAGGTCAGTTCTAGTTATTTGCAAATATCAAGCTAACCACTTGCAAAGTCCAATGCTGCCCCACCACCCTACATGCCTCCCATTGTGAATGGTCCTAGCCCAGCTGATATGCCTCTGGTGAGTGTCTTTTCATAGTGATATACAATGTTCATTTCAGAATCCTGTCCCTCAGTCTTCAACAGCAGTAGCAACACCTGTCTTCCATCAGTGCCCCACAGACTCCCATTGCTTTGGTTTCAGTATTCCAGCTCAACAGCTGGGTCATATCATGCCTCCCGTGATGGAACCTGACCTTCAAGTGCTCAATAATCCTTATATTGCTGCAATTCAGGGAGACCAAGTTCCCAGTAATACATCTCATCCACCAACACCCCAGCCCAACTACCAGTCTCAGTTTATCCCCCACCAGCCACCTGCTACCATCCCTGACTCTTGTATCAACCCCTCCCTTGATAGCTCACTCTCATCGAGACAAACTTCAGCAACCACTGATGTTCACCACAAGAGTTTGGAGAAGCTGTCATCAGAGGGCTCCTCAGAAGAGGAGTTGGAGTCCTTGAGTAATAACCCATCAGATGCAGAGGCTGGTGAGGTCTCCAGAAATGAGTCTGACAAAGAACAGGACAATGCATTTGGATGGGGTGCAACAAATCTTAGGCAATCAACTCATCCTGGTATGTGCCAGAGGTTATTATGGTATTGGCTCAACATTCTTTGTTAGGCTTCTCCCAAGAAATGATGACAAGCAATCCTATTTGCCACAATTCCTTGCCCCCTGACCATGAGTTTCAGTACTCATGCAATGAGGATGATGATGTGGCTCTGTGAAGCTTACAATCCAAGGACAAGGCTCAGCCAGAGGTATGAAAATGCCATTCCTGCTAGCTTTATTTATTCAGATTGTTATTTTAGGGTTCCCAATGTGACACTGTTGTCAATGTTCTTGAACACCACCATTGCACTAACAGCCATCCTTCTGTTCCTGATCATGATCTTCTGACCCTTGTGCATGACTTGGTCAACGAAGTATCTCAGTGTGCCAGAGCCCCTTATAACTCCAAGAAAGCGAAGGGATGAGGGCCCATTGCCTTCACAACTGAGATTTTACAAGGCAGTATGAAGGACTGTCTTGAAGATGCTAAGCAAGAATGCAGGGCTCCACATGCACTTTCTAACCCATTCCCATCAAAATCTCACAACCTCAACCTCTCCATAACAGAGGTGCTCATCACTGTCATCATCGAGTGGAATCAACATGGTGTGCAATTTGAAGATGGTGAGTAACAATATTTTTGCTTTATACATGCCTTGTTATCCTAACTTTATAGGTTACTGGCCTGACCACAAGCAAGATATGGCATGCCTTGTAAGTAGTCCTGTCTTTTGGTTACAGCTACTGACATACTGCTGGTAGCTCCTTGGTGATATATCTACCTGGAGTTCAGAATTGAAGTCGGTTACACTGGCAACCATGCCATCCACATTCAACCTTATCCCTCCTTCTGATGTTGCACCACAGGTTCATGTACAATGGATAGAGACTGCTGCCACAAGGCTCCTTGACAACTTGCTTTTCCTGTGAGACAGTTTCAATGAGAATGTACATTCATGCAGTTTGTTGTCTGCACTACTAATGGATTGGTTTATCAGGGAAAAACCAGGAATTTTGCTCACCCCACCCTCAAGGAAGCTGTCATACAATTCTACTATACCAGGACCTATCAAATTGTGGATAAGCATCCTGAGTCCTTCAACAATTCAGTTCCCCTTTCCTGTCTGGCTCTCATTGCAGCTGTGGTGAGTTATTTTACACCCCAAGTTGCTGCAACTCAAACTTTTCTCACAGTATCATTGTGTGTTGGATGGATTTGTGAAGAATGGCACAGGAAAGACAATGCCTCAATTCTCTGGAAAGGCTTACAATTCCATTTTCCATGGCATGATGAAGGTGCTGAATGACATCCTTTGTAATCCCTATCACAGTGTGAGGTTGCACAATCAGCTTTCTCAGTGGGCGAAGGAAGGATGGTAAGTACTGGGGTGGCTGATGTGCTTGTGCCTGACTCCTCATATCAGGGCTGCACTGCAAGAGGTTGATTCAAATGTAGAGAGGTACCAGCACATTCAGGCAGTCCTTGATTGATATCATAATACCTAGTCCTGTCATACCTGTCATTACACATAGTATGCAATTGGTGCCAATGCTCCTGTTCCTGTCATACCTGCTGTGAACTGTTCCTAGTTGTGGGGTGATCACATGTTTGCAAAGTAAACATTGAGTGGGGAGTACTGGACAACACCCCAAGGAGAATACAGTCTGGCCAGTTTTGTACAGTGATATATAAGCATGAAAGTTCCATAGCAATCCATAGTAAGTAAGATACTGGACAAAGTTCCATGACAATGTGACCATTCCATAGTAACAGGCAACTAGCCATAGCAAAAAGTGTTGTTGGGTGCATCTGTCTAGCCTGGACCTAGCTAGGGGACTCTGTGTATTATGGAGCACTGTGGAGAGCTCCACAGCTCAAAGTGATTTACTGATGTGGAAGACCAGGTGGATCAAGCACATAGAGTCAGGGAGCCTTAGAGTGACAGAGTGCATACCTGGCCTGGCCAAGATGGTGAATGGTCCTAAGTACTTTTCAGAGAGTTTTTCTGAGGGACAAGTGGAGCAGAAGTACTTGGCTTTGACATGGGCCTGTTCTCCAACCTTAAACCCAGGCAGAGGTATGCATTTGGCATCTGCTGGACCCTGGTAGTGCTGCTGAGTGGTGGACATTTTGGAGTGGAGGAAGTCACAAAGGGTGGTGAGCTTAATGACATAGTCATGAGCTTGCAGTGTAGGAATAGGTAACTGATAAACCTAGATATAGTAATTAGTCAGTGGGCAAGTATTGTGCTCAACCCAAGAGGGAGATTCTGTTTTGGAGAAAAGAAGTGTAGTAAAAATGTATTAAAAAAAAGTGAACTGGAAGAGATACTTAGCTCTGTCTGTCCTATACCTTCTGCCAGTCCTCCTGGCACTTTGGGTACTCCACAAAGTAATAATTTCGACCTTGAAAACTCACTGAAATGTGAGACTAAATCACCCTGCTGCTGAGGGACTCAAACATGGATTGCTTGTATAGTAGACTGAACTTGCACAAACACAGCACACATGCTTAGTCAGCAATGTGGCTGCTCATCACTAAGTCCAGAGGCACAAAAACAAAAACACAAAACAAAACAAAAAAAGAAAAAGAAACTCCTCAACCCCTAAACTCCTGACCAAGACAACTTCTCATAGGGAACTTGATCCTGTTCCCTACATCTGAGGGGTGGTTTAGAATTTGACCATCCTCAGTCACTCTCCTCCTTGTACAAACATCCCCATTCCTCACAACTGCTTTCCTCAACTTCACCACATACCCTCATCCTCAAACTCTTTGACTTCACCACACCTACTTTGCTCCCTACCCTCATGGCCTTTGAACATGGCCTACTCCTTTCCTAAGACACTCTCCTGACATCACAGAACAACCTCCCCAAATTCTAACACTCCCCACCCTTGAACACAACTCTCTGGACCTTGAAGTGCCACCAAATGATGGCAGAGATAAACTCCAGGCAAACAAACAAGTGAGTAATAAATCAAGTGTGGAGCAGCTCAAAGAATTCTCTTCAAGGTGCAGTCTCTTTACAAAATGGTAATGGGGTGTAATGCAGCACCACAGCTGGTACAGTGGATGCAGACCCTCTACAAGGCAATTTGAAGACATATATGTACCTAAAAAAATCTTGATCAGTGGTGTACTTACTATCCTCACTCACACACATGCACTCTCAACTATTCTTCATCCTTAAGATGACCTAGCACAAGGAAAAACAAAGAAAACTCAAAAATATACATCAGGATGAGTAGAATCACCTGAAGGTTAGTATGACTCAGTTGAGTGACATCATATGAAGTAAAACTCAAATTAAGGAAAAACTGTATATCAATACACTCACTGGGACCTTCACTTCACCCATCTGTCCCATTCCCATTTTAACAGCCTCAACTCTCTGCACAGGCGCTGCAAGTCAAAGTGAGGTTCAGTGGTGAAAACCAACCAAAACCAACACAAAAGACAATGAAAGCAAGTGGTGGTGTGCCTATGCGGTACCTAGATGGTAGAACCTGTTCTTTGGGAGGGTTTTTGCAAGCTACAACACTCAAAGATGAGTGCTGAGGGTTGGGGGTGCTCCTGACAAAAAGGGAGCAAGAATGTGATAGAAAGCCATAGGGTAGACTGCTGTCAGCCTACAGAAGGATGGATGGTGACTTAATTTGATGTCCTAAGCTGTACTGAGCTCAGGGAGGGCTTGGAGCAAAGTATATGGATGATAGATGATGATAAGCAAAGTAGATGATAGCTAGACCCTTAATAAAGTCTCAACTATCGAAGCTGATGAATGATTTACTGAGAGATGATAAATTGCGAGCAAGAGGGGCTCTCTGATGTCTTCTTTTCTTTTTTTTTTTGCTACCGAAGTACAGTGACTTATATACAGTACAGGGGCATTGCCTATGGAAAACAAGGTGCAAACACTTGGTAAGTGATTGGTAACTGATGAGTAAGGAATGTAAGCAATGGGTAATCGTCTTGGAAAGCATTGGTAAGCATTGGTAAGGATAAGTAAGCCAAAAAGTGAAGAACCAGTAAGCAAAGTCAAAAGATTGGTAAGTATTGGCAATAGGTGAGTCAAAGACAGTCAGAATGTCACAGTATGAGTCAAGCAACATCAGGAACTGGGAAAGTGCACTGGAATCACATTAGGGGGAGGCTGTGCATGTCACATCTCGAAGAGATCACTTCCAGGCCAAAGTGGGATGACAGAGAGGCAGTGCTGATCTGATGCCAATATAGTACATCCAAAAGTGGACAGGGTGAGTCAGATGTCAACAGGGGTCAAGCTTTGGGGGTCTGTGGGGTGACAGGAGCATAGGGGATCGCAACTTTCCCCCCCAGACCATCCTCTCAGTGAAGCAAATAAAAACTTCATGAACAAGGCTCTGTTGGAAGAGAGGATGAAGGGGGAGCATCTTCTGCTGTATCTTGCAACAAGGAGGCAAGATGTGCATCATACTCATCATGGATGTGATCAGGGAGAGTGGAGAACAGTAGATTATACTGTAGCTGTTGCAATTTTGGAAGAATGATGGATGAGACTGGTATGAAGACATTGCAGGGGGCAGGGAGGAAGGATCCATATGCTTCTTGGACTGGAGAGACTGAAACAACCACATAAGACCTTTCCAAGCGAACGACAGACCTGAGGCGACCAAAGAACACACTGTCCAAGCTGGATGGGCTGAGAGGGGGCAGATGAGGGTGGGATGTACCAGGATGCTTCGGGATGGAAGCTGGTAGGAACTCCTGGTAGATATATGTAGCCATGGTCCCTAGCAAAGGGGACAAGCGAAATGACTGATGTGGAGGCAGCCATATCAGAAGAACTAGCGAAATGAGTGTCTTTTGGAGGGAGTGCTGTAGAAACATGTGGAGTGCGCAAATCCTTTCCAATCTTGGAAGGTAGGATCGTGTGGCTGAGCACTACAAGTGAGTGTGGGAATGGTTTCGGTGTCTGCAGAACTGGTGGAGATATGTCGAAAACCAGAATGCTGTACACGGGCGCTTAAGAACCTTATTGGCGCTTAACCTGCCTCCTCCTTTTTCTTTGGCACCGACAACTTGTTCTTGTGCGAGGGATGACTGCTGACATTGCTGGCTGTCCTTCTTTGCATGAGGGCTATGGTCTTCACCTCCATTCATCAGCTACATCCATGTCCACCTCACCAAACACCTTTGGTGTGTGACAGCACACCCGCTAGTAATGCACTTACCCTAGTTTGTGTTTGCCCAGATGCACAGCACCAAATTGGTGGATTTACCCCAGTTGCAAAGGATGTCATCACAACTGTGTTGCATGATGCAGAATTTTGGAATGCAGTTGGACAACTAATCAAGACTGCCAAACCCCTTGTTGATGCTATTGGGGACTGCAAGTCATGTGACACATCACTTGCAGACTGCATGCTTACCCTTATATGCTGTGCAAGGACAGTGTCCAAGCTTAGCCTTGAGGATGGGGATGACACTTCCTTCTGGGCCCATGCATGGACTGTGTTCAATCACCATTTCCATGCAATGAGCACAACCATCCACTCGCTTGCAATATTCCTTCATCCAATGTGCTGGAAGCTTGCAATCTCCCAGGTTGCAAATGGATGTTCCTTCCAATTTATGGTTGAGGCTGCACTCAAGATTGCAAAGCAATGGAGGTGGAATGAGGCTCTTGTAATCTCTGTTGTCCACAATCTCAAAGAGTACTATAAATGCTCTGGTGTCTTTGCTGGTGGAGAAGCAGATGCTCTCATGTGGTGGAAATCACTTCCTATCTGTGCAGAAAAATGTCCATTAAAGCTCATGGCCATCACAATCCATTCAATGGTCCCTCACACAGCTGATGTTGAGCATTATTTTTCAGACCTTGGTGGTGTTCAGTCTCACAAGTGATGTGGCCTTACAGTCAAAACATTTCAAATGCTCAGAAAAGCACACATGCATATGGAAAGCCAGACACTCACACCACATAATTTTTGAACTCAGTGCCAAATGCCCAAGCACTTACTACTTTTGAAAAAAAACTCCTGGCAAGACCCCAATCACCATTATACCATTGTTGAACATCCAATACAACAAGTCCATTCGCTATTGTGCCAATGTCCAAAGTCCCATTGCCATGAGTTCACAGGCTATAGTGATAGATTTGGTGGTCATTTACAAAAAATATTGCATAGTTTTATCTGAGTTCAATATCAGACCCACAGCTTAGAGTACATATGTGTCTAATGTCTAAGTGGTTGAACAAAGAGACTTTGATCCATGGCTGAAAGCCTTCATCCCAAAGCCTTCCCATCTACAAAACAAGTTGCAAATATGTTGATTCTCAAACAGCACCACCCCTTTCTCCACATTCCCCTCACTGAAGAGTCTTCGACCTTCAGCAACATCACTAGAGACAATAAAAGAGCATGGGACATTGACAAGGTAGAATACTGAGTAAAATGTACTTACAGATGTGTGAGGATCTGCAGATCTGTCAAAAGCAGTCCACTACCTGGTTGAACTCATGTAAGTAGATGCATGAGTAGTGCCACCTATTGCCACAGCTTACCTTGATAGTCAGATATGTATACTTGACCACCAGTCATGATGTACTGCATGTGTTGAGTGAAGGCCAAAAAGTCTGTGATCTCTTCTGCCTTTGTATCCAGAAAGAAGCAAGGAGCTGCATCGCCATTGTGGATGTACTTCACAAACTCATCATCTGAGGATGTGGGGATGAGTTCCTCAACAAGGTATGTGACATTCACAATACTGCTGGGCTTGGACAGCTTCCCAGACCCCCTTTCTGTTTCCACTGGCACATCCAAATATGCAAATAACAATCCCACATCCACAAAGTGCAGGCAAGGAATTTCAAAAGGTGGTGGTACCTTGGTATCTTTGACAGCATGATCAACAAATTGGTATGTCATCTGCAAGAGTGCTTTGGCCCAGTACAAAGCATTGGCTTCACAGTAGAGTATGTTGGACTTGTCTTGTAGGGCATAATGTGTGAATGGGGGTTTGACTTCCACAGGATGGTTGTTGATATACAGTCTTTTGAGGATGATGCGATCATTGGGAGATGACCCAATACCCATGTCCCTGAGAGGTGATAGGTTGAGTTGCACAATTTGGGCCATCTTGAATGCTCTGACTCCAATGATTGAATCAGCAGAGGCATCGAGCTGGATTTTCCCAGAGCAAAGGTCAGCATTTCTAATATTGAATGCAGCCTTCTCACTGACCAGATCATTAAGATCATGGGTCAGGATGGGGTAAAAGTCCACTTGTATGACTTTCTGCTGGAAGACTAAGATACATCAGTACTTCGAAACTACAATGATATCAACTGGAAAGTCTGCTTACCTGTCTTTACATTGAATTCAGAGGCCCCCCCAGACTGTAATGCTTTCTTGATTTGATTGCAGTTGGGGGACAAGAAAGTTTTTGCAGATCTCTTCTGGGGTGGAAGGGGAGTAGAACCACTGGATGAACTACTAGTATGATGGTGGTGGCATTTACCAGACATCACACTTGAATTAGTGGGCAGCGCTGTATCCTGTGTTCAATGTGTTAGTGGATGGGTTGGGTCAAAATCATGTTGGAGCTAAGCATACCTTTTCTCCATCCCGAAGATGTGTAACATCATGCGAGATTGGGCGATCAAACATGCTACTTGACGTCATAGAAACCACTCCCTTGGAGAAAAAAAGAGTGGATGGCTCAGAAGTCATTGTGCTTCAAGGTACAACCAGTGTCAAGACTGTAGAACCAGGGAGAGAAGTGCTCAAGCTGGCCCAAGATGTCTGCTGTTCATGGGCAGGTGGGCTAGAGCAGAGCTTCTCTCAAAATTCTTCAAATTCTTCCCACTGATTCACAGGTACAATGACAAATAACATGAACTGTTTTGATTTAAAAACCTTCACTTTTGATCCTTTCCGATTGCTGTCATGGAGACAGTCACCATAAAAGTATGCCATTGGGCTTGAATGTCTGGAAATGTCAACCCATTTATTGTTGCAAATGAAGAATTCCTCCTCTCACCAGGGAAACTGTGGGCAGTAATCTTTGATGCACAGTACCAAAATGCCAAGTGCTATGGCCAAAAGTTCATGTGCAGTGCTCAGCACATCAACATCTTTCAGCCCCTCACAGATACTCTATCAAACTCAATTAACACTGCTCATACAATCTGAATCAAGCAAAACTTACTCTGATGTTGTTTGCTTGCAGATTCTTCTTTTTGCCCCCAGCTTTGAAGACTGCCCATATTTCTAAGGAGATTGTCTCTGCGGGAGGTGGGTTGTGAGCCATGTGTGCCCAATGTTCACATTGAGCTGCATAATGCACATGCTGTGCACTATAACCAGTGGAGCCAGGTGGCAGCATGATCATGTGGCCTGATGCAGCATTTGCTGGAGGGTTTGCTGGCCAAGGGACATTCTGCCAAGCAGATGGCACTTGGACACTCGGACCAGCAGGGGAAAACTTGGGGTTGTGATGAGCAGTTGGCATTGGCAGTGGAGGCATCAACATTGCCAAGTTGCTGAGGTTTGGAGCAGCATTTGACATGGCCATGATGGTGGGGGGGTTGACCAAAGCTACAAATAAGTTGAGTTTAGCAGCAAGTCTGAACACACAGATTGGACATACCTCATGACTGTGCAGTGCTTATGGACTGACATATGTACTGTGGATCAGGTAATGCTGAGGATGTATGAGTCCAAGCCCAATGAACAGAGCAGAACATACATACCATTGGTGTTTTGTGCCTGAGCTATGGTGGCAGGTTTGTTCTTGTACCACCTATGACACACTTCATAGATGAATTTATTGGGCTGAGCAGGATCATAGGCAGCAGCATAGAGGCAAGGCTTGCCCTTGTATATCAGAGCTTGGCACCAAGACTGCTGGCAGATCCTGTCTTCTTTTGCAAACACATCCTCAGTAAACTGAGTAATGAGGTTTGAAACAGACACTTGCATGGGGGAAGGATCACAAGATAACAAAGATACTGAGTGAATGGGTGAGAACAATGGTAAACAGGTTAAGTACGATGTCACACACCAAAGGTGTTTGGTGAGGTGGACATGGATGTAGCTGATGAATGGAGGTGAAGACCATAGCCCTCATGCAAAGAAGGACAGCCAGCAATGTCAGCAGTCATCCCTCGCACAAGAACAAGTTGTCGGTGCCAAAGAAAAAGGAGGAGGCAGGTTAAGTGCCAATAAGGTTCTTAAGCGCCCGTGTACAGCATTCTGGTTTTCGACATATCTCCACCAGTTCTGCAGACACCGAAACCATTCCCACACTCACTTGTAGTGCTCAGCCACACGATCCTACCTTCCAAGATTGGAAAGGATTTGCGCACTCCACATGTTTCTACAGCACTCCCTCCAAAAGACACTCATTTCGCTAGTTCTTCTGATATGGCTGCCTCCACATCAGTCATTTCGCTTGTCCCCTTTGCTAGGGACCATGGCTACATATATCTACCAGGAGTTCCTACCAGCTTCCATCCCGAAGCATCCTGGTACATCCCACCCTCATCTGCCCCCTCTCAGCCCATCCAGCTTGGACAGTGTGTTCTTTGGTCGCCTCAGGTCTGTCGTTCGCTTGGAAAGGTCTTATGTGGTTGTTTCAGTCTCTCCAGTCCAAGAAGCATATGGATCCTTCCTCCCTGCCCCCTGCAATGTCTTCATACCAGTCTCATCCATCATTCTTCCAAAATTGCAACAGCTACAGTATAATCTACTGTTCTCCACTCTCCCTGATCACATCCATGATGAGTATGATGCACATCTTGCCTCCTTGTTGCAAGATACAGCAGAAGATGCTCCCCCTTCATCCTCTCTTCCAACAGAGCCTTGTTCATGAAGTTTTTATTTGCTTCACTGAGAGGATGGTCTGGGGGGGAAAGTTGCGATCCCCTATGCTCCTGTCACCCCACAGACCCCCAAAGCTTGACCCCTGTTGACATCTGACTCACCCTGTCCACTTTTGGATGTACTATATTGGCATCAGATCAGCACTGCCTCTCTGTCATCCCACTTTGGCCTGGAAGTGATCTCTTCGAGATGTGACATGCACAGCCTCCCCCTAATGTGATTCCAGTGCACTTTCCCAGTTCCTGATGTTGCTTGACTCATACTGTGACATTCTGACTGTCTTTGACTCACCTATTGCCAATACTTACCAATCTTTTGACTTTGCTTACTGGTTCTTCACTTTTTGGCTTACTTATCCTTACCAATGCTTACCAATGCTTTCCAAGACGATTACCCATTGCTTACATTCCTTACTCATCAGTTACCAATCACTTACCAAGTGTTTGCACCTTGTTTTCCATAGGCAATGCCCCTGTACTGTATATAAGTCACTGTACTTCGGTAGCAAAAAAAAAAAGAAAAGAAGACATCAGAGAGCCCCTCTTGCTCGCAATTTATCATCTCTCAGTAAATCATTCATCAGCTTCGATAGTTGAGACTTTATTAAGGGTCTAGCTATCATCTACTTTGCTTATCATCATCTATCATCCATATACTTTGCTCCAAGCCCTCCCTGAGCTCAGTACAGCTTAGGACATCAAATTAAGTCACCATCCATCCTTCTGTAGGCTGACAGCAGTCTACCCTATGGCTTTCTATCACATTCTTGCTCCCTTTTTGTCAGGAGCACCCCCAACCCTCAGCACTCATCTTTGAGTGTTGTAGCTTGCAAAAACCCTCCCAAAGAACAGGTTCTACCATCTAGGTACCGCATAGGCACACCACCACTTGCTTTCATTGTCTTTTGTGTTGGTTTTGGTTGGTTTTCACCACTGAACCTCACTTTGACTCACAACGATCCACTGGATGATGACTGGCTGGTATCCTGGTCAATGGAACCACTGACACACACAAGGCCTGACCATAAAAATGTAACAAACTTCCTTCATTAGCTAGTTTGTCATGGGATAAATTCTGGGCACTTACTTCAGCCAAGATGGAATCAGATGATGAAATATGCAAGGACATTTCATGCAGTGGCCCTAGCATTGACCTTAAGTGTAGCAGACAGCTGATGAACTTTGGAATGGGTCCTCGAATGGATTTGGAAGCCTACCTGTAGGTTTCAGAGGAACATGACCATACCTTGAGGACACAGGGGGTTAAATTGAGTGACAGAATCCACAGTAAAAGGTCATATTTGCAACCTTGAGGCATGGTTTGTCTTGAATGGTCACACAAAAGAGTAGGACAAGAACCCAATTTGTCAAGCATTGGACAATGGTGGCCCATCGAAGCAGCATGAGGAGATAGGCACACGGTGAATGTGCCCATTGCAGAAGGTTGAACAGAGAGCCTAAGTGATTGGCTGTCCATACATGTGTCTGTAATACTTGTGATCACAATGACTCACACACATCCGCAATGCTTGCAATCACAACACTATAACACAGCTTCAGTACATCTTAACATGTCAACAGGAGATCTTAAGAGTCAGGGTGAACTGATTACTGTGGAAACCCTTCAGATTACAGTGCACCATTCTCATGTCTACCCTCTCAAAGAATCAGAATAAACCTACTTGTAAGTACTAGTTCTCCCAGTGATATGATGATGTATTACTCATGACCTACAGCACCCCTTGACCAAATCGAGCCCCACATCAGGCAACTATGGAAAGCCTGCCTGACAGATAAGGAGATTGTTTCCGAAATCCACAAACATATTGATACAAGTGTCTATGGTATTGGGTGAGGTTTTCTTTGAAAGGGAGTGACTTGTGACTCACTGATAATCTCAGCCTCACCAAGTTTCAGGAAATTCGAAAGCAGCTTGGACTACTTCACACCTGCCAACAGGGACACACCTGCAAGAGTATCCAAGACATCATGGTTGAGATGCAGAAAATGTACCCCAATGCAGGGGTACATGAGATGATTTGGCTGCTCTTTCATGAGCATGGTATGGCTGTCTCAAGGTAAGCAAACTGTGACCAATTGTCCACTCACTTGCAGAATGCTGATGAGAAATTGGCATGTAGAAGCATGATCTGAGAGTATTTTGTTACCTATGAATCCCACTTATTGAAGAGCCACAAAGCCAATTGTTTGCAGCATCACCACTTCTGGGCAGCCAGTGTAAACAATATATGGGCTGTGGACCAGCATGACAAGTGGTTGCATTTCAGCCTCACACTACACACTGGCATCAAACCTTTTTCAGGCTGTATCCTCTGGACCAGGGTTTGGCACTCAAATCGCAACCTGCAGCTCATCCTCTCTTATTACCTCAATACTGTTGAAGAATTTGGCTGTAAGTTCCATGCATATCTTCCTATTTTTGCTCAAGTTCACAGTCCATAAGACATTCCCATGATCACTCAAAGTGATCCAGGTACCAAAAACTTCAGAATTGTGAATGCACAAACTCTACTGTGGCAGATGCATGATCTGGCTCTTGAGGGCTATGTTCAGCACTGGTGGATGTGTACAAGGAAGAATATCAAGCCAGAGATAGCCTGGTCCCAGCTCTGCTGCTGTTTCTCCCCAGGTTTTGAATCTCTACTTGATATGGGTGTAGATTCTGGCTGGTATGACCCTGACAACACACTACAGCTGTAAGTATGCCATTCACACCTGTCCCTGTATGTATTCAAAGTGACCCCATCCACAGCATGGTTTTTCAATGGGTATTCATCCCTTGGCTCCAAGTTGAGCTAAACAACTATCAAGACCGCATCAACAACAGCCAAAAGCATTGTGACAAAAGAAAAGTTTTGCCTCATGGAATCCTGGAACTCATCTATACATGCTGAGAGGACTATGGGGTGTTGAATTTCAAGGCATGTCCTAAGTATCTTGTAGCTTACATTTCAATGCTAACCTACTATGTATTTGTGTGTGATGTAGATAGTGGTTTTTCCAGACACCATCAAATGAGTGTGACAATTGTACATCAATCCCAACCACATCATGTTTGACCTCGTGCCCCCTTCTCTCAAAGCATTCATCAAAGCATGTTACTTTCAATTGGGCAGCCCTTCTGTTGGACACACCTCTGCATGGACTGTCTACTGCGATATCCTGGACCTAATGCAGCACTGTGAGGGAGTGCCCACCATTCTGACAGCAATGGAAGACCATCTCGATGCAGCTTCTGAGGAATTGAATCTCCTGCCAGGCCTTCATGCTCTCCATGAAGTGGAGGGTTATATGGGTGGTGTTGCAAATGTACTGGGCCTTCATAAGTGTTTGCTCCATAATCTGAACAGCAATCCTTTCTGATTCCCATTCATTTCAGAGGCCAGCCATCTACAGACAATGGATGCTCTGAACATTGATGAGCCTGATATCTACAATGAGATTGATGCCACTCCTCCACTTCTAGTGGCTCAGTTTTCTTTGGAGGAGGATGATAGGGCAGATGAGGAGGACATCGATGCTGGTCTGTGAATGTAGCCTATCTCACATCTTCCTTATGAGCTAGTTTGTCAATTCGGCAGCTGGTAGTCTCCCTGTCTTACACAATTGCATCATTATTGTCTTGTGGTGTCTGGAATGAAAACCTCATGTAGTACTTTTACATATGAGAGTGGTTAAGATCACACAACCTTGAGCATTCACACAACATGTGCTGGTTGTGTGGCATCATTCTTTGATTGGTGAGATTGACCCTTGGGAGTATAACTGTATTGATGTCTTTGTTGAGAAAGCAACTTACCTTACTTTCTTGAGAGTGATTCACTAGGTGCCTTGCACTTATCCATCCCATTTCTTGAAATTCCTGGTGAATTCTGGTACATAAAGTGGTGTGATGGTGAGCTCTTGGCATTCAACATCTACATGGCCAACTCAGAACACTGCTGGGCTCTTGTTGGTGGTGATGGTGGTGCCCATGTTTATGGGTCTGAGGACTGGTATGTCATTCATACAACCCAATCTCAAGTACGAGTACTAAAACACAGCCCATAGTCTGTTTATTGTGTGTGGCTGTCAGACACGAGCCTTCCCCCTTGTGATCCAATGTAAAACAAGCTCTGAAGCTAGCAAAAACTCTTCAAGCCATCATAGATACACTTCTGCATGATGCAGACTACATGCAGATACTTGCAGCATTTGACATTCCATGTGTACAGACATTACTGGAAGATGAAAGTGGTTTTTATGCAATCATCATTGGTTCACCCCCTGGTATTCATCACACAGTGTGAGTCTTTAATCTCATACTATGTAGTTTGTAGCTTGACTTTGTTCAGTGAGAGCACAATGTGTGCTGAAGGGTCATTTAAATACTGTGTATGAAGGGAAACTACTTCATTTTGGACTGCATTAGCCTTCATGATCGTCAAAGGAGTACCACAATGCATGCCACCCATGTTGATGTATGACCAGATAGGTGAAAGTCCCCCTCTGGCCACAGCCAATTCTTTGGCTGAACAGCTCCATCACTCACTATCCATTTCACCTTGATCTCAACAAACTACCTCAATGCCTTTGCATGCTTCTACATCATCATCTGACCTGACCTTTTTGCATACCTCATCTACATCTCACTCCTCCACTCTGACATCAACTGTCTCATCTAGGTCAGAGGCTGCAATCTCTCCCATCATTTATAGTCATGTCCATAATCTTCGTGGCATTGTTTCCAGCAATTATTATCCAACCTCAACTTCACACATCTGGAACCTTGCTCACCCACTTGGTGACCTAGCAGCTTGCTATCTTGCATCCCATGGATATGGTGTTGGGGATGTCAAACATATTATCCAGGTGCATGAGTGTGTGCATAACAATGAAGATCTGGTTATTTTTCTTGCCAGCCAGGGTATGTCTGTTAGTGAAGCAAGATTTTTGTTGCAGCTTGTAGATCTATGGGATATTGGGCTTAGATAAAACTCTATGCTACTATTTTGTAAATGTCCATCAAATCTATTGCTATAGCATGTGAACCTATGGTAATGGAACTTCGGGCTTTGGCACAACAACAATGGACATCTATCAACAGCACAATGGTGATTGGGGTCTTGCTGAAAGTTTTTTTCAAAAGTAGTAAGTGCTCAGGCATTCAGTGCTGAGTTCAAAAATTATGTGGTGCAAGTGTCTGGCTTTCCATACATGCACTACTCTTACCATCTTTGGAAAATGGATTGCACAGCTGGGAAGTCAACACATCAGAAACATGCCCCCATGCATACCCAGCCAACACCTGGAATCAATACAGAGCTGGCAGCTGACCTCAAATGGACTTTCTCATGGGTCCCACCATTGGCAGCTAATGCTCATGATCTGGATGACTATCTTGCTGGCCCTGAATCCATCACAGATGAAGAACTTGTTGAAGCTTTTGCAGAGCTCAAGTGTGAGAAAGCAGAGGCATGCATGAGTGATGTCAATCAGTTGGATGATGGCTCACTGTCCAGAGTTCTTGATGGAGGTTTGTATGCATGGGATGAACTTGATCATGTGGATAAGGGGTTGCCTCCAAGAGGATTCAGGGAGGAGGTTACTGCACTCAAGAAAGCATCTGAAGGCAGCACAACTTGGGATATTGGCTCACTGATGTCATCAGAAGGTCTCTAGTTAAGAATTGGTATTCATTTACAATAGTTGTATGCATGGTAAGTAGAGGGAAAAAAAAAAAGAAAGATTCTGCCACCTTGTGCCATTTCACCAACTGCCACTGTGCCATTGTGCCAGCAGACATCAACTGAAAATATTTCTGCCCCCAGCACTAATTGCACTCATCACACTTTGGAATGTTGTGCAGACTAGTTCAACAGAGCTGCATAATTGGATGTGAATGATGGAAGGTCACTCACTGAACAAAAAAGCATGGATATAGTTTTTGACAGACCATGTTGATTTTGTGATTATGACCCCAAAGATGAGTAACCTCACATCATTACTTGCTTGTATGAAGTATCACTTGTAATACAAGTACTGCATGACTGCAGTGCAGGCTGCAATTGTGTGCACCACAGCCACATCTTATGTGGACAGTCCCTCCAATCGAGACATGGTCTCCAACTTATTGTTGGACAATAATAAGTTTGTACCTTCTGACTTCATATGAAGCTCTTTCCACCTGCTGCCAATTTGCATAATTCCAGTAAATGTAGGTGCAGCACTTGGACACTCAGGGGCATTCCACTTCATTATGTGTCCTGCCAATTCTCTAGTATATCATCCATGACTGCTCATATTGGTTAATGCATTTTGCACCCAAAGAATGGCTGTATGCCACAGGAGATGGCCTATGATCCAGTAGGATAATCTCTGTTCCAGGTCCTGTACAATTTCCCACATACTGTGAGCACATGCTACCAACATCATGTGGAGCACCCAGGGCGCCCATAGGGCTTTGGTATCTTATTGCAATGTTGCTAGTCCAGCACAACTGCTGTGAGATTGGAAGAAATGCCAACAAGTAATGTACCACTCATGAATTATCCTTGATGAGGAAAGATTGCCCATGCATAAATGGGTCCCATGCACCACATACATACCCCCCCAAAAGCTGGATGAGGTTAATGATACCCAGCCTTTCAAAAACATCCACAGGGGTCACCACCACACATTGTACATTGGTGATGTTGATCCATAAGCAACTCCAGTCTGCAATTGACCAGGGCATCAATCTACACACACCAGTGGATCCATGGACCTCCTGGCATGCTACCAACCACCACCTGTGATCCACATATTCCTGGAGGGTGCCCATTGCTTTGCACTCCAAAGGACCAAAGTATATAGGTTCTGCATGGACCATGCTCATGAGATGCAGAGTGAGCATCAGATAAGCACAAAAGATGGTGTCAGATGTGAAGAAATTCATGACAGTGGTGCTGTGAAACTTGAAAATCGAAGATATAGCAGCAGTAGTATTGGAGACTGACCACATTGATTGACCAATGCATATTTGAGAATGAAATTACAGAGTGAATCGAGGAAGAGATGTATGGGTTAGCACTTGCAAAGTGTTGATGCACAATCCAGTAGCCTGTTGTGACCAGAAAAGTGAGTGAAGCCACCCCCCAAGGAGACAGGAGCACTTGCCCTCACATTCCAATAAGACTGTGATGCAAGTTATGAAACAACACAACACATATATGTCAAGGTCACTGGGGTACCATGCAGTGTCATTTGCAGGTAAGAGAAGGTGTAGTGCACACAAACTGGAGACAACCACATCACATGATCGCAAGATGATTGAGAGCATGTCAGGTTCGTTGAAAAAACCAAATGTCATGAAATGGAGGTGGTGCTGCACATAATCATGGGTGATACAATTGAGTAGCATGCAGGTCTCAGCAAGCATGGTGAATATTGGAGATGTTGCAATACCTAAGAATATGTTGCTTGATCTCCAGAGGCATATGATACATGGTTGAGACAGGATTTCTTACTGCCCAGTGTGCACAATCACACATTATATAGACATTGTTGTAAGGGGTGTGAGGGGGCCCCCTTTACTGAACATGACTGCATGCAGGAGCAGATGGTGAGATGAACTTAAGGGGTTCCTGAGTGCTAGCTAGTGGCCTAGCCACAGAGCATCCAATGATGTATTGTGCATCCACTACTGATGCGACTGAGCAAGCCTAACATCGCATGTAGGCTGTAGATCACCTATGAAAGAAGTAAAATTGCAATTGCTCTGTAGCAGACACAAAACTACAGTAAGGCAAACTGCTACATTAAGTGCTGGCAGAATCCTCAACATGTGGGAAACTGGTTAGCCAGCCTAAACAGGGACATCTGTCAGGACAAGATGCTGCACACAATAAAATACATACACCAATAAGACACACAAGATATCTTGCAGGTCATCCTCTGCACAAATGTGTAAAGGGGTCATGTGACTTGCACACACATGGATGAAGACATACAAAGCATCCCCACACTGAGCCTGATGATGGGCTAAATCAAAGAACATGATATAAATGCAGTGCTCGACCTCCATATGACTTGTGGTGATCTCAACATTGGCAGCAAAGAGGTACTGAGTGCCAGAGATTCTGATGTCATTGTTGCTGAAGACATGAAGATTCAAATGGCATGGGCCAGACCTGGGGCCAAACAAGAAGCCCCATACCCAATAATGTATACCATTGTCAGGGGCAGGCAACAGAGAGGACATGATGCTGTGATGCCAATGTCAACAATGAATGTAATGCAAGGCCACAACACCGAGAGACCAACCTGTATATGACAGAAAACACAGGAAGCAGGTGATGGGTGCATAGATGCAGCAGGTAGAGGTGAACCCAGCAATAGGAGCTCTCCTCGAGATCATGGAGGGGGTCCCCCTCAAGAGATGCCCCAGGGCACTTGTCATGGACATCATCAATTGCCCATTGCAATGATAACCCAGGCACCACATACTTCAGATAATCAGATTTAGTAGCATACCACAGATGATGAGCACTCTCACTATTGCTGACACAAGGCATCATTGCATGTGCATCACTGCTCTCACCATGCTAGAGCAACCTCAGAAAACCTGCCCATGTTATGTAATCCATGTGAAGATCTACCACAGCAGCCCTGCCAGTCTGCAGGTGCAGAGCTAATGGCTGCCAAGAATACATAGCCCCTCACACCAGTGGACAGCTCTAAGAGAAAAGCACCTTTGCCATGGAACACCAAAGTTTACATATGGAAGCTACTTCAATGGTAGATAACACCATAGATAGACAAGCCCCCCTCGCCACCTAGCTATTTATAACTGGATGGCAGAGCACATAGTGGTCAGATCTGCACCATGCATAACAGTGAGAGGCATACCAAATGTGATTTCTTGTTTGCAGTAGTTGACATGTCATATCTGAGACCCCTGCATTTGAGTGGATCACAAGCTGCCAGGAGTGGCACATGCAGCACACAGATCTCATGTGCAGCAGTGATGAATATGGACTTCTTATCACCTTTGATGGAGTAGTGAAAAGAGCCAAATGGACTTGAACAATCACACTGCACAACATGTGATGATAGTTGACAGGGTCAATGGCAACACCATTGACATCAAACACTGGCAGAAGTGACACATAGTTTGTCAAAGCAGCACATTCAAGAGCCTCTTTGAGGTGATCCTGTACAGGCCATGCCACAGTTGCATTTTCTGTGAGACACTCATGAGAGGTGGCAAATGCAGGAGCAGATGGAGAGCCAAACCATTGTGTGTGATGGTGTCAGTGTCATCACTGTCATCTTTTTTCTATAAACATGAAGATTAGAGGAGCAGGCTCCCAGGAGAGACAGCTAGCAGACATTCCATGAACAAGGCATGGGACAAGTGAATGCATGGCAGGCCACAGCTTTCACAGATGCATGAGACTAAAGTCTCTCCCTTTTTCAGTACAATGATTTTCTCCAAAGCCCTGATGTTGGATATGATCAATGGGAAGTCATCCTTTGCTGAGCTATATACAGCATCATGTTGTATGGCAACCAGGTTGCATGTCAACTTTGTGTCAACAAAGTTGCAGCTGAAAGCATTCTTGGGTGAGTATCCACCCTCAGCTCCCATAAAGAAACCTTAACAATCAATTTTAAAGACACCACTGGGAACCAACTCTGAGACATCATCAACCTCACCTTTCAGAATAGTGACATTGCCAGTTGCCCCTCCAAAGAAAAATTCAGCCCACACAGCCATATTGGGAGTCACTGTGTAGACTGCCACTGCACTCTCCTTCAAGTTCCCTACCATGCTGGAGCATTTTGGTGCTGCATCAGAAACAAAATCTGAGGCAGACTCATCTGCCAGTCCAGAGACAGAGGCATTCATGGAAGCAATTGACATGGGGTTGGAGTCATCAGATGCAGACATTGACAGAGATGGAGGCAGTGGGCAAGGTGTGTCTGGCCCCCCAGAATCAGAGACAACCCTTTAATACCCAGCATTTAGGGGTGCACATCAATCTGGTGGCATAATAAGGAGGGTGGGATGTTACATTACCCAAAATGAGATCAAGATTCAACTGTGACTGAACATGGCCAAGCTGTGGGGAGCATTAACACATCAAGAAGTTTATGAATGTCTTCCAGCAGGCACACTACCCAAAAGTCTACAAACCTGGGTGCAATTGGGACCTGCAATCCATCAGTTGCCACATGAATTTATGGATGTGATAGCAGAGGCTGCCACCACCAAGCAGCAAGCCATGCAGGAATGCAAATGTCAAGCCAAAGAAAGGCATCAAGAGCAATGGCACAGCAAACAGTGCACAAAGAGAGAAAAGTGCACTGCAGATGGAAGTGATGGTGAAGGGGATGACCATGATGGTGACACCTCTGCTGAGTACATGTGATTGCCTACTGACAAGCAGTGGCAGGCCTGCATCACAGCATTCATAGATGCCACCAATAATGATGTGGTTGCAGCAGCAGTTTGTGTGGTATGCACACAGGAGTTACTCCAGAAAGAAGGTAAGCCATACACTGAGACATGCACAAATGCTGCTTACAGGCAGGCAGGCAATGTTCACCTCATTAAAGACATACCCAATGTTCAACACCATCTGAGTCCACTGAAAGCTCATGTGGCACAGAAACTTTGGCAAGGACTTGTGGTCAACAGCACACATTTACAACCAGATGGCAGGGGCTGGATGTGCAAGGATTGTCATCAAGCCATGCATGCAGACTGCATACCAAAATATGCACTGAATAACAACATGTGGATAGGTGATGTACCCCTTGTATTGCAGAAACTCAACTTTGTGGAGACATTGTTAGTAGCACAGCACTACCCTCAGTGTTACATCTTCAAGTTATATCCAAGGGATGGAGGTCACTCACAAAATCTGCAGCATCTTCAATGGGCCATGGCAGGGAATGTGACATTATATGAGATCAACATGCTGGCTGTAGTGGACATGCTCAAAGGCATGTTGATGCCACAGACAGTGCAGACCTTGAGCAGCATTCTGGTGATCACATTTATCAGAATGAAACATGTCCCAACAGATTGGCCATCACATACCTTTCAAGTGTGGTGGGGTACCATGTATGAAGCCCTGAGATGGTTGCAAGAAAACAATGTGAACTATGAGGACATTAAGATATTTCATGAACATATGGATGCACTTCCAAAAGATGGCATACCTGGGGAAATAGAGGCAATGATTCACTATCAGGAGAGTTAAGACACTGCTGTTTGGGAAAGAGAGGGTTACACCATGAACAAGCAGGTGGAGGATGAAGGTGAACTGCTGGATGTCATTAATGTCATCAGAATTGAAACTGAGTTGAGACTTTGCACAGAAATGGACGTACCTGAGGACATAGCAACAACACCAGATGAGAGTGAACATCCATGACAAGACAGTATGTCTTCTATCCTGTGATTAGAATAACTTCAATGAACAAATGCATGACAGATGATGGGGATGTGTTGCCATTGCATGTGCTTGGAGTGGCAGATGTTGATCAGACCAAGGTCTCCACCACAGAGTTGACAGCCCAAGCATTAGCCAATCTCAACAATGAGATGCAGGAGGGAGGTTATGTCATGCACCATGGCATCATGCCACTCAGAGATTTTACAACCCCACCAAACCCTGCCAGTACACAGAACCCTCTCAGAGCTGCATTCCCTGTGCTCTTCCTGTATGGGATGGGCACTGCAGTATCATGATTGACAATTTGTCATGCACCACACATTTCTGTTCATGGTCTTTGCACTTATCCAAAAGCAAGAGATGATGCACTCTGCATGTCTTCAGATGAGGGGGAAGGACTTCAAATGTGACACTCTTGCTTTATCATTGATCACTGTGGCTGACCTGCAGAATGCTGCAGCCAAAGAGGCACAGCAGCAACTGATCAGTAACACATGGGTGCAGGTGCTACACCATCACATGACAGCTGCCAATGGATGCATGCTTGGATCAGATAACACATGTGCAGGTTATTGCAGTATGATATGGGGAATGTGTCTATTACTGGGGGGGCTGTCACTTTGGTGTTGGAGTGAAATGACCCCTGTCCTTACTTGGACTTAGGCATGTGATTGTGTCGCTTACATAAGCTGTTAGAGCGCACCCATACACTAGTAATATTTACCTAGTCCCTTAGTAGCTTGACAGACTACTGAGGGTGAGTACACTTCTACATAGATAGAATACCCTTACTAACTTGTATAGTTCCCTACAGGTACTATACTCAATATAAGTAGCTTGACAGACTACTGAGGTTCCCTTCAGATTCCTCTCTGGGTTTCCCTCTGCAAACCCACAAACTTCTGCATTTGGTTGACTATTAATCCTGTTGACCTCCACAATCTGATTGCACAGGTCTTTGCATGTGAGAACATTGATCTTAATCACTTCAACTCACAGTTAGTGAAGAAGTTTGTGGGGTTGCAGAGGGGAAACCCAGAGAGGAATCTGTAGGGAACCTCAGTAGTCTGTCAAGCTACTTATATTGAGTATAGTACCTGTAGGGAACTATACAGGTTAGTAAGGGTATTCTATCTATGTAGAAGTGTACTCACCCTCAGTAGTCTGTCAAGCTACTGAGGGACTAGGTAAATTTTACTAGTGTATGGGTGCACTCTATCAGCTTATGTAAGTGACATGATCATGTGCCTAAGTCCAAGTAAGGACAGGGGTCATTTCACTCCAACAGTTAGGGCCTGATAGTAATAGATGTGCTGAGAACATTGCAATGAACCCATATGCTGCTGCACAGTACTTTGATCTCACCATTCACACTGTCTTGGAGACACTATTCAGCATCCATAATCACAGCAACCAGACATTGTTGGATGTGGGCATCCTTGGGCATGTCACAGCATACTTCAGAGTAGTCAAAGCACAAGGGTGAGGGACCCTGCATGTGCATATGTTGCTCTGGCTCATGAGCACCCCTAACCCAAATGACATGCAGGCATTATTGCAACAAGAATCATTTTGCAAGGTAATTCAAAACTACATTCAAGCCAATATCTGGGCTCATTTGGATGATCTCACTGAAGAACATCTGATGACAATGCTGAGAGAGAATCAACTAGCATATTCATGACCCCATGACCCATGCATCTCAGGATTGGAAGAAAGAACTCATGCTCTCAAACAACAACTGGTAAGGTCACAGCAACTCCATACATGCACAAGGGCAACATGCTTGTGCATGCAGCAGGATGGTCTAGTATGCAAAAGAAGAACACCATGGCCACTGAGTGATGTTGACTTTGTGGACAAGCATGGGAATTGGGGGCCTCAGCAAACACATGGGTACATCAATGCATACTGCCCAACATTACTTATGACCTTGCAGTGCAACAACAATCTAAAAATCAACACCAACAGCACAGATACTAAAGACATGGCATTCTATATCACTGCCTATGCCATGAAAAAGCAGAAAAAAAGTCACAACCTTTCAGTATTGATGGCCACCACCCTGCCATACCATATAGACAACCCAAAATATGATGATGTGTGTGAACAGAACTGCCTGTTGCTATATCAGTGTATCAATGTCATCAACCAGGAAGCAGAACTATCAGGTCCACAAGTAATGTCTTACCTGATGGGATATGGTGATACATTCACATCCCACAATTATGCGCCATTGTACACAGGCCCACTATTTAGTATGGTGAAACAGATGTTTCCTGAATTGTGTGGGAATGCGACAGAGAGGTGAGGATTTTGTTCACAGGGTCAGCATGAGCAGCAGTGTTGACCCACTACATTAATGGTCAGGTATCCCTACCATTCCACAAGTCAGGAGATCGAATGCACAGACAGTGAAGACAATAATGACATCATTTCATTGCTTTGCAGTTGAAGAGGGGGGTTGTACACCTGCACACAAATGCAGGACTATCTATGGCACAGCCTGGAATTGGAGGATCTGTCACTTTTGTCATTTGTCTGTGATACATGGGAGGAACAATACACACCCAAAGCCAAGGTGACAGCTCCAACATCTGCCATGAGGGGTTGACCTGCATATACATGCTCTACATACCAAGATGACCACCCAAAAGCCAAAACACATCAACAAGTTTGTTGGGCCAAAGGACATAATATGCTGCCACAAATTCTTGGGCCATGGCTGCCACATCAGGATGACAGCAGGACATATGATTTTTACTGTGCTTGTACCTTGGCCTTGTTGAAGCCATGGTGATCAGCACAGGATTTGAAGAGCAATGGCAAGCAATGGTCAGCCACCTTTGATCACATGAAGGCATCAACTACTCCATGGCTGAGGCATGTCTTGGCTGGTTTGCAATACTACTATGATTCAAAAATGGCATGTGAGAAGGCAACAGTTGAGGGCGAGACACCACAACACCTGCCCCCCATATGAGATCATCAAATGGCAGAGCCTCTCAAGGATGCATCCAAACATGTGATGGGATCCGATGACTGGACAGTGACTCTGTCAGAGGCAGATCTGATGACATTCAAACATGACCAACTATCTCCTCGAGAACAAGTGCATGCTAGAGAAGCTATTGCCATAGCACAGCAGTGTGGAATCTTCAGTGCTAAAGGTGCAACACAGTCAACAGAGTCATGTTGTTACCACCTCATGATAGGAGATGAGCACCTTCAACTTGAACAGTGGAAGATGGCCATCCAAGCCATGGTTGAGAGTGTGGGGAACAGCAAGAGGGTCAATTCACAGATGACAGATGACAAAATGGACCATGGCAGTGTGATGGGTAACGATGCCCTCACATTTGACAAAGTGGGTGGCACATACATGCTTGCACAATTGGTGACTGATGAACACACTCTCAAACCTAGTAATGTGGATGACTTATTGGAGGATCAGCAGCACACCTACAATATCATTGAATGGCACTTACAGCAGTTTGTGTCTGGGAGGTGTCCTGATCAACTGCACATGATCATACCAAGCAAAGGAGGTGTTTGAAAGTTGAAGACAATTGAGATGATCACAGATAATTTCATTCACCTTGGTATTGGAGGTATGCTTGTCAAGGCTGCATACACAGGCATTGCAGCATCAGTCATTGATGGCAAGACTTTACATAACATAGGTACTGACACTCACCAGAGATGGTGATCTCATATACATCATCACTGATGACTAACATCAGTGTCTCAGGCATGATACCTCTGAATGGGGGAAGACAATCAGTGCAGACAGTGAAATCACTGGAGGAATACTGGCATGACAAACACTATCTTATTATTGATGAGATGTCCATGGTCTCTGGACTGTTCTTGGCCAAACTCTCCAACATCATTTCCCAGGCATGCACTGGAGCTGATGACAACTCATTGGTCCTTCCCTTTGGTGGCCTCAATGTTATCCTTGTCAGTGATTCTCATCAATTCCCTCCAGTGGCTACAAAAGTGTCAGTGCCTTTATTCTGGCCATGCAACATGGAAAGAGATACCAAGGATGAACTTCTGGGTTGCTGCATTTATGAACAGTTCAACATTGTGGTACAGCTCAAGACACAGGTGAGAGTGACTGATCCTGGGTGGCTCAATCTGTTGCAGCACATTCACAATGGCAGCTGCAGTGAACATCACATCAACATGCTTCAGGGACTGGTGTTGGACAATGCTACATGTCCACCTACCAACTTCCATTCATTGCCATGGAAAGATGTGGTGTTGGTGACTCCATGTCATGCTGTGCATATGCAGTGGAATTCAATGACTGCTTACAAATGGGCAAATATGGAGAATATATCACTTATCAGCTGTCCAGCTCTGGACTCCATAGGTGGTCATGCACTCACCTTGCCTGAGAAATTTGCAGTGGCTGCTAATCCAAAAAGTGGTCATGGATGCAATCACCAGGAATGGGGAGAGCTGTCAGATGAGGTGGTGCTCGAAATTGGCATGCATGTGATGGTAACATTCAACATCACCACTGATCTTGACATTGCCAATGGTGCATGAGGCTGCATGGTCAATATTGTGCTGGACTCAAGGGAAAGTCTGAAGAGATCAGTGAATAATGTCATTCAGCTGGAATACCCACCAGTTTACATGCTCATGGAGATGAACCACACAAAAGTGAATGCACTGCCAGGTCTCCCCACTGGTGTGCTGCCAGTGATGCCTATCTGTAGAATGTTCTCAGTCTCATCTGCAGGTGGCAAGCAGATCATAATAAGCTGTGTGCAATTGCCTATAACAGCTGCATATGCATTCACAGACTATCATGTGCAGGCACAAACACTGGAGCACTGCATCATAGACATTGGCACACCACCTAGTGGTCAATTGACTCCATTCAATGCGTATGAGCTGGGGGCATGACATGATTCAGCTTTTAAGAGACTTTGATGTGTGGCTCTTCACACAGCATCCCAGTGAATATCTACAGAATGAAGATGAGCATTTGGATAAAATGGATGAAAGCACAAAGCAGTGGTGGAAAATGATGAAAGGGTCAGGAGGTGTATACAAATGATTACATGCACTGACATGACATTGTGCACCATACACTACACTACTATGATACATAATGTCCATCATCAGCCCTCAGCATACCTTGCAGTCATCGAGGCAAGGTTATGTGGCTGGTGGGATTTGCCATGCAGAGTTGTTGTTGGGGCATATGCACAGATGTCAAAAAAAGCATCTCAATTTTTGGGGTGCAGTGACCTTGTAAACAAGGTGATCAGTGGGGAGGGGGGGGGGATTATGCAAGGCTGTAAATTTTCCATTTTGAGACACTGTATACCTTTAGATGGGCCAAGCAACTGCCAGTACATGCCTCAACATCAGCCTTAATGGTATAATTCATTGAATGATATTTTCCATCAACTACCCATGCTTCCTTCATACTGGCAACCATAGCCTTCCTCTCCCCCCACATACATTCAAAGACTTCCCATGAATAATCCGTCCATGCTTCAACATTTGATGACAGTAAAGTTCCACTCCCACCCCCATGATGATCATTGCATATGACATGTACCCACTTCCACCCTGAATGGTACCCAACAACCAATTGGAATGAAGCATCAAGTGCATTGCTCACATATGTTACCACAGTATACCATGGATCACACTCCTGGAAGCCCCACATGCAGAGTCTCTGACCTGCCCAGGTAGCTTCCTCAGGGATGACACAGCACCAGACAAAGCCATGAGACAAGATCTCCATCAGATGAAATTCAAAACTGCATTCCAAGCAGTCCTGGGCAAGGCAGCTCTCTTCACCATCTCCCTTGCAGATGAGGTTGAGAACTTCGAATTGCAGATTGCCAGCAATGGCATTTGCTGGGGTTCCCAATGTCCATTCATATTGACCATTCACATCTAAGAGAGTGATTTTTAGAGGCTCGTTGGAGTATGAGTGACAACATGCAGGTGATGCCTGGACATATTTGTTTGAAGAATACTGGGGGATGGCATATGGAATGATTGGAAGGCAAATTCAAATGCCATTGTTGGTCACAGTGCATGACTGATTGGGGGGCTCGCCACCCAATACACATTCCTGCATGAATTCCCCAAGGTCCATTGTTCTAACATTGCTCAAGTCTGTAAAAAAGCTTGGTGAGTCTGCAAGTATGCTGCCAGTGAACCACTGTTTGTTCCAAGTGAAAATGCTGTGATCACTGGACATCCACATAATTTCCAGCTGAAGCTGCCTGAATGCATTCTTCCCTTCACTGTATAAAATAGGCATGAGGATGCCAAACAACCCCATTAGTGAGTAAGCCTGGTCTTCTACTCATGTAGTCACACAATTAGCAGCCCATGACATTATTTGGGTGATACTGAGATGTGATGAGGACAATCCATGGTATAGAACTGGGACTGGTATATGGGTAACGATCATCAAGGCATGAGTGAGGGTCACTTTGTTCCTGATGAGTTGCCAGTCTCAAGTATAGAGCTGGATGTGCTGGGGAGTAATGAGTTCTTGGAGGGTCCACCCACAAGTGAACCATTCACTGCACATGAGAGCAAAGGCCCACTCTCAGTTGCAGGCAACAGCAGGATCATCTACATTGTCCAGGTAAGCATAGCACAATGCAGAGTTCTTGTACCACTGATACATAGAGTTGATTGCTTCTGCCTGCAACTATCAAGAAATTTGGTATACCCCTTCTGTGCTGAGATATTGATATCTTTTCCATCCTCAATGTCTTGGAATAAGATTTCTTCCTCATGTCAGTGGTGGGATAAGACAGCATATTCAGGAGGCCTTGAGTTGAACATTTCAAGGTGGTAAGTGTGGACATTGATAAGATGCATGGCAGATTAATCTAGATTTTGAATCAGTAAAGTGTAGACATCAAAAACAGTGGGTGGTGGGATATTACCATTGGATGGGCCCTTGATAAACATGGGCAAGTCAACCAATCATTGATCCAAGGTCCAAGAATAAAATGACTGGAGTTGCCCCAATGACTTGCCAAGTGGGCAAGGGAACTCTGACACGTGGCCAATTCTACCAGACTGGTCATCCTTGGGTTGTCCTGCAGGTACACACTGGCCCAGTTTATTCCGAGCAGTCAGAATGGGGCCTGTGCTGGCCTGTGCCTCCCAGTGAGAATTGGACAAATGTGTAACTAGGTAGACAAATGTAGTACTATTTACTAACTATTGTGCACATGTATTGGCATGTGTCATGACATGCATAGGTTGTCCATAGCTATGCCTAGTTGGAACAGGATATTGATTGCATGCAACCTGTCCAATCTGTGCCATCAACTCCATGTGATGTGACATACTTGTGCTAGGTTGTTGAATCTATGCTATCTGGTGCAATCCATGCCATCCATTCCATACTCTTGCTGCACTCACTATGAGTACTACCCACTCCTCATCATGCTGGACCCTGCTCCAAACCTATGGTGTGTATGTCACAAATACTGCAAAGGCATTTGCAGGCCCATTCTTACACTGAGAACTTGGAAGTGGCACCTATGTGAGGCAGACAGTGATGAGAAGGTGTCTATAACACTGGCAACATGATCCAATACTTTCTACACATTCATTGCTACATCTGCTGCAAGTACCAGCACTTCTAACAAATCTGGTACTGCCAGACATGCATGCCTGGTAAGACCACATTAATAACCATTCTTCTCTTTGGTTTAAAAATCCTCTTAGACACTAGAGGCAGGGGATCACCCTCAACTACCTTCCCAGGGAGATGCCCATCAAAATCAGATGGATGACCACATGCATTTGGACAAGGTTGCAGATCAGCAAGATGCTGATGAACATAAGTCCTTCAATATGCTTTTTTTTTTCAAGGTAATCATCAACACCCTGCAGATGTTGATGACAGGCTTGGAGATTTTCATGGTGACAATGGGGCTGGAGATTTTTGTGGTGACAACAGTCATGGAGATGTTTGTGGCAATGATGGGGCTGGAGATGTTCATGGTGATGATGGGGCTAGAGATTTTCATGGTGATGATGGGGCTGGAGATTTTCATCATGACAACAGTCCTGGAGATTCATGGAATCACAACCCACCCACTGGACATGATGACAACCATCCACTTGCTCCACCTGTCTGTTCCCCCCTCCTGGACCTTGATATCGAGAAACTCATTTGTGACACATGCCTACCAAAGATATGGCATGGCCTGCACTTCGTAAAAGACATCAGAAATGCCTCTCTCAATGATGGAGCTGGCACAACATGTGAACCACTCAAGCACCTCTGCAATCCCCCCTGAGAACCTCTGCACATAGACAATCTGTCTACTGAACTTGCCTTCTCAATGTTTCTTGCCCTCAAACATTCATCAGAAAATGCATATACAAAGATTCAGAGAGCTGCTCAGAAGACTTTCCCCAATTGTGAACTCCCTACATTTCAGCAAACAAAACACCTACTCACCAATCTCAGTGGAGTCACATCTGTAGTCAAAGATATGTGTATTAACTCCTGTGCTGCCTTTGTAGGTCCACTCTCTGCTCTTGACACCTGTCCAGAGTGCTCCAAGCCATGATATGACCAAGTCAAGCTGCAGCAGAGCAATGGTAGGACCAAACACCCCCATGCTGTCTTCCATACAATCCCTATCACCCCACAACTCCAGGCCCTTTGGCACCATCCTGAGACTGCAGAGAAGATGCACTACCAGGAGAATCATACCCAGCAGCTATTTGAGGAAATCTGGAGAAACAATGGGTTAGTTGATGCTTACAACAACATATTCTGCAGGGAAGCATACCTCTGCACAGTGGCTCAAAATAGGATCAAGCCAGAAGACATGTTGCTCATGTTATCAATCAATGGTGCTCAATTATATGAGAGTAAGGAGTCTGACTGCTGGATATATATTTGGATCATCCTTGACCTTTCTCCCAACTACCATTACAAGAAAAAGCATGTTCCTCCCAGCACAATCATACCTGGTCCAAAGAAGCCAAGGATCATCGACTCTTTCTTGTTCCTGGGCTTACACCACCTCTCTGCTGTTCAGTGTGAGGGGCTTCACATCTGGGATGCCTCACAAGATTGCGAATTCACCTCATGCCCATTCCTATTTCTTGCACATGCTGATGGTCCTGGCCTACTTACCCTCAGCAACTTTGTCAGCCATCAGGGAAAAAACAGGTGCCACCTGCTCTATCCTGTAAAAGGATGTCATAAACCGGGTGTGTCTCAATATTACCCAGTCCTCCTCAAGCCACACAACTACAATATACCCAACTGCGACCATCCTGACCTCAACATCTATGATTTTGGGCCAGGGAATTCCCAAGTGTACATTGAGCAACTGACATATCTCATCAGCTCACACACCCAGGCTGAGTATGAAAGAAGGTGCCTGAAAATGGGCATTGTCAGACTGAGCATCTTGCTCAGCCTCCAGCCACACCTGCTTCAGGGTATCCCCAAGGTTTTTTTGTCTGAGCTGATGCACCTGAGTGGGGCAAACATAGCCATGCTCTGGGTTGATTTATGGTAGGGCAAATTTGACTGCATGCCCACCAACAACAAATCTTCGTGGTATTGGGCCATTTTTAAGGATAGGGTGACCTGGGAAGCCCACAGCCTTGCTGTTGCCACTTGCAAGATGTATCTACCAGGCTCATTCAACATCACTCCTCACAACCCTTGTCTTCATGCCAATTCCTGGTACAAAGCCACAGAGTACATTACCTGGATTCACAATCTCTGTCTGGCTCTTCTGTACAGAGTTCTCCCTGTCTGTGTCTGGCGCAATTTTTGCAAGTTCATTGCTGGCCTTTGTATTATGTCTCAATACATCATCACTCCTGCCCAACTTTGTTGTGCTTTTCAGCTCATATTGGAATGGGCACCAGAATTCGAGCATATTTTTTACCAGTGTTGTGTTGATTGCATTCCATTCATTTGTCCTTGTGTTCACCTCACATGTCACCTTCCTTCTGAAGCAGCTTGTGTTGGCTCACCCATATGTTCCTCACAGTGGACAATGGAACATACAATTGGCAATCTTGGCCAAGAGATATGGCAACCATCAGACCCATTTTCCAACCTCACACAGCAGGGAATCCACCATTGCCAAGTGAATGTGCTCAAGGCTATGCTACCTCATCTCGACCCTCCTGAAAATGACAACCCACATGCATCTGCTGACCTCCATAATGGCTATGTCCTCCTTGCCAAACATGACAAGTGTCTCATCACTCTTCAAGGAGCAGAGGCCCAAATTATCTCAGAGTATCTCAGAGTTCCACTTGCACCCAGAATCTGATGCTGGGCATGCCTTCATTTGCCCAATGGCCAAATTGTGCAGTCTGAGTATCAAGAATTGCAGAAGTCCCCAGACAAAATTCACATGGCTCAGAATGTTAAGGTACATGAATTGTAGTTAACTCTTGCTGTACATTTGCTCATCATATCATAAAAGGTTTTCCTTGATGGCAGAGACTGCATCACAGAAGTCCAGTACTTCACAAGACTCATTGTCAGGGCACCAGGCAACCATTCCAATGATGATGATGACAACAATGATGACCTTGATGCCCCTGATAAATTAGAATATGACAACATTGCTCTCATCACTCTCTATTCCAATCCCCACCCTCACCTATTCAAGCAATCTTACAGGGTTGTCACTTCCTGTACCAAGCAGGGTGAGCCAAGTTTGCAAGTCATTCTGGTTTCCTCCATTCAATCAGTTGTTGCAATGGTGCTGCATCATCCCATCATACAAGGTATGGTCAAGGAGAGGTATTTCCTGGTGGAGAAGATGGGTGTAGACATTGCACATCTCAGGGTCAAAGAAAATGAGGAGGATTGAGCTTAGCATACATGTACTTCTTGTTGGAGTTTATCACTTTTACCTTAGTTGTGGTTCACCGAGCACAGCATTACGTAATCCAAAAGCGGACACTTAGCAGTTTATTTTTTTTTTTTCTGCACCTCAGCTTCAACCAACTTGAAGTCTGAGGTGGGACTCCTTCCATTCATTATATTGGAACACTTACTTACCTACCTACAGTATATTCCTCTCTATAGGTAGTTAATTGTTTAGCTTCAACCAACTTGAAGTCTGAGTATATTCCTCTCTATAGACTTGACAATCCTGCAGCTCGTCATCCTCCAAAACTTCTGTCATTCTGTCTGTCTGAAGTATTGTGGAGACAATAAATTTTTGCATTCATGTCCTTTCAGCTTGCAAACTACTCAGCAGCCAAAAACACTGGTATTAAAGCATGGTAAACCACAGTAATGTACACTGTCCTCAGTACAAAGCACATGGCAGATGTCCTTGCACAAAAAAAAATGTTCACCAGTAGATGCCTAGACCTTGCTCATGCCATCGCTCTTGGCAACCTCTCCACTGGAACCACTACCAATGGCCTCCAACACAGGCCTCATCACTGCTGGGAATGTCAAAAACATGTCATACATCATGACTGAGGTGTCAGGAGAGATCTTGTGGAACATGTGAGGGCAATGGGGGGGCCAATTCTCATCAAAGGTTTTATGCTTTACTGGAGGAAATTGGTTTAAAGTCCCATGAAGTTGAACAGGGACCATGAGTGTGGTTGTCAGTAACATTGTGTCATGAGTCATCTCCTTGTTGTTGGAGGTCTCCTAGTCAGAAGTATCTTCTGGACTTCCAGACCATAAAGCCTCCTCAAGCCTGCAAAGATAAGAACACCTCCAGAAGTTACACAAGACTTACTGAATAGCAGTGACCATAATTTTCACATCACTGTTGCTGGTTAATGTGCCTGTAATCAATCTGGTTAGAAATGTTGGCTATATGTGCCATGATACCTACAGTACTCCACAATCATGGCTTCATCTTCATTGTCAGAGTCAACCTTCACATATTTTTTTGGGTTCTTGAGATGCAGGATTAATTTCTGTAAGATGTCAGTCATGCAATGGGTAGAGTTAGAATAGCTTAAGACATACATGTGGGCCAGGATTTTCTGGTGTGAAGTTAATAACATATGCTGGCCAACCTTGAAGGAGGTTTTTGACCTTGAGTATGATGACATTTTCGATGATCTTGACAGTGGTGGGAGCCATATGGATAAGAGCAGTAGACAACAATGTAGTACTAGACTTAGTGTAGGATTTGGACTTAGGGAGAAATTGTGCTGTCAAGTGACAAATAATGATAAACATGGGTGTTCGCTCCACCATCTGTGATGTCAACATCCAGCCTTTCAGACAGCCAGGTGTCCCCCCTTTTTATGTCTAATTCTCTGCCAGAGCTATATAATTCCAGTACAAGTGGTCCTAATAACTTTTTCAGGTGCAACAGCATGCAGAGTCCTGCATCTTTTTCAACCCCTAACAACACCTTGTCATGGGCCAACAACTTGCAGATGGCTGGTAATGTGGCAGATCCAGCTGCCTCTTCACTGATGTTCCCTCTTCAATAATGCAGCCCAGCTACACATTATCCCATAGCCAAGCTTTCCCAGAAATGATACCAAATGTGAGTGCATGTGTGTCTACTGATTTCCTCACATATATGTGGCATAGGCACAGGTTCTGCAAGACATGATCAATAGACTTCAGCAAGAGAATACTGCATTGAAGGCAGAACACACTGCCATGCAGTAAGTTGATCACCAAGCAAAGATTACTGACATTGTTATCTCTGTCATAGGAACACATACAATACCCTTGTTTCAAGGCTAATGTTAAACCAGCCAGACCAGAGTGCTTTATCAGATGGATTTCTCAACATCTCACTGAAATCACTGCCAATCACTACAATGCCATTCCTCAATGTACCTCCAGTCCTTCAGCTCAACTGAGCTGACCATCCCAAAGTGTGATACTGGTTTGAGAAGGATTGGAAGGCTTTTTGTATGACAGTGCAAGGACAAGCATCCTCTGCTATGGCATTTATTGAAGATGCAAATGGACAAGAACTTGCAAGTGAGAAAATTACCAATGTCCTGCAGACCATGCAGAGTATTTGGCATGAGTTCCATACTCATGGACTCGTTGATGCCCAGACTACCTGGACATTGATGTTGCTGCAAGTCAAGAAGGCATTCCACAGTGAGCTCATTCAGGCATTTCCAGAGCTAAACTTTTGCAAAGACTCATGGAAGAGTGACCTCCTTGCTAAGAAGCATTACTTGTCTTTCAAACAAACCTGGTTCACAAATAGGATGGATGAAAAAACCAACAGCACTACCAAGCACAAGACAAAGAGCAAGGTAGCTGAGGACACAGACTCGCAGACTGGAGTCAGAAACATTAAGTGCATGAAGATTGACATATTCATGGCCCCAGACAACAGAAATGATGATGGCCTGCAAGCTGACAGTGCCAACATGTCAAGTAGTTCAGTTGATTCAGCTTCTAGCAACTCCATCAGGCCAAGCATATCCAACATAAACAACACTCCTGGGGTGTTGATATTGTCCTCAGAGTCTCTCTCCACATCTAGCCCATTACTTTCGTGAAATGATCAAGACTGTGATGCTCATATGTGACCTGACCATGCTTGTACACCAGGTGAGATGATATTATGGGATACATCATAAACTAATTTTTTGTTTTCAGGCATGCCTGTCATCCCAGTTGTTCCAACACTGAACACAGTTGAGCAGGAGGATGACACTGGTATCAGCATGGCTGCATGGCTGATTAAGAACCCCCTGTAAGTAACCTCACATGCATGTATCCTTGCTAACACCACCTATAGATCCTCTTTGCATCCACCTCCTGTTGTCAGAGATTTTCTAGAGCTGATCATGACCATATCTGAGTCTGTGTGACTAAATGAAAACTCACACTCATCCAACAGGTGCATGAGCACTATTGACAAAGGGGAGTCTCAAGTCAAAGCCCCAAGTACAAGTAAGCAACACCAACTGACCAATATCCATCCTGACATGGAGAGTAGGTGTAATGTCAAGCATATCACAACCATCAGCACAGCAAATGGCCCCACAACCCACAGATGGAATGAAGAAGAAGGTGTAGCATTCTCATTTGAACAAGAGTGGCAGGTATGTGTGCCACATTTGTATCTTGTCAGTTGCTAACTATCCCATCAGAACGTTGTGCATGCACCATTATCAGAAACAGGTTGGCAGATCACTAGAGGAGTTCAACAAGTACTTTGATGAGTTGCCTTCCAAAGCAAAGGTGGTATGTATTCTCCTGATCAAGTAGTCATTTGGCTACTCTAACTGCCATGCATATACAGAAATACAAAGATGAGGCAAACAATCTGGTACACATCATATACCTGATATAACCACATCTCTCATGAAGAGTCTTGCAGGTAGAGTGCAAGATCTGGATTAATGGGACAGCTGCCATTGTGGCCAAGTTTTCAGGTGGCACTATGTGCTAGGAGGCATGTTTTGGCAGACAGGCAAGCAGGAGCAGTGGGGTGAGGGCAGTGTGGATGAGAGGGAGCACAGGCAGTGCAAGGGTGGGTGGGTGGGCATCATTGCAACTGTACTTCTACATAGCATGGCATAGACAAATGCAATTTGTTAATTCACAAATTTATGGCATCATCTGACATAGATTGTCATATGGTGCATGTCACCTAGTCACCACTAGTTTTGTGCAGTGGCCAATTCAGGTTGGGAAAAACAAACCTAGGGGTCAAGATGTTGGCTAACTACTTAGTGGCATTGAAGACAGGTGGAAAACATGGCAAATAGGGTTGATGTATAGTACATGTCAGCTATAGTACATCAATTGAGTGAAAAATTATTAGCAACAGCATGCCTCACACCAGCAAATGATACCTGAAGGTGGCCGCAGCTGGTCATGCTGCAAAAGCTAACAAAAGAGCTGAAAATATCAAAACCTACCCTGAGACAGATGTGGGTCTCAAGACCCTGAGTTCTGACACAGAACGAGAAGGGGGTACTGCAGATCAATGCAGCTGGGATGGAGCAATCAACTGCTTGGCTTTGGATTCTGCCACTAGCAATGATGACAGCCAAGATGAGGTGGATGTCTGGGAACTGGAGGGCACAGAACTCTTGCAAAGTTTAGAGTTGTGCTTTACAAAGGAACACAAGTTGCTTACCACTCCAACACCATATCAGCTGCTGCAGCATGGAGCAAGGCAGAAAAAAATTGCCATCTTGGGTACAATGGTTTGTTGGCAAGAACAAAGCAGCAGCATGATCAGAGGGTGTGGGAAAGAGAAGCAAAGGATGCTGTGGTGTGTCAGAGGTGAGTACACATACAGCCCAATACACAAAAGAAACATACTCACTACTGCACAAATGTGCAGTGTGGCTGCTGATATGATGCACTCCTTTTTTGTCTGGGAGCCACAGTTCAAACAGACATTGCAATGAGCCACTGCCATGCAATCCACATCCACATCCACCCACCCATCTGAGTCAGTCGATCAACTTGAGTCCATGGATCCAATTGTCACAGATGTCTTTACTGGATATCTGTCAGATCTGCCAACTTCAGACTCTGAATCTGGCTCAGGTGATGAGGATGAGCTTGACTCTGGAGTGGACCAAGATAAGGATGGCTCTGAAGGTGATGAAACCACACACCCATGTCCTTTCCCAGCACAACCACCACCACCTTTGAAAAGATGTTGACTCAAGGTTCCTGTGTGTGTCACTCATCAGCAGAACCAAGCACAGAGATACAAAGCCCTTGAACAAGCCCTAAATGACATTGAAAAGCTTATTCAATCAAAAAAGGAATTTTTTGATGCTGGTCAGCATGGTCTTCAGGCATACCATGCACATGCCATCCAAAGTTGCTTATGGATGAATGTCTGGAATAAGAGGGACCAAACTGAGGCTTCCAAGTGAGCTGCTGAGAGCCAGGGATTTGCTGAACAGTGGGGTGGGAGGATGGTCTGCCATTGGGTGCAGCAGTGGGTTGCTGCTCAAGAGCTGCCAGTTTCATCTTGGGGGCACCATTCAAAAACATTTTCACTGTATGACAATCCTGCAATATGAGATGAACTGTGATCATTCATATGGTCCAACAAATTGGCAATGAATCCTCTGAAACTCATTGAATTCAGCAAGGAAAAGATGGTTCCTGCAGCTGCAAAACAGTACCTTGAACAGATCACAAATGTTGAGATGCCACAAGGGCTCAAAAAATATATGGAACTTGAACTTTTCCCCTGCATTCAACTGAAACCAAGCAAGGGTGTTTCTCTGGCAACTGCACACTGTCTCTTGAGGCAAGAAGGTTTTCATTTCCAGGAATACAAGAAGTCTCTGTATTATGATGGTCATGAACAACCAGATGTCATCAGTGACCAGCAAACCCACTTTCTTCCAGAAATGGAAAAGTACAAATGTCGACTGGTGGAATATGTTGTTGGAGATGTTGGGAACAAGATGCTGAAGAGTCCCTCTAATTATGTTGAGAACTGTCTTGTGCTCTGTGCACATGACAAGATGACAGCCCAAGCCAATGATGACATGGGAAGGGGTTGGATCTTTGATGGAGAGCAGTGGCTGCACAAGAAAGGTGTTGGACATGGGGTGCACCAGAGTGATGTCATCTGTTTGACTGTTGGATGGTTGTGGGAAGCAAGTCAAACTCTGGAATATGGAAAGAATTATGAGGGGTACTGGACTGGGGAGCTTTTTGTTAAGCAGGTAATCATATTTTTATTTTATAGACATCAGTGAATTTGCTCACAAAAACAATGCAGCTCAAAGAGAAGATTATTCCAGCATTCAAACATGCTCATGGTCCTGGATATCAGATGCTGCTCATGGTTGACAACTCACAAGGTCACTCTGCATATGCCAAAGATGCCCTCTTGACATCATGAATGAATATGAACCCAGGTGGTAAGCAAGCCTGGATGTGAGACACTTGGTTCATATGCAATGGAATAAAGGTTACCCAGCAAATGATCTTTCCAACAGACCATGCTGACTTCCCTGATATGCCCAAAGGCATGAAGCATGTCCTGATAGAGCGAAATCTGTGGCATGACAATCTCCGCATGCAGTGCAAGGATGGCTGTGCATCAGACCACTGCTGTGCCAAGCAAATTCTTGATCATCATCCAGACTTCAAGGCACAGAAGTCTCTTGTGCAAGAAGTTGTTGAATCAGCAGGTCACTTATGCATGTTTCTTCCAAAATTTCACTGCAAGCTAAACTTCATTGAGTACTTCTGGGCAGCCACAAAGCAGTACCTTCACAAGAATTGTGATTACACATTTGCCTTGCTTCAGGCAAATATGCCAAAAGCTTTGGGGATGGTGGAAATTCACACAATCCGAAAGTGGGAGCACCAGATGAAATGGTGGATGGAGGCCTATGGGAGTGGGTTGGGTGCAAAGGATGCTCAATTCCATGTGCAGTCTTTCAGCTCAAGGAAATACAAATCACATTGCCACATTCATGAAGCTGTTGCAACTGCAGTGGAGGGGGTCAATAACCATAATTAGTAATTTTATAGGGGACACTTTCCTAATATGACTTTATTCCCATGCCTGGCCATTTCAACTGCTGCCCAAAGTTATAACTCAGTCAGTTTTTGAGATACTAAAAATCTGGCTAGTGAAGTTGTTCTAATGTTAAATTTGAGCCTTTTTACTAAGTTTGAAGTCATTCTTTGACGATTTGCATGTACTGAAAAGCTTGTACAAAACTAGTGGTGACTAGGTGATGTGCACCATAGGACAATCAAGCAGAATAAGAGACAAAAGGCTGTCAAGTAGCTTGAGCTAGCAAAAAAAGCTATGGAGCTGACCTATTTCGTATGTGGGGCAATCTCTACCTATGGCATAGATCTAGCTACGTGTACATCGTTCCACATATGTCCAATTCTCACTGGGTGTGCCTATCCATCAGCCTGACTGGTGCACCTCGCTGACTCATCAGACTTTCAACCTCCGCTATCTCGTTCGTTTATAAGCCTCCGGGGGGAGTGGCACACCTTGTTTCCTCCGTGTTTACCACAGCTCACAACCTCCAAGCTACTCCATTTTTGCGTAGGCAATCGTTAATCCCGTTGTTGGTGTATCTTTTTCTCACAGAATCCCATGTAGGATGCAAATCTTCGTTAAGACCCTTACTGGCAAGACCATCACCCTCGAGGTGGAGTCTTCCGACACTATCGACAACGTCAAGGCGAAGATCCAGGACAAGGAAGGGTGGGTACTATTGTTCACCTCTCACAGGAATGCAATAATTGACATTAACTTGTTGCAGTATTCCTCCGGATCAACAGCGCCTCATCTTCGCTGGTAAACAACTTGAGGACGGTCGAACTCTCTCGGATTATAACATCCAGAAGGAGTCTACCCTCCACCTTGTCCTCCGCCTTCGCGGTGGTATGCAAATCTTCGTCAAGACCCTCACGGGCAAGACGATCACCCTTGAGGTCGAATCATCTGACACCATCGACAACGTGAAGGCAAAGATCCAGGATAAGGAGGGCATTCCTCCCGACCAACAACGTCTGATCTTCGCTGGGAAGCAGCTCGAGGACGGTCGGACGCTCTCTGACTACAACATTCAGAAGGAATCTACCCTTCACCTCGTCTTGCGTCTGCGTGGTGGTATGCAGATTTTCGTCAAGACCCTCACCGGGAAGACCATCACCCTCGAGGTCGAGTCGTCCGACACTATTGACAACGTCAAGGCGAAGATCCAGGACAAGGAGGGAATTCCTCCCGACCAACAACGTTTGATCTTCGCCGGCAAGCAGTTGGAGGATGGCCGGACGCTGTCCGACTATAACATCCAGAAGGAATCGACGCTCCACCTTGGTACGCATGATCCGTTTCACATGTTGCACATCCGCTGACGTGCCGATGTCAGTCCTTCGTCTCCGTGGTGGCATGCAGATTTTTGTCAAGACGTTGACTGGGAAGACAATTACCTTGGAAGTGGAGTCTTCGGACACCATTGACAACGTGAAGGCGAAGATTCAGGACAAGGAGGGCATTCCTCCTGACCAGCAGCGCCTCATCTTTGCTGGCAAGCAGCTTGAAGACGGCCGCACTCTCTCCGACTACAACATTCAGAAGGAGAGTACTCTGCACCTTGTCCTTCGTCTTCGCGGTGGTCTTTGAGGTGTTCGCCAATCTAGCATCGTATGAACGTGTCCCACAATGTGTCCCTCGTGTAGCTGTAATCTGAACGATGTTCGTTGATAATTGGACTTTCGATTCTTCCTGAGATCTGAAACGTGCTGAGTGACTGGAATCAGACCCGCACTTGTATGGTGCAAGTGATTTCGCCATGAGATCACTGACTGCGAATGTAGGAGGAAAATTGTCTCGGGAGGAAAGCCGGCAGTCATCTATTTGCTCCGTATTCATGTCTGTTTTTTGCTTGACTGACGTTGCCAAAGAGAGCGAAACTGTGTGGCTGTCTCGTATATTTAAAACTTGAAAGTCGTCATGCACCAGCTCACCGCGTATACTATTTAGATTAACTTTGCTAGTGTTCCCCATTCACTATAGATCAGACGCTTGAGAACATGCACGGACATTAAGGGGCCTTGTCGACCGACAATATTTTCCAATACAACCTGGACGTATCCGGACCGCGACGATAACTGGATTCCGGAATTCCACGAGGGCCGACGAGCCAGCGCTCTCCAGAATCTGTCTTTTGACAGCCGATGCTGGTGTCTGGTCTCTTTTCGGTACGTTTTCCTGTCATTCCAGTATCAGTTAAAGTTGATATAGTTTGTATTCCACGCAGAGGGTTGAGTAGCCCAATCATAGATTCGGCTTTTCTTCCGACAGGCAGTGCAAAGATGATAACATGTATGTATTTGACTTGCGCCTGCGTGCGCATGACCTTATCATGAATTATAACTTTCTGGATCCTTTCTGGGCCAGGTGTCACATTCAGTGATAAATCAATTCACTCGGCACAGGCTCCGGTTCTGACCGTCGCAAAGGTTTGCCAAAATGACACGTACATGTACACACATCTAACTGGCTCGCCGCAGCCCAGATATGTGGTGAGACCATTTCGGAAAGCGGGGGTTGAACGTTGAGTGCGGGTACACGCGGCTTCACGTTGAAACGGACCTCCCTTATAGAAGCGCGTAATAACGAGAGAACCACCCTTTCCTCCCTCTGGGAACCGGTTGCGATCAGCCCACGTATGTCCTCGTCCTACTACAAGCTCAGGCTAGTAACCTTACAGCACTCGTGTATTTTGCGGCACTAATCTAATAATCGCAGCCTACTTGGAGTCCGCACGGTCCCGACATCGTATGCGTTTGCGATGATATCTTATCGCCTGGAGTTGGAGCTTCTTGAGTCACTGTGTCTTTTTATGTAAGGTCAGTGACAAGGTTTCTGATCGGACCAGCAGCAGACTGCAAACATGCTACAACAGCGCCTCTACGAGCAGTATAGTACTTCTTCCTCCCATTCTCTCCCACCTTATTTCCACCAGCCCTTGAGCGTTGAACCACCGGAAGCATAAGGATCCTGTATTTTCATGCGTAGTGATGCCTTTCAATTACCAGTCGACAGGCGAACGGCCCACTGGGGACTACGACTCAGAAGCTATCACTGTGTACGCCATTACCTATGCGTTATCTAAATGGTATTTGCTGATCACTCTATCTCATCGTCTTTGCAGCCCATGTGAGACCGATGCGCTGAAGGGATCTAGGAGCACACGGCGAATGACCACTCAATCCTGGATCATCATCGCCACTCTCCTTTTTGGTTTACCCTTTCTTTTCGAAACCACTGCGCACGTAGCAAACCAATGCCCACTCTCCTACGGTAGTAGGGCACAAATACGGGAAGAATGGCAGAAGGAAGTTTCTGCTCAAGAGCGCCTCCACCATGAGTGGCATCGTGAAAAAGTGGATCAGGAAAACCTTCGCTTGGAATGGTTATTAGAAGAGAGACATCATGAAGAGCAAACGAAGCAGCGCCGGCAACGTGAAGAAGAGTACGAAGAAGATATGCGACAGGAATGGAAAAAGGAAACTGAGAATCATTTGAAACATCAAGCAGAAGAGCGTCGTCGGTGGGAAATCGAGGAGGAGAACCACTGGCAAGAGATGGAACAGCTGCGCCTCGAGTGGCAACGCGAAGAAGAGGAACAGAGGCACAAAATGGATAGACAGCGCGAGGAGTGGCACAGGGAAATGGAAGAACACGACCGCTTGGAAAGAGAACGCCGTGACCAAGAGAAGCGTGAACGTCAGAAGATGGGCATGTTTTGGGATCAGGTGGAGGCACACCACTGTACCACTTACGCCACGAGGGAGTACTCGGCTGTTCTTGCAAATCTTCCAGTCGACTACCCCCATCGAGTTGAAGCTTGCAAGGAGATACCGATAGAGATTCATGGCAAGAGCTACCTGCCAAAGCACTGCGAGGATCAAGTTCGTTTCATATGTTACTGTCACATATTGGATACTGATCATCGCTTACTCCGTAGGGCCCAGGCGTAGTGATTGGACGATGGGAAATCAATCATAACGAGCCCGATTGTGTTCCCTTCTGGAATTGGTTCAAAGACAAGGTGGGGTTCACGGTCATTCAGCCTGATGACGGCCATTAATCCTGTTTATGCAGGGCTGCACGTCCGAGCGATCTGGAAGGAGGGTAACTATCATCGACAACTGTCCCATGACAAGTGCTTACAGATTGTTTATATCCGTAGCGTTTCGAACATTACCTTGAGAATTTGCCTTATGGTGGCGACTGGCGAGAATTCTGTGCCACCACCCCTGTCAGCTTCCACGGAATGCACTTTCCTGGTGCCCAAATATGTTTCCAATATGTGAGTGTCCTTTTACTAGTCGTGCGCTTGCTCCGTGCAGAACTAAACTGACTCGTTACAGAATCTTGGAACTTACGGACACTGGGAGATAGAAGATAATAGTTGCTAAGTGCATAATCTTCACCCGTTTCTTCATCCTCCCAATCTTGTACAATGGACGGCCGAAGAGGTCCAATTGTGAGTATTCATGATGACCGCCGTCACCGCTATGTCTGTGATGAGTCTGTGTACTATTTGTATTCACGTTCGAAGTTCAATGTGACGATGGCATGTTTCACATCAAACTCCGAACGAGAATATAATGTCGTGACGGTCTTACTAGTACTTTGCGTGGGTTACATGATCCCCTTCAGCCACGAGTCCGACTTCGGTAGCTCAGATTTCAAGCTTTCAAGTTTCTAATGTTCGACGTTGCATCCCTTAACGGCGTCCGTGATATTTGATGGAATCCCTGATTGCCTTTGAATCCACCCTCTGCCAGGGAGCTGATTGTCATCTGGCCCAGCACGTACAGATGCCTCTGTCCTTGGCCTTCGAACTTCAAATTCTCGCCTCACGCAGCCTAGCACTGGTTTTTCAAGACCGAATCCCACGACCAGTCATGTGAGCCTGGGCCCCGCTATCTAGAGTTTTGATCGATTGATCATTTTTGAGTGTTATGCTTGTTTGGCTCTTACCTTAAGAACAATATTCCCATCATGAGGGTGTTCAACAAATCTGTCCGCATAGTGCTGGCTAACCAGTGCTATCCCATTCCCTTGTTAAAAGCAGCACCGTGACTGCAACAGCCGGTGATATTGTTCCCACGATTTAGGGGGCCTCTCCTAAGGTAACCCGCAGTTCCACTGGACCACTTCCACCATCATCCACCAGCTTGTGTCCAAAGGTGCGCAACCGTGGGGGCACTTGAGCGACACGGAAACCCACCCCAGTACGTAACTTGTATGCTGTTGGCTTGCTTCAAGGGCTGTGGCACCACTGACCAGCATGCCCATATAGGGGACTGCGAAACCCTTTGTTCGAGATAATCAACAACATGGGACGGAGGGGCCGCATAATCGTGTACAATCAACCTCGTCTTTCCGAGCAACTTCAGCTGCTCAATCATTTCGGCTACTCAGACCTCCAAGTGCATATGCCTTCCAAGGGTGTCTCCCAGGAGAGTGACGACAACGTTCACGCCAACACCCCCATTCGCCTTCTCGAGACCATCGCGGTCGCGCTGACAACCGGCAAACCCGGAGAGGTGCTTGCCACTGCATTTGACAGACGTGAGGGTCTAGCCCTTGTATTGGCAAAGAACGACGTTGTCACTGTCGAAGATCATCAAGCCGTTCGTGACTTGTTCAGTGTGCTCACTGCTACGACAACTAAGGACGCACGCAATGTTTTTCCTTTCCTTTTTGCTCGTTGTCGGATGAAGATCGAGAAACGGGTCAGGAAGATGTGCGAAGTTGTGGCCGCATTTTTGCATGACCTCGAACAAGTCCTAAAGGACTATGAACCCTCGCCCTCCGTCGAGGACGAGTTCCCTGACTCTTCGCAGTATCGCGAAGACAAGTGTTCTGGCGATGAACCTTCGTTTCCGCAGTTGATGCATGACCTTTTGATGGATCTCGTGACGAGGGCTCGAGGCTTTGACTCCTGGGATGCCAATCTCTCAGCGCAACTCTACATGGATCTTGCACAGATTGCCCGTGTTTTGTACAGATCCCGTCTTCTGCGTTCGCTCCGCGGAGCCACCAATCTCTCCCGGAAACCGCGGGGAGAGAAGCTGCAACGCCGTCTCGCTAAGGTGTGCCAGTACTATCATGGCATTAACAGCCTCATCGCACATGCAAAGGGCGATGTCCTGCGTGGCCTTGTGTATCGTTGGGTCGACGCGAGCCCTGCCTCTGCGGAGACAAGAGTTCACCTCTGCGAGGACTACTTGGAGGCCGTCTCTCGTGCATTCCGCAAAGACCTCCCAGAGGAAACTGTAGCCATGCTGCGTGAGAGGTTTCCAGACATGGAGGAAAACTGGCATAGCAGCCACGTTGTTCAGACCCGCATTCATCCCGAAACTCGCATTTTGTATGATCTCACCGAGCCTCCCAGATCTCGGGATTTTCGTCAGCCACAACCTATCGGATGTAGCAAACGGAGTTGCTTGTGCTGCACCCTGTGGATCGAAGCATACAATATGACATACGGCACGCAGTGGCTGTTGAGCAGTTCACATGGCAGACCATGCCCCACTTGGGCTTTTCCTGTTCGCGCGTTATCTGTTGTTAATTCGACAAATGGGAGGAAGATCGTCGACGAAACTGTCCAGACAAAGATCAAGGAGTGCCTGGATCACACTGTGGATCTGCTGTTTCCGCGCCAGAGGTCTCTGTGCCTCTGTGGCGGAGAGTCATCGAGCGACTCGGAAATCGAGGAATGGAGTCAATTTTGGGCACTGGGTGCCAAGCGTGGCCAGCGAAGAGTTCTTACCACCCCTTGCACCCCCCGTTGTAAGTTGTCAGAATATTATGGCGAGTAGTAGGCGAAATAGCTTATGCCTCATCATGTATTCGTTACTCCTTTTCCACTGTAATACCTCCCTACGTTTCCTCACCGATTTTTGATCACACGTGTATCCATTTTCATCTGCCATCAATCATTAATTTTCTTCCCTAGAGTTACACCATCGTATCCTCCGTGATATCGTGCATGAACAGGTTGCGAAAAGTGAGTACTCTAGTCGCGCTTCCTAAGTCTCTTTCACTTCCTGTGTGACTCGTTAAGTTCAACAAGAAAAGTTGTTGTGAAAGATCTGTTTGAGGGTCCACGTTGAGCGGCGGCTCGGCTGGGCCGGTTTCATCGTTGTGCACTTCGTCGGGGCTCATCTTGTCGTTGGCGGGAGCGGTTGACATCGTCGACATCGAACAAAGTCAATGTCACATATAGAAATCATCGGGTGACGTAATAAAGGTTGTTGCACTAAGGATAAACTTAAACATCGGATGTCGTTATGCACATTACAGTAATGGAAGGACAGCGATTTCGTGGTTGTGGAATGCCATTCATGATCGAAAGTCCGCCTACAGCCAATAGTCGTTCCACCTCCAATGCAGCCATACACCCGCTTATCTTGGAAAACCGCCGTGAGTACGAATCTCAGTACGACAGCTGCTCCATGACTTGTTCGAATACGTGTCGTAGATATTTTTACTAGTGAGCATAAACAACAATCGATGGCTGGATGGGCCACGAGATTTTTGCGGATAATTCTTCAGTGCTGGCAGGGGTGTGGGGGGGTGTTGGATAAGCCAGAGATGCCTCTGGCAGCGACATGGATGATACTATCAGCAAGAGGTGAGGAAACCACCATGAGGGACATACCAGCATCGATGTCGAAAGTGATCTCGATCCAAGGGACGCCCTTCGGAGCAGGAGGAATGCCAAGAGGTTGAAGTTACCAAAGAGTTTGCGTTCGTGTTCACCCTGGAAGATCTTGACCTCGATGGCGGTCTGGTCGTCGGCAGCGGTAGAGAAAAACTAGGACTTCTTCGTCGGGATAGTCGTATTGCGATTGATGAGCTTGGCCATGATACGACCGAGAGTCTCGATACCGAAGGAGAGAGGAGTAACATGGAGAAGAAGGATGTTGGTGACATTTCCGGCGAGAACATCACCCTGGATAGCAGCACCAATTGAAATGGCTTCATCCGGGTTAACACCTTCAATTGCTTGGGTCGCGACCGAAGATCGACTTCACGGTCTCGCCAACCTTGTCAAATTCTCGCCTCACGCAGCCTAGCACTGGTTTTTCAAGACCGAATCCCACGACCAGTCATGTGAGCCTGGGCCCCGCTATCTGGAGTTTTGATCGATTGATCATTTGAGAGTGTTATGCTTGTTTGGCTCTTGCCTTAAGAACAATAATTGGCGGCAGTCCCATCATGAGGGTGTTCAACAAATCTGTCCTAATAGTACTGGCTAACCAGTGCTATCCCATCCCCTTGTTAAAACATCCACGCTATCCTCTACCTCCAGGCTGTGCAAGCGGACACAGTTGTCATCGGTGCGAGTTTTGTGGTGGGTTCCGTTCCCTGACATTGTTGACCATGCTCTTACATCCATATCAAGCACGCGATGCGCTTGATTGATGTTGATGCCTTCTTGGATCGGGAGTTAAGAATTCGCGATGAAACTCTATCTTCCGTCGAGGTTCTGAAAGAGCTCGACGATGCAAGCACAGATTATGCGATATTGTCACATCGCTGGGGCGATGAAGTGAGCTACGAAGAGGTGATACAGCTAACAAAGATGGACAACAGAGACGAGATACGAAGGCGCAGTGGTTACCTGAAGATCATGAAGAGTTGCGAACAGGCGAAAAGTGACGGCCTCAACTGGCTATGGGCAGATACTTGTTGTATCGACAAGCGGAGTAGCTCAGAGTTATCGGAGGCTATAAATTCAATGTTCCGATGGTACGAAAACTCGAAGCGGTGCTACGCTTACCTTCATGATACTTCTGTCTTTCCCACGACGCGCGACTGCGCGAGCTTTCGAGGGTCTAATGGCTGGCCAGAGTGGTTTTCGCGGGGCTGGACGTTACAGGAGTTGATAGCGCCGAAGGACATCCAGTTCTTCAACCGAGATTGGAAACTCATCGGCGACAAAGGCAGCCTTGCGTCTAAATTACAGGAAATCACCCGGGTCCCGGTCAGTGTCTTAAAGAGTGGATTATCTTCACAACGGTTGAGTGTTGCTCAAATCGTATCCTGGGCTGCCGACAGGAGGACCACCCGAATTGAGGATCGCGCATATTCGTTGATGGGTCTACTGGATGTCAACATGCCGATGTTGTATGGAGAAGGGAAGAAAGCATTTCAGCGTCTACAGCTCGAGGTTATTCGTATGTCCAACGACCAGAGCATCTTTGCCTGGGACCCGGAAGGAAAGAATCGGCAGACTACCAGTGTTCTTGCCGACGACCCAAGTCTTTTTCGGGATTGCCATGACATCGTCAAGATGGTGCCAATGGAATTTAATGAGGAGCTTCCATCTCTGTGGAAGTCGGATGAAGAATTCTTGACAATGCCGGAGGACCAAGGATCCCTGGCATTTACCGTCACCAATGCAGGAATCCAGATATGGCTTCCGCTTTTACCTTACTGGGGCTGCCCTTCACTTTTCCAGGCGGCATTAGCATGTCGGAGAGAGGGCAGTAGGGTGCCAATGACCATTGACTTGGCGTCCTCAAAATCCAGGCATTACAGGTATTTCGGGGCGACTGCGAGACCAAAGCCCTCTCCGGAGTTGGGACAACTCTACCTTGCTTACCGGGCAGAGCCGCGCCATGATTTCATTTTCAAGGTTGACGACAGGACAATTCCCTATTATGGTTTCTCCCGCCGCGACGTGTTGCCGAAAGAGGTGGTCTCCACAGAGGATACCATTACACTATCACGTGCATGTCCTCTTGCCGTCATACTCTATGCCAATGGTAAACCTAATGGTTACTTCGCGGTTGCGTTTGGTCACTGCTTTGGCCAAGATTGGGTGCATGTTATTGCTGATGAACAGGGATCATCGCCGCCGTCCGATGCTATTGGAGTGTATGACCGTATGTGGAACGCAGGTGCAGAATATGCCCGACGTATGGGGGAAGCCCGCTTGGGTACTCACTCGGGTTCACAACGTGAGCCGCATCGCATCAAGCATAGTCATCTGAAAGAGTCTATTTTTGGCGTGGAGGTTGTCTGTGGCAAGTCGGAGAAGTCAGACCATTGCAAAGTTACGATTGACGTCGTCAAATGCCCCGGCTGCTGCCAGCAGCCACTCGAGTGGGAACTTACATATGTTAGTTGTGACTTAACGGCTTTATTATTGTGTTATGTACCCTGACCACCGACGATGTAGAGAATCGGCGACGGCGATACCCCCGGTCTTATGTTGCCGCTGACTTATTGGCTTATCAACCTTGGTCATCATCGTCTGTTGGTGGATGGGGTGGCTGCGAAGTTTGTTCTTTCGGAAACTCTCCAGGGGACCCAGGTGTGTCGTAATCCATCAATCCGATCAGTCGATCCTGAGAGAAGCAGCTGGGGGACTACGGTGATATTCAGCAGCACTCCCACGGATTTATGCATCGCCGAGGGAACATCTTCGAAGATCTTCACCTACTCCAGCCTGAACTTAGACTGTATCCGGATGATCCAGACCTCAAGCCTGTGGTACATAGAATCAGCGGTGAATCTGGAGCGGGTACTGATGACCAGGATGTGACAAGTATGATCGGTGATTCAGGGACAGACCCTGCACTCATTCTGCGCCGTCCAATTGGCCTGTCTCTTCCAAATACTCGGGCTGTTGCAATCCTGCTGAGAGCCTTGTCTGCTCGTAGCAGCAACTACGCTTTGGTAACAACGGTTATACGTTGTTCTGCATGCCGCCCAACCGATAAGTTCAAGGACAATCTGGCAAAAAACTCTTGGGGTTACTCTCATTTCTGGAGAACTTGTAGGCGTCTTTCTTACTTTGTTGTCGTCACTTACACCCGGGATCAGATTCTCCTGTTGAATTTCCTAGCCATTCAACTGACTCGGACGAACGGTCCATAGTTCCGCTTTTCCAGATCGCTCATCCCTGGGCCTGGACTAGGACTGTCCAAGTACCTGACCCGATGACAAGAGTCGAGTTTAGAAAGATCTGGTAAGCTTAGTATGCCTCACAGATTGTGCACCATGAGGGCTGATGAGGCCACACCCGTGATGCAGTGATTATTTCAAAACTGTTTTAGAGCTGAACGTTGGCAATGACGCTGCGATCGATTTCTTCATGAAGCTGTTTGGTGCCGAACATCTGGGAGGACTTGTACGTACTTCTTTTTGTTATCTAGACCTCCGATTCAGTCTTTTTGGGTAATGCTAGGTCGGCAATATAAAGTTTTTTGGGACCCTCGCGTCACTATCAAGAACTTCTGAAGGAGACAGTGAAAAGACACTGGAAGGTGAACCCCGCAGCCCAAGTACTTCTACATGCAAACCTGAGCCATAATGATAGTGAATGCCTCGGGATCATCAGAGGGCCAGCCACGCGCCCATGGATTAGTTGCCATGTTACCGGATGGCCCTCGTGGGATAGACTCTTGTAGTTACCTGTGTTGGCTTTCAGACATGCAGAACACGGTGCGCGCTATGCGTCCAATAGCGAAGACCCTAGGGTTCGAGGTGAGCTTAGTATTGTTAGCCTGAGTTATCTAACTGAGTTACGCCTGGAACTATAGTTCATCGATGTCATTACTACAGGCTTCCTCAGGGCTAAGACATTGTTTGATGGACTGTGAGTACCTGTGATCGATTGGTGTGCGGTTTTCGGTTTTCAAGGTACCTTAGCGTTGATGGGGGAGAGAATGACGCGGATGATGGCGGGTGAGCCTAATGCCGCAGACTCTTGTACCTCGATGAAGTGTGTTCGTTGACAGTATTTCCTCGCTGGTACAAGAAGTGGAGAAATTGCAAGAAGAACATGACCGAGCAGACGACGACGGTGAACGTAGAGCACTAGAAGAAGATATCACTGGCAAAGTGTGAACCACCATATCATTCTCTCCCATTCACCGACGTTGTGCTCGTGTGTATATTACAGGTCTTACTAGTATGTCAACGCGGCATCTCTTCTGAAGTCGAGCAAGCAATAGCAAAGGAAAGTTGATATTATGTCGTCCTTCAGTGTGCCACCTGACATGCACCAGGTCGTGGATCGCTTGCTGAAAGATGAGACGGTGGACAGAAATGTTCTGTCGGAGAGGGCTGAGGTAGACGACTTTTTCCTGGAGACTGAGACCGCTAACTATCTGCCATGATTTGCCAGGATTTACACAACATCTCGGAACGCTTTCGAGAGGTACTTGCCGATCTACCAGATGACAGACACGCTCACCTACGGCGGTACGTGGCGTGATTCCTGTTACTGATACCAACAATACTAACAGGCATTCTCTTGTTTCTATCCCAGGATCATGGTGGACGCTAGGGCAAGAACGTCGAAACGTGAACTGTACTTAGCTACCCGGGCTACCGAAGAGTCTGTTGGACGTGCCCAACAAGGAACTGTTTTCGGATTAATGCAAACGACATTTGTATCATGAATGTAGGGGATATTATCTGTTTACTGTAAATAATTCAAAGATCCACAACGGTGGTGACAGCAGTGTTGGGGATAACATGCAAATCAGTGTTGCTACGATCTCAGACTATATGCGCAATTATGTCCCGCAAAACGTGTGCGCATCAATGTCGATAAATTACTTCAACGGGATCCCGCCTCACAATGAAAGGTGCCAACAGTGCTGAAAGCGATATGAGTGACCTTCCCAACGCCGTCATCGATTGTCACATCAAAAATATCGATCTTGGGTGCAGAACGGCCTGCGTTGATTGGAGATACGTGGCGGCATGACCCATCAAAAATGATCACTGCTCAGCAGTGCACTGGGACTGACACCTACGGGAGAGGGCCGGCGAAATTCCAGCTAGGCGGTTGTAACAACAGACGAAGTTGGTCTGCCGCCATGCTTTTTGCGCCTCTTCCTCTTGCGCGTAGCAGTTAACTGTTCTTCATTTTCTTCCCGCTTTCTCTTTTCCCCAATGGAAAGGTCACTTGGAGATGGAGGGGCAATGCTATCGCTTTTCCAAGGTATCGTCACACTGACCGGCCGCGTCACCTTCTTCTTCATACTAAGAGGATTTGGACCCTTGGGTCCCTTTTTCTTGCGTGGAGGATTGCTTGGCTGCTGAGGTAGTTTTACCAATTCTGCAGCTGCTGGGCCGAGAGCTTCTTGTTCTTTCTGGAGAGAAAATTGATAATCTACGAGCGCCTTTATGAGAATTAGCACACTCACTTGTTGTTTTACCCTGAGGGTTTCTTCGCTAGGTGGTTCAAGGATCATCACAGACCGGTTAATGTGAATAATCGGAACGCCAGGTATCAGATGAAGTTTGGCGCGAAGGGGCTGCGACTGCGTGGCTACCACATAGCGATGTTTATTGCTATCCCCTACGAAGATTGTCAGAAAGAAGGGCATGCACAGAAGATGGTATCCGACCAACTACACTTGCCAAGCAATCATCCCCGGGGATGGCTTCTCTGTGGTTACACTTTCGACGTTCAAAAGCTTTTGCAAGGTCTACGGCCGATTGCTGAGACTTCCCCTGGAGATAAAGTTCGTGTATACAGCATTGGGTGATCACTACGTCGAAAGGTCAGCTTGACGGTGCTCTTTGGTACGTGACGGGGCCATACTGGGCTTCGTCGCTCCTTGCAGCACAGTACTCAATTGTTTTGACAGGTCGATCCTTGACTCTGTGGCGATCCTACATATCTCAGAGTCAACTAGGGACGGGGGTAAGCTTGAACAAGGAAAACACTTGCTGAACACACCTAGAATCTGATATGGCTCCCGGAACCCGAAAGACATGCAATAAAGTGACATGAGCTTCCGATACGTCTTGGCCCGCTTCTGCCGCATTTTGAATGTCCGGAGTGTCTACCTACACTGGACGGGCAAGCAGATATCATATTTGGTCGTGTTTGTCCACCGCTTCTCCCAATTACCAGGCGCCGAATAAGCACGTCCTAATCCAACAATGAGGTCCCCGTCACTCCTTATCCTTTTTTTGGGATTCTCGCAGTAGGTTCTCAGTTGGAATGGGTTAGGCGAGCGCTGAATTTGCTAGTATTGCATTTGCTGCCGACCTGCTAGGATTCGTGCAGTGGAACAACGTGTGTCCAAGTGAGTGAACTGCATCCTCCCTAGTGACATGGCTTCATATTGTAAGGATAAGGCTATGAAGAGCTTGGTGCAACCAAAATTCTGCTGGATGCCGGTCGATATTCGGCTGGGTTGACGCGAAGTGGTAACTTCTCTATGTCCGTCTCCCTTCCTTAATTACAGACCGGCTGTTGCACTGATTTTTGAATGACCTAAGACCGGACGTTAACCCAGGGGTATACGTTCTATCCGTACTTTCTCATGATTATACTTTCGAACAGGTATCTACTCCCAATTTATCGATGCGAGAATGACCCTGATACCTTTGTTCCTGCAGTTTCGTGTCGATGTATCGGACGCGTCCTCTATACCAGAAGTCAAGTCTTATGTCTTTGGAACACCACTGTTATCCCTGTCAGCGGTGACCTTGCCGTACCCCGTTATTCTGAGTCCTCGCAGCAAGAACAGCTACTTCAAACCACACGAGTCGTTCAGTTTGCTGGGCATGTTCCGGAACCCTATGATGATGCTCATGTTGTTCACTGCGGGCATGATGTTGGCCATGCCTTATATAATGGTAACATTTCGTTCGCGTTTCGCCTGTCTGAGCTCATGCGACACTCGTAGAAAAATCTGGATCCTCAAAGCCTTGAGGAAATCAAGAATAGGCGGGAAATGGTAGCGAGTATACAAAACTCGGTGCAAGGTGGGGACCTCAAGTCTGGGTACGCCAATGTTTTGATAGGCCTTTAAACGTATTAACCAGCCGGAACACAGACTATCTACCTTATTGGCTGTTGAAGATAAGACGAGAGCGTCAACGTCAGGCGCTAAAGTGCAACCTAACAACAGCGGAACGACGATACAACAGAGGAAAGTCGGGAAAGGTGGAAAACGGCGATGACTTGGGGGCAGCATTGTACCATCTCGTGTTGTGCGGACATTGCGTAGACACCTTACATGAAGTCGCTCAGAAATTCACGTGGCCCTGGACGCTAATGCTATGTTGCCCCGTATGATGTCAACTATCTGGATCGATGTAGGTAAGCTGGAGCTTAGCCATCCAAGTACTCAGCGGTCGTCTGATTGAGTCATCGCCCTTCCAGGTGACCCATGTGGTTTGTACAGAGGTGGGTTCGATGTGCGCGAAGTGAGTGTTGTCCTATGGGTCGCGGCTAAATTATGGACCGGTGTCATCCATTATGATATTCCGTCCTGAAGTGCACCATATGGGGGATTGAGCTCTTGATCCACACAATCGGCAAAGATTCCACTGCAGCATGGGTATTTGTACAGTTGCAGAGTAGTTCTGTGTAAATGACGTGGACCGCCAACATCGCAAGCACGTTGCGATATTCTCCCCCTCTAATGCGTGGCAGTCTTCCTGTGTCTCCCCTGGAACGCACGTTCCGGGTATGTCCAATATGCCGGTATCCTTTCGTTAGTTGTGTGCTTTCCCGATGCAAAACTAAACTGCCCTGTTGTAGAATCTGGGAAGCTACGAACATTGTGGGATAGACATTGAGGGCAATGATTGCTGGGTAGGTAATGTTTACGTATTTCTTCATCACGGCAATCCGGATGGTGCCATTGCTCGTGGAAAGTTTTGTCTCCACTTCAGTGACTGCAGGCACCGAGTACACCAAGTTTTGACCGTCCATACTAATCTCCCGATAGTCATGTTGCCCAACAATCTCTCCAATTGCACCTGAGGGACGTTCTGTAGGCGCTGACGAGACCGGCGTATTGTCAGGTAACCTGTTTAGAACGTCTCTGAATTGCTGTGGTATTCTACAGTACGCGATGCACGTATGAAATCTACGCAATCTCATAGGGACACCAGAGCCTGCAAACCAACAATGACCGTACCTTCTTAGTACTAGAGTTCACCTTTTGTAACGACGTGAACTGCATTCAATAAACTAAGTCAGTATATACTGCATTTTTTGGGCATACAAATCACAGCCAGTCAGGGGCTAAAGATCTACGTAAGTGAGGTTCTAGTTTTCGTGACTACCACTCGCATGAGTTAGTTTCTGTCAGCGAGGACTGAAATAGTTCTGGTACAGTTACCGGGTTTACCAAAGACTTGCGATGGCTTACAGGCTGGGGGGAAGAAAAGCAAGTCTCCGTGATCCGGTTGTTCGTAGCCACTTTCAGTGGCCATGACACACAGGGGTTAAATGTCTAAATGAGGTGTTCCCGTGGTCTTAATGAGTGGCTCGGTCGCGTCTCTTTCACGTCTTCAGTCCCCACACCCCTGGCCATACGCACGCGCGCGCGCACCCTGGTCGTCGTGCGTGACGACGAATTCATTCATTTGAAAGTGGGATGGACCCAACCAAACCTCTCGTCATCCCACATACAGAATCTCTACGTCGAAAACCAGACTATTATTGGCCAGGAGCACAACACTACGATCAATATGGACGTTTACTGGACCTCATGTCCCGGCCCGCGCTGAACTTGCATGCCCTCATGACTCTCATCAATAAGCACGAAGAAGTGGGGTGCCGTCTAAACCTGGATGACCCAGAGGACGACCATCACATTAGTACTGGGGTGGGCGAGAAGCGCCGCCTCGCGACTTCCGCCACATCATCGACCTCCCATACCAGTATTCGTAGTGGTCGCGGCAAACACAGAAAGGTAATGGATGAGCACGCGCACAATGGTGTGATTGTTGGCAGAAGTGCATATCCATTCATCCCACACCAGCCGAACGCTTCGGCTCTGGCATGCACTCTTGGACCTTCGTGCTCATTTCTGCCTGCCTTCCATTGGTCCGTGGACATCAGCTTTGTAAGGCAAGCTGAAATTGGCGATGACCACGTGGATGACGCCTCTGCCGAAACACTCGGATGGCTCCAGGAAGAGGAAGACGTCATTTCACTGGTCAAGTCACTGAGAGAGGGTGCCGGCGCCACTGTTATGAACTTGGGAAGCTTCTACTCCACGCAATACCGTGGGCACAATGTGGCCATCACAGGTGACCTTCGGTCAGGCGAAGGCGGACCGACGGTCGATCCATGGTTGTTCCTCTTCCCCAAGGTTGAGTGGCCGGACGGTCTCCATTCCGAAGAGCTGCATAACTATGGCATTCAAAACTCGAATATCCATGCAGATTTTCTCCTCGGATGTCGCGCTCTACAAGAAATAGGGCACGCTAGAATCGACACCAACCTCGAAATGCACGTTCTTCCTCAAGGTAGCTATGACCCTGCCCTAGACATGCCGTTCCGACTGCGAGCCAAGTTCTCTCTCTCACTCGTTGTGCCGAACGTATATGAGCCCATTCCAGCTGACCGTTCACGCCGGCCGCCAGGTACTTCGGAGGGCTTACGTAGACGGATAACTGCGTTGCTTGGAGAGGTTCCTCTCGGAAGATCTCTTTCATCCAAGTTGTCGATGCCTGGACATGACGACGTGAGAGACGTTACGATACCATTCTTCTTCGGCGTTCTGCGTTCTGCACCCCAAGTAGCGTCAGGAGTAGACGACGCAATGCAGCCCGACGCACTCAATCCAACTCTCCTTCCTTTCCAAAGGCGAACAGTGGCCTGGATGCTGAACCGCGAAGGGAAAGATATGATGCCAAATGGAAAAGTCGTACCACGTTCACAATCTTCTTCCTCAGAAGACACGCTGCTGCTTTGGGAGAAGATTGTTATTGGCGGGAAGGAACTTTTCTTCAACAGGTTGTCAAGTATGGTCAGGCCAGATCCTCCGGAACCCCATTCTGCACTTGGGGGAATTCTTGCTGAGGAACCTGGTACGCGGGACATCGATCGTGTCGCCGAACTCCCTAACTCGATCTTTGTTCAGGACTAGGGAAAACCATCGAGTGCATTGCATTGATGTTGCTGAATCCAGCCCCTGAGAGAAATCCTACCCAGAAACGCTGGGACCCAGAAGCGAAACTCTATGTCAAAGAGATCAAGGTGCGTTCCGCAAGAGCTCGGATTTCAGAAGGGTTTCCCAAGTGTTCTGTAGACAACCCTCGTTATCACACCACCTTCTCTTGCTCAACAATGGGTAGACGAGTTATCGGCACACGCGCCGTCTCTTAAAGTGCTAGTTTACGATGGTTGGTCCAAAGTCAAGGTCCCTATTACTGAGGCGGCTGCAGAAGAGGAACGAGAAAAACGTCGTGCTACCGCCCCACGTAACAACCGGAAAGCAAAAGGGTCAGAGGACGATGTCCTCGATTGGTGCACTTACGTCAATCAGTTCGATGTGTGTGTCACAACCTACAACGTACTTCGCCTGGATATGGTGGTCGCGCGTGCACCACCCAAGCGCCCACGGCGCCAAGACGTGACCTACAGTAACTTGGAGCGGCCGCGCAGTCCGTTGGTGATGTGTGAATGGTACCGAGTGATCATGGACGAAGTTCAGATGATGGGAGCTGGCAAGTCCGAGTACGTATGCTTATGTCTAATATCGTATACAGCAATTGATTCTTGCTGTAGGGAGATGGTTTCGTTGGTCCCGAGGCTGTCCTCCTTTGCCGTCTCGGGAACCCCTGCTAAGGCACAGGTCGCCGACCTCATACGGGTATTGAGGTATCTCTCGTCGTGTCGTCGCGGCGTCACGCAGACCTATCTTACCTCTTCATCGTAGGTTCCTTCGCGTCGACGCTGCCGTCGGCTCAACGCAAGCATGGCAACTTTTCCTCAAGCATGGCTTCAAGGACCAGTTCGCTGCCTTTTTCCAACATTACGCCGTCCGGTATGCTCCAAACAACGCCTTTCAGTGGTTCTCGTACTCACCCTAGTCATAAGAACCCTCAAATCCGCCGTCAATGATGAGTTGACTATTCCGCAACAGCGGAGGTACCTTGTTGGCATAGATCTAGGGCCGGTAGAGCGTCAGGTAGTTCTCTCATTCCGTCTGCACTCGAGGGTCTAATTGCGACGGGTTCAGGTATATGACCAAGTACTGGAAGAGTCACTGGCAGAGCTTGGTTTGGATGCCCGAGGTGTTGCAACCTATGAAGGGTGGCAGGCTGATACCGGCGTCTTACGCAACGTCCTCAGACGGCTTCGTGGATTATGTACCCATCCCCAGGTCTGCATTTGGCAACCTCGTACGATCATATTGATGGACATCTTTTGCAGGTTGGGCAACTTCAGCGGCAAGGAGACAAACTCGCTAAAACGAGTGCTCTCAAGAGCATGAGCGAAGTTTTGGAGGTAGATTAAACATTTCATCATTTTCCGGTGCCAATTAACCGATGCGGCGATCTTCAGGCTCTGAGGGACCAGCATTGGCGTTGTCTCATGGACGACCGAAAAGCGAAGGTGCTTCTTCGACCTCGTTTTTCCTGCGTTGCAATTCTGAAACCTTGCTCGGCGTAGATACATTCGCTGGTTCGCTTAGCGCAACTTCAGCAACATTGTCAAGACGACCGCATCCGATACCAGCAAGCACTGAATCACCTTCTTGCAGCAGAAAACGAAGTTAACGAACTAATTACGGAAGTCCAGGCAGCCATAGCCCAGCACCACCAAAAAGGAGAAGCGCTCAAAAAGGCTGCTCAGGCGCTGCGGGAGTCTCGAAAGCAGAACCTGGCGGATCAGTCTCAGCCCCTGGCCTCCCACAAGGGAAAGGAGAAGGAAACTGGACGCGAGCCCTCTCCGTTCAGCGATGATGGAGACGAAGACGAGGTCGAGGATCGCGGTCTCCCGAACAATCCTGCGGGTGAAGAACACCGTACCAAGCGACACGGTCTGCAGCAACGGTTGCGAGAGTGTTGGATGATTTTACACAGAGTCAAGTTCTTGCAGGGAGACGTGTACCACGTACTTGGTCCGTCCCTTTCGGAACAAGAAAACGCTTGTTATACCGCTGCTGAGACGTTAAGAAGGGATCTTCTCAAGTGTCGGTCGTTCGAGTTGTTTTGATTGCAGGCTCATGCTTATTCCGTGATTAGCTGTCGAAGGCAATGCGACCAAGGCCATGCTAAATTTGCATATCGACGAAACTGCCCGTGGGGTGACGGAGCAAGAGTTGCTTATTAAATTACCACACTTTACAGGTGGAGGCATTAAGTCGACTCATTTGGTAAATGAGGAGAAGTGCTTTAATTTGGTATCTCACTGACCGTCCGCACAGTTCGAGGAAGCCAATATGATCCTCCAAGAACAGCTCAACGAACAAACGACCCTGATTTGGCAATGGCGCACGAAGATCATTACGCTACTCACTCAGAAGCTGAGCAACACCGATGATCAGGCTGATGGGGAAGAGTACGCACGTGCACTTGACACACAAGGAGAAGCCGAAGTTTACATGCAAGCCTATGCTGCACTATTGGCCGACCGTCGCGAAGCTCTTCTTGCTGAACGCACATTGCTAGCTGCACATGAGTCGAGAGAGAAGAAGGAACGACGGACGAGAGCAGCGTTAGATGCACGTATACGAGATGAGGAAGATGATGCTTTGGAAATCCCGGATGACGTGGAGGTTCAGCCCCAGCACGAAGTGTTGCACAAGTCATTGAACGATGAACGCACGGACCTTAGACTGCTGTTCGCCGGTAGAGCTCTTAAGTCAATCCTGGTCGACCTTTCGGCGGTGGTGGCTAGTATTCCCCGCGAGGAAGACCCGGAGAAGCTCATCGCAAAAGATGGCGTAAGGATTATGCGTGGTTTGATATCCACCCAAAGTATACGACATTTATAAGCTGTTCTCCGATCGCTAACACGGGTTGCAGCATCCTTGATGGATAGGCTGGACGCCGACCTGGCACAAATACGTAAAACGTTTAACGAACGTATCATGTAGGTGTGCTAAGACTGCCTCAAAGGACTGATGCTGACCCGAAACAGATACTTCCGTCAACTCCAAGACATCTCTGATAGTGTTGTGGACGTCGTATGGGAAGGCGACGTTCGCGTTGCGATGAATACATGCGAACAAGAATATAGGGATTTGGGACGCAAAATCGCCACCGGACGTGCGAGACACCGATATTTAGAAAACCTGGGGAAGACGCAGGGTGATGGATCCATGGATGAAGATGACAAGACATGCGTTCTATGTAGATGCGACTTTTTGCAAGGTTTTATCACCCCGTGGTATGTCAGTGTCCGTCCTTCATAGTCCCACATCGCTCAAGTGACCGGGTTAGTGGACATATATTCTGTAAGGTAAGGCTAAGCCTGACTGCTTGATGAAACACTCAGTGCAACAACCCAACAGGAGTGTTTGACAGCGTGGCTCGCTCGTAAAAAAGGCGGAGTGTGTCCAGTTTGCCGGTAGGTTTCTGTCAACCAGCTATCACCCTTTACTGAAAGGATTTCAGAGCCTCCATTGAAATGAGCGAGCTTCACCGTTTCACTATCCAAGACGAGGTTCCTCCGCCCCCCAAACCTGTGTTGGCCAAAGGAGAACTGGTGCCGACGTCACGGCGACAGACCGAGTACAACACTGATCAGTAAGTTGACGTTTACCGCCTGCGAGCCCTACACCTTGACTTCTATAGGCCCATCCCTGTTGCGTGAGATACAGCAGATAGAGTCGATCGGAAGTTATGGAAGCAAGATTCAAACATTGGTTAGGCACCTTTTGCATATTCAAGTGTCCGATCCAGGCTCCAAAAGCATCGTTTTCTCGGCGTGGGCCGATTCGCTTCACAGTGAGAAGGGTTTTCGTTCCCTCTTTTGTGCGCTCGTTTGACCTGCTGAGTACAGTTATCGAGCACGCGTTTCGCCATAACGGTACGTTGACGTCGTAAATATGTAAATGAGTGTATTTCGTGATTCAAAGGCACTTCCTTAGGGATTCCTTCTATACGCCTCGACAAAACACAAGGGAATAGCGCTGCGAAGAAATTCCGTACGGACCCAACTCTCGAGGTGCTGCTGCTGCATGGGTGCGTGGTGCTCGAAATAACCGCTCTTATAATGTTGACAATGCAGCAGTGAGCGTGACAACGCCGGGTTGAACGTCACCTGCGCATCGCGGGTTTTCCTCGTTGAGAGTGTTGTGAACCACGGCTTCGAAATACAAGGCATGTCGTAAAACTCGATGTTTTCCGCATTCTTGGCGCTCACACCTGACGCGCGGCAGCTATTGCCCGTATCGACAGAATGGGACAAAAACATACTACCGAAGGTAAGCCAATCGTATCATCGACTCATCTGACAAGGTTCTGACTCTGTTGAAGTGTTTTGTTACTATGCTGAAGGTGCGGATCAGTCAACATCCTGTCCAAACAGCTGATAAGCTTGACACAATATATATATACTGATACGCAGATACGGTAGAGAAGAACATTCTAGACTTGGCGGCGAGACAAGGCCTTTCACTGTATACCAAGGACCAGTCAGCTGGGTCCATCAACGTCACGCGCTTCGCTACGGATGCAAGCAAGAAGCTGATCGAGTCTCCAACGAAAGCGAGAACAAGCAAAAAGAACCAGTCAGCCCAAAAGGGGGACTTCATCTTTAAGTGAGCAGTTGTTTGTTGCATTGCAATCGTTCCGTGCAGAGGAACTAAACGACTATGATGGTGACAACAGGGTCGATGATATGTTGGCTATCTTGTTCCCTCACATGTTCGAAGACATTGAATACCTCATTCCGCCTGGTGCCGAGGATCATCAGCGGGAACTCCCACCTTCTTCCACCACTAACACCACTAACTCACGCCCACGCTCATCCGGAACTAACGGTGTACACATCAATGCAGAGGCAGGGCCCTCTAGGATCCCTATGTAGAGCTGCTACAGTACCCGGACTATCATAGCAGACTACGCTAAATTTTTTACTTGCCTGATTATAATTCATAATTTCGTACAGGGAAAGAAAGAAAAGGTGGGTGTGTAGCAATAGGAGATAGGAGCCGTGATGCAGATATATTACGCACGGTGCACACTCGATGGCCCCGTGATAAAGAAGAGTGATGGATGGAAGTGCGAAGAAATATCGAGAAGGAAGGAGAAAAGGAGGGAATAAAATGCGATTAGGATGCAAAAGGTTGGAATTGAGAGCAGCGAGGCGTGATATACGTGATGTTGGGGGAAGTGCTTGAAATGAACGCACGTATGCATGCAAAGTTGGATTTGTGCCACGGCACAGAAGGAGATGCGGTGAAGGAATGACTCGATGAGGCGAAAGGAAGGGGAGGTCACGGGCTCAGAAAGTTCCGCCGTCCCAACTCGCACGTTTGCGTTTGTTATCGTTGGCTTTGCGCAGCTGCAAGTCTTGAGGCGAAACGAAGCTCGTCCCTCGGTGATGTGTCATGCGCGCACTGCTGAAGCTTGTGTTGACGACCAGCGCCTGGGCCGCCTGGAGTTCATGTGAGACCACAGAGTATGATGATGACGATGATGAGATTGCGGGTGCAGAGCGAAGCGAGGTATTTGATCGCGCGAGGTCGAGTGCTTGTCCTTGCCTCGAGGAGTCGGCACCTGACCCTGAGCCGCATTCATGGTTCGCCCCCTCATGCACGTGGTTGTAGTAATAATGCAGGTCGAGGAATGGAAGGTCGTGAATATCCAACGGGTTGGAGGGACGCCACGTATCCGCAGTGGAAGAAGACAACGCAGCGTTGCCGGCAGCAGCAGCAGTGGTGGTATCAGGAGTAGTAGAGTTCCCGTGTAAATGGTGGGGGGTGGCGGCATGCACGGGAGGAGGAGAAGCGGTGAGCGTGTCGAAAAACGGCAAAGACCGAGTGGTAGAAATGGGTGGCTGTGGGTGTTCGTGGACATGCTGCTGCGATCGCGATGCGCCGTTCATGCGTGCCTCAGACGGCGGGACAGAGACGGAGCGGCCGTTACCATGGCCATGGTGGGAGTGCGAATGCAGCGGTCGCAAGGGACGGGCGACATCGAGTGGTGTAGCAGGTGGGGTTGTATGTGTGAGATCGATGATATCATCCATGCTGCTGCCCTGCGAGGCGATGCCAAATATATCTAGGGGAGACGTTGCGACGGTCAGAGACGACGCCTCCTTGTCATCCTTCTGCACTTCGATCTCTGGGACGGCAGATGCAGGATCGCGCTGGATCTCAACCTGATCATTGAGAGTAATCGACGCCAGTTCGATCTCGTCAATGCCAGGGAGTGCGGAGGTATGCATCTGGATGGAATGCATGCCAGCGGGTTGCTGTTGCTGCACGCCGCCGGATAACCCAAGGCCGGGCGTCCCGAGCCCGCACCCGGGACCATAATACGTCTGCTGCTGCTGCTGTGCCGGAGGTGGTTGATGAGTGCGCGCACCGAAAATGAGGTCGCCGGCATAACTGGAATGATGAGTGAAGCCGCGAAAGCTATTGGTGGGAAACATGTCCGGATCAGAGAATGTGGAATGAGTATCTCCAACTCCGGCTTCGGAAGCAAAATCATGTGCGTAGGCAGTGGTGGTTGGAAAAAGATCGTAACGATCCATGACACCGTGGCTGAGTTGGTGAAAGGAAAAGGGCGATGACGGAGTGGGGGAAAGGCCGTCCGCAAAAGAAGATCCGCTGTTGTAGAACGCGGATGTCTCGAGGCGGGGATTCGCAGAAAACCAATCCTGTGCACCCCATGCGGATTTTCCGATAGTGGGAACACGGCGAATGTATGGCGAAGAAGATTGATTAAGAAGATAGTCGGAGGATATATGAGAAGAAGTTGGAGAACCGGCATTTGCGGACCAGCTGCTGGAATGGACGGGGGTTTCCAGTCCCGACCACGTCGTCTGGGACTGCGAGGAGTCCGTCAGCTCTGATAGGGACTGTGTAGTGCTAGGCATGTAATCTGGAATGGAGAGGGGTTCGGATAAAGGGTCGATAGTTTCCATGTCCATCTCAGCGAACGGCTCGGAGGAAGATGGGGTGTCGCCGCCAGGTGGTGAGGGTTCCGTAGAGATAGGAGGACACTTGAGTAACCTTGTTGTACCGAGCTCTTCTTCACATCCAGAGCTCTCTTCTTCCTCCGAGCAGGTGGCACTTTCTGGTACACTCTTGGTGCCCCCACGAAGTAACCCCTGTCGTGAAGCCCGCTTCTTACGAGTGGGGCCAATATGGCTTCTGCTCGTGGTGAGCTGATCGTCAGTTGCTGCGCGCATAGGAATGAGTACACCGCCTTCCTTGCGTCTCTTGGATGAATTACGTGGCTTGTAGCCAGCAGCCTGATACAGTTCAGGGAAGGCGTTCCGAAAGCGGTCACGAAGGTCAGTAGAGCGACGGTTCTGCTCCTGGAAGACTGGGTCCTTGACGATAGGCAGCCCACACAGTTCCGTGCTTCTCGTAGCCAGCTTTGAGAGCACGGTCCTCTTCTTCTGTGAATGGGCGACGTTTCTTGCTGCGCGTCTTTTCGAAGATGGACCGACCGTCTGGAAGGGTCGAGCGTACTTTGCTGGACAGATGGGTTTTCGCGTTGGGATAGTGTTCTTTGTACGCGTCGGGGAAGTAGGTTCGAAAGCTAAAAACTGTCAGAACAAATGCTGTGTGAACAGGGATACGGATGGACGCACCGGTCCTTGAGGTCGACTGGGGACCGATTGTCGAATTTGAGAGTGGTGTCTTTGAGGATCGCTTTCCAGTTCCCGACGCCCCACTGCAGCAACGAGTCAGTGACCGCACAACACACACGACGATTAGACGCGTACGGTGTTGCACCCGGTGACGAGCATCTGAGTTTCCTCTTCGGTCCACTTCTTGCGCGGTTTCTTTTGTTGGATGACCAGACCCGAGTCGGGTTCGCGGGGTTCGTCGAGGTTATTGATGATCTTGCGTACTTTGCCCTTGCGTTCCGGCATGGCTGTAGTGGTGGTAGTGGTGATGGGCTCGGACGGCTTGTGTGAAGAGGCCAAGCCTGTATCGTCGCGGAAGTTCCAAGCGGGCACGAGGCGCGGGGAGGATGGAAGGGCAAGAGAGACTCGTCGCTGCTTAAGAGAGGACGAGGAGGGGAGGGGGGCAGTAAAGGAGAAGGTGGGTGCAGACGGGGGCTTAGTACTCGCCGACGAGTCTGCCATGACGAGGCAAATGATAATCTGTCGCTCGTTCGTTGGGAGTGTTATATTATTTGGAATCGGATATGAAAGAACCAAAGGGACACCCGGTATTGGAATATACTCAATCGAGTGCTGTCAATGTGAATGTGTTGCACGTCGTGCACCGCAGTGGGCTTGCAACGAGGACGAGCGTCTCCAAATATAAATGTTAACAGGCCATCCCATCACTCACACTATAACTAAAACAACAAAACAGCTCTACATCGTGCACACCACGACCACACCCATGCGTATCGACATCGATCACCTCCATCATCCATACTCAGTCATCTGCACGTCATGCCATCATGCCGACACCGACACCTCGGGCGCTATCCGCTTCTCGACATCCCCCAGCTTCTCTATCCACGCCCCCAGTCGTGTGGTCAGCTCGCCGATTTGCCCCCGTGACAGCACACGCGGCTGCACCCATGTTATGTGTGCTTTTTGATCTACCTGGTCCATGGAACCCCGTATCAACTTGAGGCTAGCAGCACGGATCGCATGACATATTGATTATCAGCACACGCAGCCCACCCTCAGTCAGCACGTAGTCAGCGGCCAAAGCCACGTACCTCAGCGCTTTCATGATAAGGTGCTCCACCTCGTCCAGTGGCAGTCGTGTCTCCTCTGCAATGGATTGGAACGACAGCATCCGGTCATTGGCGTTCCGCTTGAAGACGGACTCGATGAGGGCCATCAGACATATCTTCTGCCGCAGGAATGGATAGTTTTGTTCTAGAATCGGCTGTTGGCACAGCTCATCCGTTAGAGATATGTTGTCTTTTTTTTTTTTTTTTTCGGCAACGGCTCTCCGCACGTCGCCCACGGTCATACACACAGCATTGCACGCACCTCCTGTGGGAATAGTGGTGCCAAGGCTTCGAATTTGCCAATGTTTCCTTCGTTGAACGTGAAGAGCAGCTTCTTGATCCAATCATACTGCGTGTTGTCGAGTGCGTCGAGTATTGGATGCATCAGCTAGTGCCGAGAAGGGAAAACATCGTCATCGTGCCGTCGTTGCCACCACCCGCAGGTACGGTTATGACGATAAATGAATGAAAAAGGGTTTTTCAAATCATCGAAGCCAACATACCAGTTCACCAAAGTTATAGATAGTATCGCCCAGGAAAGCTGATATGCTAAGATCATGGGCACGCAGCAGACGTTCATCTCGAGTGAGGTCTGATGTGACGTCCACGCATGCCAGATAGAGCAAGGAGTGTTTGTAATACGGTGCATACTCTGCCTTGGCCTGTTGCCTCGTAGCATCAGCAAAGAAGAAAAAAAAGAACGCCGTCGCATCGGAATGGAATGTTCTCGACAGCTCCTCACCTTGTAATAGTCTGCCGCGACAAGGTAATACGCCGCATTGACGGCGTTATCCACACCGTCGAGCTGGTCTAGTATCTTCCAAGCCGCGTCCATGTCTGTCTTGGTTCCCACCAGATCGCCATAGAGCAACTTAGCATGGGCGATATTGGCGAGGAGAAGGACATGTGCTTCTTTCGATTTTTCGGTATCGATCCGGGAAAGGAGGGACGTGAGGAATGAAAGCTGTGCCTGCGGGTCTTCGCGGAGGGAGCAAGGCAAATGAAATTCCAATTAGAGGGAGCAACATGGCGCAGAGATAAGGGCCGAGTACTGACTGTCGATTTCTTTGGAGACCTTCGTCGCCATCTCCACCAAACGTTGCTGATTCAATTTGGACTCAAAGTCCCGCACGAAGTAGTGGAAGACATCCACACGGAATGGCTGGGAACGAGGATGATCAAAGAACTCGGACAGCTTCAGCGTAAGCTGATGCCATAGCCTGGAGATTGAATTGCGGTGAGTAAGTAAGTGTTCCGAAGTCCACATATGAACCTATCTGATACTCGCTTTCTAGTATACTGGTTGCGGAATGTCTCGAAGAAGGGGTGGAGCTCCTGGGGCGTCGAGGTGAGTGCTTTGGTGATGAACTCGTCCAGTACGAGCTTTGGCGGTGCCTGGGTGTAATCCACGGACTGCGCAGGAGGCATGTCTGGTTCAGTAGTAGGCTCTGGTTCTGGTCTGGTGCAAATGTTAGCAAGTTGACTTCTGCAGATGACACGAATGTACACTCACAGCGACGCGCGTCGGTCTGAGTAGCAGCGGTGAAGGGTACCAGCGAGTGTTTGGCTGTGTTTTGCTACGACCTGGAAAAGCAACAGCACCAAACCGAACGCAGCAGACCACCAGCGACGACGACCAGCAGACTCCATCAGATGAGTGGACGGTGGAATGGAATAACAGGGATGCTGGTGGATTGTTGGGAAAGCGACTGAGGGGCGTGGCTGTCGCGTGAACGTTGAACTACGCCCGTCATGGCCGGTTCTCCTCTTTTGCTTAGCATCATCTGACCAACCGCATCCTGGCCTCATTCCACCCCCCACCAATTAGGAGGCCGAGCTCCCTTTGCTACTCTCTTGCCAACAGCCGCTGAACGACCTCAGCCTCCCTCTCAATCTCAAATCTAATAGATCGAAAGTGCCTCATGCCCGGTCCGACAATGCAGGTGAGACAATGTACCTTTATCCAACCTCCTCCTTTCTCGCCACTTGCTAGAAAACTCAACTCATGTGTGGTGAAGACACAACCTTGTGAATGATTGATTGACTTGGATGTCAACCGCACCTGCAGGCCTTGACCACACCGCCAGGGTGCGCCCCACAAGCAGGGGAGGGGACCTTCGCACGCTCATTACAGTGAACGCGGGGTATTACATGTTCCACTTTTCCGCCCCTTGTATAGAATCTGGCTGTCACCTTTTACCCCCTGGTATGTACATATGCCATTCCCACCCCATCCTCGCCAACGCACAACAGGCAGAAGAACGCATCAGTCTATCACATGAGACCGTCTCCGCATGCAAACTATGGGATCGCGAAGCATTACCTTTGATTTGATGTGGGGCCCAAACCTTGGTATACGCAACCTTCCTGAAGCTCGGTCGTCTAGCCAGACGGAGATATCTATGGACAGAGGCGTATGCCAGTGCGAAGAAGAACTTCATTCACAAGGTTCGTCATCCCGGATAACTTCCAATCAAACACTCTTCTTCCTGAATCTGAGATACGGCTTTGCTATTGGACCTGCGCCGCAAACCTAGATTATTCATCATCGTCCGTGACTCCCGGCCGTCATCATCCCTGAACGTTGGCGATGCTCGTCACTCAGAAGTAGCTAGCTTCTTTGAGAGATAAGGACGCCAGGCATTGCATAGGAACCAACATTAAATTACCCACTCTCACCAGGATAGATACGCTCAGTTCTTCCCAGGGGTAGACACCCATCCAAGATCTAGGCTTGTGACTGACGAAAATACAATGAAGACCACACTGGACCGGAAGGAGCTCGTCCATCCGGCTGCGCGCAATCGTCGCATCAACACGTTGCACTCCGCAAAGTAGCTGTGAAGTAGATGTGGACGGATATGCTACTTGTACACTTAATCTCCGGCCAGAGACACTCTGGGTCGTTGACGTGGTCCCAAATACGACAAGGACCTCCGCATCTACTGATCCTGAGTGAATACTCAGCGAAGGCATTTGATATTTGATTGGTTCGCCCGATTTCTCTGGCTAATAACTCTAATATTAATATTGCCAACCGAAGGTTGCCGGATGTGTGGCGACGACATGAGGGCTCCACACATGCTTGGCACGAGGTGCAACACGACGCTGCAAAGAGTCCAGTGTAGGATGCAAGTTGCATAGATGGGGCAATGTCACTGTTACAGTAATCCTGCCGGCCCCGACGGAACACCGAACATCCGGGTATCGATGACACGCAACGCCAGTATGTCCGCGAGTTGTTCCAGGACCTCCCCAATACAATTGCACGTTTGTGAACACTGACCCGCGTGGACTGAAGGCTATGTGGGGTTGGATATCATGTGCATCTTTTTCCCGTCCCCTCCTTGCATTCACCAAGGCCAGCGCTACCGTGTGCAATGGCACAAGAGTTATGAATCTATGAGATTGCTTGGCCTTCAATGTGTATAGGACATGATATGCATGAACACTGCGGTAAAGCAACATCCTTTTCTCATTTGCTTTATCACCCGTGGACAACGGCTACTGAATTCCAACCAACATGCATGCCGTGAACACGCTCACGGTCGCTTGTTGGCATCAGAAGTTGGCATGAAAGACTCGGGAAAATTCCACACACCGGGCTGACGACCATCCTTGATCCCAACTACGCTACCGGAAACTTTGATCGTCGCTGCACTATGCACCTGCCTCTCGGTTTATCATACATACGTAGTTCCTTTCTCTCCTTGAAACAGATATGGCCAAATCCGTAGAAGGATCCTTCTCCACGCGCCCCTAATTGTCGGATTCTGCCTCCCAGCTTTTCGCGAAGCGCGCCGTTATTTTTGCCGCGCGTCAAGGTTGAAAGGTTGAACCTGACTTGTACTCGTCGAAAATGAAATTGCCACCAAAAAACCGTATACAAAGCTGGAGGTATAAAAAGCATTATGAACTCTTCGCAACCTCCTACGGGCGCTTGAAAAGATGTTTCTCATAAAGACATTCGTTCTCCTTTCCGTTGCTGCATACGTATACGCACAACAGTGCGCAATATGCCCGGATAATATAGATACCCTGCCCCTCTTCTACGACTGCTATGTGGACGACTATACGCATTGCGGGTGAGCACTTTTACTATTTCGCCACACACCCAAGCATTGGTGTCTGACATGTAGCTTTACCACTCAGTTACAACGATGTTGCTGGTATCATAACAAGTGGCCCTGTATGCAGTTATGACGTGCGCAGTTTATCTCTTGTGCACGACAATATCTAACTCAACGAGTTGCGGCAGAATTTTGATGGTTTACTCATCACCGAGTTTAGTATTGGTGACTGCCCAAGTAGCGTAGAGACAACCTCAGGTTGCACTCCGTGTATTATTCATTAGTCTTGCACTACTAAGGCCGTGTGCTATTCAGTGTTTGCCGCCCTCGTCAACCGTATCATCTCGGATGGGTTTTTTCAGGTACGACAAGTACCTGCTCAACAGTATTTCCAGTGGACCACAATGCAAAAACTCGATATATACAGTTTGCTTTGAAATGGACCGTTAAGCCTTGCAGGACACGTCACCTGCAATGTACTATCCCTGTTGTACACACTTAAACAGTCATCTCCGTGCCTCTCTATCTCAGCATCGACCGGTGACATAAAGGTTGCTAATTCGTGAATGATGGATGATTGATTATTTGGGCGAGCTTCGCCGCAATGCGACTCCCGCCGAGGAGTAGTACCTGAGGCTGCCTGAACTGGGTGCACTGTTGGTAATTTGATTACTGCTTGTACTTGGTCCCCAAATCCATCGGCATCGGCTCCGGTGCCAGAAGTCGGTCGCTTTCCAAGCATCAAACCCGAGACGAAGGACTAGGAGAATTCGTACATATCAGGCTGGTGACCTGTCCTCCGAGGATCCAACTGTATGTAGTACCTCGCTGCTCCATTATGCAACCGTCTCTTGGTTTGTCATAATTCCTTCTTTCTTTGGAGGGTTCTTCTCCACACTTACATACATATGACTTCCATTGGAGGCGCTTGTGCTTCCGCGTCGAAAACACGCCTCCCCTCGCGTCAGTTCGTTTTCGTTTACCCAACGCCAGATAGTTGGGGGTAACAGGGTCGTGCGATGGAGATCACGTATTGGTGTAGGGCGCCGTAGGAAACCCGGGCGGATCGCATCCGACGTTCTTCGTGTTTCTAGGTCGGTGTGCCCAGATATAGTCTACCAACGTCATCGCCGGCAATTGATGTTGCTGAAAACCGGTACCCCCAAAATTGATCGAGGAACAAGGTTTGGGATGATAGGATGAAGCATGATTGCGACATTACCATCGGCTCCTGAGGAATTGGTCATGCCCTGGTGTCGGTGACAGATTCTTGTCCTACCCCTCCGGCTATAATCGTCCATCCTACTGATCCACGTTATGCATCCATTCTCAAAACTGTTCACCATGCAACGACGAGATGTGAGTCTGATTAATTTCACAATTAAACTAGATATCATGCACACACGCACGCTATGGCATCCTTTATCTAACCCACAGCAGTCTTAATGTGTAAGAGAAAGCCCACACGTCGTTGCTAGCTTACACCTGCAAATACATTTGCAAGAATATGGCTCAGAGACGCGGCCACAGAGAGCGTGCACTCACGTCCATTGTATGAATTGACCGCTGAGATCGTCGGATCGTAGATCTTGAAATTGTCCCAGGTACTTACATGAATACTGATATGCAGCCCACGAGACGTGTTTTGCGATAAATTACCTCAACAGAATCCAGTCGCGCAACGAAGCGATATGGGCGACTATACTCGGGCCTTCCAAACGCCATCATCGACCGTCGCCTCAAGAGCATCGATCCCGGGTACAGAATGGTTTCTATTGCTATGCACCGGTCCCGGATACAACTCTCCGGGACACGTACACGCCCACAACCGTCGATCAGGAAGAAAAAGCCCGTTCAACGGGCTCATAAACGCACTACTCACAGATTAGGACGCCCAGAAACGAAAACTTACTAAGATACCACCGTGGTCGGGTTCTCCGTTCTTCATGGCGGCAAGAGGTGTCTGCACACCAGGCAATGTCTGGTTTAGGATATTTTTCTTGTTCAGTCTTTGGTCGCCTCTGGAGCGCATATACATGTCCTGCATTTGCATTGCCTTGGTGGTTCCGCTTTCTTTTGCTGTCGAGTTTTGGTGGACGTCCTGACGCAAGGCCAGCGTTGGCATGTGATTGACTTTTTGGGGCACGTGATACGCGTCGTGTCGCGTCACCTGTTTGCTTCTGCTTGCGATTATTTGTTCTGTCTACGACATCTCACGTCGTGCAGATGCAGTCGCCGCATCTCTCCACTGTACCCATACCACGCTGGTATCGTGTTTATCATTCCATCATATATGCAGTCGAGTCACTGGAATTTCTGTAAACATGCCGTTTACGATCGGCATGACGTGGCCTCCATCTATGAGCTCACAACGCCAGACGTTGGAAACCAACGTATGTCGCTGGGAGCTCCTGCAATGGAAAACGGCTACTATGGTGCATGCAACAAGTTGCTGTCGTATTGCTTCGGCACAGACTCCACAGAATTCATTGTCCCTCGCCACAGGCACCAACACGGGAGAACGCTCGCCACGACGCCGTCAACTTCATCGTACGAGACACCCTGAAAGTTCTGGCCGAAATCGAAGATGGTACCCGGGAAAACTGCGGGGAACCGCGCCTCAAAGCTGACGCAGAAATACGTCAATGGTACGGAGCTAAGGATATGCTTTGTAACTGCCCTCTCCCTCGCTTGTGGGAATTGGGTTTAGCAAGCACCCACGTCAGAATCTAGGGCGACAATATCATGATTTCCATCGGGGGGATTATCCAGTGCTCGTTGGTATCGGTCGCGATCTTTCTCGTAATGCTGCTTAATTTGCGCTAAACGAACCACGATCGTACCTACGACGAGTGAGGTTCCAGAATTGCAAGCGGGAAAACGAGATAGAATAGGCACCTTTACTTTTCGGTCATCCATGAGGCAACGCTGACGCTGGTCCCTCATAACCCGAATAGTGAAGATCGTTGCATTGGTTAATTTCCGCCGAACAAAAGGCTAATTGCATCCAATCTACTTTCAAAACCTCGCTCATGCTCTTGAGAACGCTCATTTTTGGCGAGTTTGTGGCCTTGTCGCGAAGTTGCCCAACCTGCGAAAGATGTCTATCAATTATGCAGACCTGGGGATGGGTGCATATTCGATGGAGCCATCTGAGAACGTTGGGTAGCATGCCAGCGTCAACCTGCCACCTTTCGTAGGTCACAACATCTCGGGCATCCGAACCGAGTTCTGTCAATGACTCTTCCAGCAGTCGGTCACATACTTAAAACCGTCGTCAGTCTCCTGTGCTCCAGGCGGAAGGACGGAACTACGCCACGCTCAACTGGTCAGATCTATGCCAACAAGGTACCTCACTGCTGCGGAGCAGTCAACTCATCACTGATCACGAATTTTAGGGTTCCCGTAGAGCCGTGGCTGGGATAGGCACAAAAGTCCTGACAGTCCTTGAAGCCATGTCTGAGAAAGAGTTGTCATGCTTACGTCGAGCCAGTGGCATCGTCGACGCGAGGGAATCCACAAAGAAGGGGGTAAGATATATCCACACGCGACGGGGTAACGGGACATCGAAAGGCGGAAAAGGTCGGAGACCTGTGCCTCAGCAGGGGTTCCCAAGACGGCAAAGGATGACAGCCTTGGGACCAACGAAACCATCTCCCTAACAGCAGGAGTCAATTTGCTGCATACGCCACCGAGACGTAAGTGTATATACTCCGACTTGCCAGCCCAAATCATCTGAACTTCATCCGCGGTCATTCCGCACTATTCGCACATCGGCGACGGACTCCTTAGCCTTTCCAAGTTTACTGTACGCTAGACCTTGAACAGTAGGCATTTCGGGAGTGCACGTGCAGCCACCTTTACAGGTCGTGATACACACATCGAGCCGATTAAAGTACGTGTACCAATCGAGACTAGCCATTTTGCCTTCCGATTGTTCCGTAGCATGGTAGCACGGCGTTTCTCCCGTTCTTCCTTTGCGGTCACGGAGATCTTGACTTTGACTTTGAGAGACGGGATGTGTGCCGCCAACTCATCGGTTCATTGCTGAGCCAGAAATGGCGGGGTGATGATGGAAGTTGTCTACGGAACACTGGAACAGCATTTCTCGGCCCAACCCCAGCTCCTGAGAAACGCACCTTGATTTCTTTGACATAGAGTTCCGCTTCTAGGTCCCGGCGTTTCTGAGTGGGGTTTCTCTCAGGCGGTGAGTTCAGCGACGTCAATGTAATGCACGAAGATCGAGTCAAGGGGTTTGACATCGTGAACGATGTTCCATGCACTGAGTTCCTCAGCAAGGATCTTCTCCAAGGGCATAATGCAATTCTAGTGGATCTGGGCTGACCATGTATGACAGCCTGTTGAAGAAGAGCCCCTTCCTGCCAACCGCAATCTTCTCCCAAAGTAGCAGAGCGTCATCGGAAAAAGATTGGGATGAACGAGGTACGACTTTCCCATTTGCGTTATCTCATTCCCTTCGCAGTTCAACACCCAAGCCACCAACGAAAGAAGAGTTAGATTGGGTGTGTTGAGCTGCAACTCACTGTCTGCTTCTGGCGTCACTTGAGGTGCATCGCGGAAGCGTGGTCTTCCACATCGTCACTCGCGCCTAGAAAGCTTAGAGGAATAATGATATCTCGACCGGGCACATACCGGGAGGGACATCGCTGCACAACACAATCATTCACCTATGTAAGCCCTGGGCGTGAACGCTCGGTACAGCAAGCGAGAGGAAGAGAGAGATTGACTTGTAGTCGAAGCGGCATGTTCTAAGGCGGCCCTGGGGAAGAACGTGCATTTCAAGGTTGGTGTTGACTCCGGCACGTCCCATAATTTGTGCAACATGGCGTCTGAGAACGAAGTCTTCAAGGACGTTCGAATGTTGAATGCCATAGTTGTGAAACTCTTCTTCGGCATAGAGACCATCCAGCCACTCTACCTTGGGGGAGAGGAATATATATATGTTATATGCTGAGAGTGCACGGCATGCAGCGCCTCGGAGACTGTGGGAGTTGTGTGAAGACTGTCCTTGTTCATTTCGCAGAGTGCAATCACCGACAAATTCTACATCTTTCGTATGTAGGAAGACAACCCAAACCAAGCACTCACTGGGGACCCGCCGGGCGGGGGCGCGACAATTTTAAGCCTAGTCTCGTTCTTGCCGTGCAATGTCATCCGCCTGGCACTTCCAGCAATTTTCGCCGGAAAGCTCTCGCTCTCTGGTAATACGATAGGATTGCTGTATAAGTTGACGGAGGAGCTATGTATCACGTTTAACGGAGACCTCACGAACATTATCACGAGAAACGTACCCCTGGATCAGGCCCAAAATCGCTGAGCTCTATCTCTAAGACACAATATTCGCTCAGTGAATGGGTAGCAGGAACGTGATTTTTGTAATCTGGTGCTGGCGCTAATTGCACATGCAACACGGTCTGCCCTCTACGATTCCGCTTTTATAGCCATGACACAAGGTTACATGTGTCACCTCCGGTACGTGACCAATGAAGTGTTAAGCATTCAAACGAGCTCCACCTGTCCGCGGGAGATGGTTCTTCTGAGCTATGCTGCTCAATGAATGCTGGTAGATCCTCCAAGTATATCACCAGGTGGCGCACCCCAGGAAATGCGTCCACAATAACATGTCCGATAATCGCAAGTCCTGTTTTGCCAGCCGGTAAGTGTATATCGAGTTTGGTGACAGTGAAGAACTTGTTTTTAAGTTGAGCAAATACAGCGTGGACTGGATCTTCTGCATTAGAATTATGCAAGTAACAGAAATGTCGAAGCTGAGGGGCGACAATGTGATTAGTAACTGTGTGGGCTGGACAGTGGCAAGCGAGAGCGACACCAAGTGTGGGAAGTGAAGAGTCGCTGGGGTGGGGGTCCATCCACGTTCGTTGCCATGAAGCAGGAGGACAGTCAACTTCTCTGATGGGAGAGTCAGAGAGATATGTCGAAAGCCAAAAATCTCGAAGGTCATATCCAAAATTCTGAGGTCCGGTGGGAACAAAAGGGCGCCAGCCCGGAAAGGACAAAAGTTGTTGAGCTTTAAGAAATTCAGAGAGAGCATACTGTCGGGTCCAAAGCTAAAGGAATATGGATGGTTGAACTGGTCATCGGCGACGACGTATGCAAGAGATGGGAATATAGCGCTCCTCATCCGCGCGAAAATAGGTCTGTAAACTCTTTGTGACCGCCGATCATACCGGACCGGACGCCTCGGTCACATGCATAGGTCTCCTTTGGCTCTCGGTAGGTTGGGGTTTTCCACTCCTTACACTATGCATCATCGCTACGCCATCTGTCCGAGCAACGCATGACGATATTGAGAAGCAGGGGTAAATTACTAAGTCCCGCAGGGGGTTGCCAGAGTTTGATTTGGATGTCGGCGAGAAGACGTCCGCTCCTCTGTATATGCGCTTCAACAAGCGACGGTGCCCATTATGGGGTTACAAGGATGGTCGTCCAGAACAAGGGATTGTCGAAGATGGTGTCTCTCCAGCGTCGGGATACGCATGCTAATTCCTGCTTCCTGCGACGATGTTCGTCGCATCGATCGGCATCGGATATATTTGTACCAGAGTCCTATCGACAGTTCCACTGGTCGCCTCATCTGTCTGCACATCCAAGAATCGATCAACGAGCTCATCTGTCATTTCAGGATTGGCCACGGCATTCTCGATAGCGGAACTACGGCATTCTTGGTGGCCGGATTGGTCCGCGGTGCGTTAAAAGATGGAAACGACAACCTTGAACGAGACACGTGCACACGCGGAACGGAGACGGAGTAGAGGTGTTGGATATTGGTCGATGTGGTAAACCCCCAAACGACGAGCAGCGTGGATTTTGGAAAGTTAAGGGAAGTCATGCTTTGTATGTAATCCCAGTCTATTCTGCCTACAGAAATAAGACAATGGCTACCTATATCCTCGAGTAATCGCATCATGAAGCCTTTCTTTTCTTCTCACTACTAGCCAGTAAGCTATCGCCAGCCTTTCGTTTGCTTCCTCTAGCCTTTGTGCTATGCAAAAATTCCGCAGAGACCTCCCACGTCATATGACATTTTGTATGGGAACTTCTATATCGCGCTTGTTCCTGGAGAGATTGTGTAAGATATCGATCGTTCGGAGGGTCAATATTAGTCTGAAGTGTCAGCTGGAGCCCTTTGTATTTAGATAAGAAAGGAAAATCATTGGCACTGATTCCAGCGGAGTCTTGGCTGCCTTGAGGAAGAACGTACATTTCGAGGTTGGTGTCGGCTATGACACATCCCGTATGAACACGTCATTCGAACGCTAGATACCGCAGCGGTGAGGAATGGAGACCATCCAGCCGTTCTGCCCTAGGGAAGAAGAACAGCCAATAAGGTTCCTCCCTCGGTGGCAACGCGTCGCGCCGCAACTTCGATTGCAAGGTGTCTACGAAATGTTCGCACAACACGAGATGGTACAATGCTGCCCCCACGTCATCGTCGTTTTCCACCTTTCCCGACTTTCCTCTGTTGTATCGTCGTTCCGCTGTTGTTAGGTTGCACTTTGGCGCCTGACGTTGAGGCTTTCGTCTTATCTTCAACAGCCAATAAGGCAGATAGTCTGCGTTCCAGCTGGTTAATACGTTTAAAGGCCTATCAAAACAGTGACGTACCCAGACTTGAGGTCCCCACCTTGCACCGAGTTTTGTATACTCGCTACCATTTCCCGCCTATTCTTGATTTCCTCAAGGCTTTGAGGATCCAGATTTTTCTACGAGAGTGTCGCATGAGTCCAGACAGGCGGAACGCGAACGAAATGTTACCATTATATAAGGCATGGCCAACATCATGCCCGCAGTGAACAACATGAGCATCATCATAGGGTTCCGGAACATGCCCAGCAAACTGAACGACTCGTGTGGTTTGAAGTAGCTGTTCTTGCTACGGGGACTCAAAATAATGGGGTACGGCAAGATCACCGCTGAGGGGGATAACAGTGGTGTTCCAAAGACATAAGACTTGACTTCTGGTATAGAGGATGCGTCCGATACGTCGACACGAAACTGCAGAAACAAAGGTATCAGGGTCATTCTCGCATCGATAAATTGGAAGTAGTATACCTGTTCGAAAGTATAATCATGAGAAAGTACGGATAGAACGTATACCCCTGGGTTAACGTCCGGTCTTAGGTCATTCAAAAATCAGTGCAACAGTCGGTCTGTAATCAGGCAAGGGAGACGGACATAGAGAAGTTACCACTTCGCGTCACCCCAGCCGAATATCGACCGGCATCCAGCAGAATTTTGGCTGCACCAAGCTCTTCATAGCCTTATTCTTACAATATGAAGCCATGTCACTAGGGAGGATGCAGTTCACTCACTTGGACACACGTCGTTCCACTGCACGAATCCTAGCAGGTCGGTAGCAAATGTAATACTAGAAAATTCAGCGCTCGCATAACCTATTCCAACTGAGAACCTACTGCACGAGTCCCAAAAGAAGGATAAGGAGTGACGAGGACCTCATTGTTGGATCAGGACGTGCTTATTCGGCGCCTGGTAATTGGGAGAAGCGGTGGACAAACACGACCAAATATGATATCTTCGTGTTCGTCCAGTGTAGGTAACACTTCAGATATTCAAAATGCGGCAGAAGCGGGCCAAGGCGTATCGGAAGCTCATGTCACTTTATTGCATATCTTTCGGATTCCGGGAGCCATATCAGATTCTAGGTGTGTTCAGCAAGCGTTTTCCTTGTTCAAGCTTACCCCCGTCCCTAGTTGACTCTGAGATATGTAGGATCGCCACAGAGTCAAGGATCGACCTGTCAAAACAATTGAGTACTGTGCTGCAAGGAGTGACGAAACCCAGTACGGCCCCGTCACGTACCCAAGAAGCACTGCCAAGCTGACCTTTCGACGTAGTGATCACGCAATGCTGTATACACGAACTTTATCTCCGGGGGAAGTCTCAGCAATCGGCCGTAGACCTTGCAAAACTTTTTGAACGTCGAAAGTGTAACCACAGGGAAGCCATCCCTGGGGATGATTGCTTGGCAAGTGTAGTTGGTCGGACACCATCTTCTGAGCATGCCCTTCTTTCTAACAATCTTCGTAGGGGATAGCAATAAACATCGCTATGTGGTAGCCACGCAGTCGCAGCCCCTTCGCGCCAAACTTCGTCTTATACCTGGCGTTCCGATTATTCACATTAACCGGTCTGTGATGATCCTCGAACCACCTAGCGAAGAAACCCTCAGGGTAAAACAACAAGTGAGTGCTAATTCGCATAAAGACGCTCGTAGATTATCAATTCTCTCTCCAGAAAGAACAAGAAGCTCTCGGCCCAGCGGCTGCCGAATTGGTAAAATTACCTCAGCAGCCAAGCAATCCTCCACGCAAGAAAAAGGGACCCAAGGGACCAAATCCTCTTAGTATGAAGAAGAAGGTGGCGCAGGCCAGCCAGTGTGAGGATACCTCGGCAAAGCGATAGCACTGCCCCTCCATCTGCAAGTGACCTTTCCATTGGGGAAAAGAGAAAGCGGGAAGAAAATGACGAACAGTTAACTGCTACGCGCAAGAGGAAGAGACGTAGAAAGCACGGTGGTGGACCAACTTCGTCTGTTGTCACAACCGCCTAGCTGGAATTTCGCCGGCCCTCTCCAGTAGGTATCAGTCCCGGTGCACTGCTAAGCCGTGATCATTTTTGATGGGTCATGCCACTACGTATGTCAAATCAAACTGCGCCCGGTTCTCTACTGAATAAACATACTGCGATGGGAACTAGAAGTGAATATTAGTATGACGAGTGCGAGTGACGGCGTTGTAATCCGACTGGATTCTTGACCTGTTCATGGTGAACACATTCCCCGCATTTATGAGCCAAATATCGTCACATGAAGGTTAGGCACATCCATTTCCAATGGATTCCGTCCGTTTTTCCTGTGTTAGGTGTCGCACATGACAACCCGTGTTAAAATTGCACAGACAGGTCAACGTACCTGTCGAGGGAGGTAGCGACGAGCTGATCATCACATGAACGGAATAGCCAACACACGAACGAGGGGCACGGCAGCACGACGTTTCTCTCGTTCTTCATCGGCGGCGACAATGCAAGTACCTCATCTACATAAACGCACGACATTAAGACTGAGGGCATCCGTCCGCCCTTCGGTCCTGCCGCAATGCATCTTACCTTCTACCTGAAAGACGTCACCCAGACGGTACGTGTGATGACTAGTAGTTGTTGAACCAGTGCTGAGCCGTACTCGCAGCCTACAAACACGTGACTTCTGGACATCACTATCTACTCCAGGACCTAGAACGCTGAGGAAGAATGGTATCGTAACGTCTCCCATGTCGCTACACCCACCTGTCGACAGCTTAGATGAAAGAGGTCTTCCAGAGAGTGACATCCTCAAGCAACGCAGTCATCCGGCCTCGCGAGCCTTCTGAAGTGTCTGGTAGCCGGCATCAACAGTCGGTTGGAATAGGCTCACACAGCGAGCGGAAGAGAACTTGGCTCGCAAACGGATGCTTATGGCTCGGTAGGTCATAACTACCTTGAGGAAGGATATCCATGTTGACGTTGGTGTCGACTCTAGCGCATCCCATATCTTATGTTCATCGTAACAACGGCTACTTATATCCTCGAGTAATTGCATCACGACGCCTTTCGTTTCTTCCCCCGAGTCTGTAAGCCATCACTAGTCTTTCCTTTTTCCTCCTTACCCTCTGAGTTACGCAAAACCTTCACAGAGGCCTCCCACTCCATGACATTTGTACAAGAATCTTCCATACTGTACTTGTTTCTGCAGAATCTGCGTGAGCTGCCGACCGAGAAAGTCCTCGTGGGCTACTGATGTTCTGAAGTGTCGACAGGAAGCTGCTTGGATTCAGATAAGAAGGGAAAGTCTGGCTATTAATTGCAAGCGGCGTAAATGCGAAGGCATGGACTCCTAAACTCGGCTCCGTGAGACTTCTTGCCGGGGAACTTTGCTTCCACAGCAGATTCCTTCAAGCCCGAATTGACCAACGGTAGAGATGAGTTGCAATTGATGGAGTCATGATCGCGAGTGATGTTATCTAGGTCATTCCGGTGGGAACTGCTCCCGACCCGATCCAATATGAAGATCTGAGAAAAACCAGAGTGATCAGTTTTCCAAGGGCAATTCTTAAAGTAAATGGGTATCACTTTACCTACGAGCGGTTGGTTGCTGTCACAGTGACGTAACGTAGCAACCACTCATCCGCACTTGTACATGTCATCAACTCTAGAGACAAGAGGATATTAAAGCTAATAAGGCCTACGGTAACTGGTCGTCACCATTCTCTGGGGACAGAGATATGTTCATTCATAGGTACCCAGTGAGAGAAATTGATAAATGCGTCGGAAGTCACACCTTGCGGTGCCATCATGTATGTGGTATGAAATGTCTCGAAGAATTGCTTGCGATAGTCAGAACGCAAATTCGCAAATCGCAGATCGACTCATTCCACTCTTCGAGCACAGCATCTTTCGAGCTCCCGGAGGCTAACCTAGCAGATACATATTCACAGACGACATCGAAAATAGCCGCAAAGAATATGCGGCACCGATCACCATAATCGACATCATCATCATCACTATCCACCAGTACAGCAGCTGGTGCATCATCCCGAGCTGGAAAGCCAGTTATATCATCAGATAGTCGAAGGTTCATATAAAGAACTAAAATACCCTTCGTGTAAAGCTGAATCGGGTAAACAAAACGTTACATGGAAAGGATGACGAATGACGCACTTCAAACAGCAGGCGTGACTTGCCGGTTCCACAGCTTTGGACGATAGAACTGAATTTGCCATAGTACTTGAGAGGGCCACGCGCAGTTCTATCACAGAATTTTCTGTCACTCCTCGCTAGGTATTCGCCAAAGGCATCCGCAGCCTTCCCGCGATATTGGGAGATGAATGCCTTATGCAATACATTCATCATTTTGACAGACAGACCCTTGGAGGGTTATGACTAGTAAGCCAACGGACATAGAGTAGAAACTGTAAGAACCTCGTAGCATGTCCGCGTACGTAGCCAACGATTTAGGTGCTTGAAGAATTTCTGGAGAACGAGTTAGCGCAGAAAACGAAGGAGATCAAGCTGACCTAGGTTTCGAATATCGCAGTAAGATCGGCGCTCCTAAGCAGCATGAAGCATAGCACCCAGCTCGGGATGCCTCACAAGCACCGCTGCTGCGGTAATTGATTGGTACTTGGGATCCAGAATGCCATGCGAGCACTCTGCGATGAGTTGAAGAAGGGTCACAAAACCGAATGTTCCGAAGGGATTTTCGCCCCAAACCTCCAAAATAGTCTTATTCACTCTTTTGTCCAGCTTCTTGTGAGTGGCACCGTCAAGAGTGTTACGGATGGAGGAAAGAGGCATGACGGTCGATGCTCGTGAACAAGGGAGGGGGTGGAGATCGCTCAGCTCCCGACCAGACTCTACAGGGTTGCGACCCACAAGCTTATCTTGATGGACGGCGGGTCGATAATCATTCCGTCCCAGTGAAGTATAATGCGACCTGCAGGTTGGATCACTGGTAGAACCCCTAACATGTAATCAAGCCCCTGATTACTCGTCACTTGATTCCTGTATCCCATACACAATACAACTCTACCGTGCGATACATACCGTCCAAATAGTAGATGCAACAGGAGGATGCGGAACACTACAGAAAAAAATATAGTATACATATGAAATGAAACACTTGTCAAAAAGAAAAGAAAAGAAAAGCCCCGTTACACCCGTCATGGATAAGTTGTGCACCACATACCAGATGGGTTATGATGATGATATATATGTATGCCAAACATTTGCGGGTATATTGGAATAGTATCCGCATGCCAATGAGGTCTGAATGGGTGATTGATGAGGGGTCCATGGGGTGATGAGGGAGGGGGATCGTGACAGGGATCGTAAAAGGTCGTGAAAGAGAGGGAAAGGGCAGTCGGTGGTGAGCTATATCCTGAGTTCTCGAAACCCGCGAATGTCCAATCGTCCCGTCCCGTTCCGTTGCCATTCCTCATCTTGTATGCTCCCCTCTTCATCATCCCCCATCACGCGCACCACCGTCACAGGTTTACTGTTTCCTCCACTCTTCTTGCTGCACCGCCCCCCAGGAATGACGATCACTCCCGCACCCGTTGCAGATGCCCTCTTCGCCATTAATACCGACCTCGGCTTGGGAAGTCCGAGCGCTTTGCGTTCTCTTCGCGTGATCCGTTTCTCCACGGGTTCTGGAGGGGACGGTGTCGTAGGTCGGGGAGAAGACGCTGGTGAAGATAATGGCGAAGAATTCGACGAACCAGGAGCAGACAGCTCAGGGGTCGACTCTTCCGCCGGGTCCTCCACTTCGATAGCGTCATGGCGTTTGTAGTCGTCCGCTCTTGAGAGTGAGCTCCGCGTGCGTTTTGCAACGACGTCGGAGAGAGACGATCCAGATGATTCATCGAACGATCGCTTGGGCGAACGATGAACTCGAAGTGGCGCAGAGCCTGGAGGCATCAGCTCGGGGCGCACGGCTACAGGAATCGGCGGTGTCGGATCTGCCTCGGCCTGCGTCAAACAATCTGAAGCATCCGGGGACGGCGAACGAGAATTAGGCAGTGGTATCAGTGCAGGGCTAGCCGGCACAGTAACTTCTTTCGCCTTCACCTTCACGCTGCTTCTCTTAACACTTTTCGAAACACTCGCTTTGGACGCCGGCTTCGATGTGACTCGCGAGGTCACTTTTCTCTTGGTAGGGGTCGACAGCGGCGAAGGCGGTGCAACATCTTCAGACAACTCGCATACATGCGGAAGACCCGCATGTGGCCCTCGCAAATTCCGCACCGACGAAAAATGTTCCCAATCGTGATACCTGCATGATCGAAAGAGGAGGCGCTTAGTAGACGCCACCCAGTGCACACGACACCTACGCCACGTAAAGAGTATCCTCTGGTGACTCTTCTTGCACAGCCTCTACGCACGTTTCCCCGCGTTTCTGTTGCCTCCGTAGTCGTCTCTTCTCTCGTGCATCGCTGGCTTCGTCTGCACCCACCAATCCGCGTGCCGACGTATCGGCTTCGTCGACGCCCCCTGCGTTCCATTCGATCACGTAAACCAGTCCCGGCTGGATCACCTTGACATTCCGCCTTGCAAAATGTGCAAAAGCCGATAGTTCGAGATGGCCACCATACGTCCCTACACACACACGGCCCAATATTTGTATATCAAAAACGTGTGGTGGGGGCGGAGAAGGGCGGGAGACACTATCATACCTTGCTGTCTCATACACTCCAAATGTACATTCAACCCTCTCTCATCCTCACAAAACGGCTCGTACCGCTGTCGATGATGTTCAATCCAATCACAGATATCGCGGCGAAGCTGCATATGGTGGGACGGAGAGCCGTACAATTGATCGCTTAACGCGCGAAAAAGGCAGTTGCCATCTCCAAGCGTGGGCGCGGCGTATAACCCCAACGAACGGAGTTGTCCCGTCAGTTGCTGGGTATTCTGTTCAGGATCGGAAGGTGCCTGTGTTTGTGTTCATCCCCGTTAAGTACGTGTTGTGTGGGTGCGGTGTGTGCGTATTGTATGATACGTAGTTGTATATGTGGGAAGGGGAAACGTGAGCCACAACTGAGATGCGATCCAAGTGAACGTGGGTACTGACCCGGCCTTTCGACCTCGTCATCATACGCGTCCTCACTAATAAGTAGTTATAAGATCAATCATCAATACATTCACCGCACCGTGGCAGGCTGACAGCCACCAAGAAAGAGAACATGAAAACAAAACAAAGAAAAAAACAACGCACTTTGTGTAGTACCCGCTTTAGCTGTATGTTTTGCATGTCTCTTGGATGACTTACCCATGGCCGCACTACTTCGTGGAAAAAATAAAACCAAAAAAAAATCCCGTTTAGACGAGTCGGTATACCGTGCAATGAGGATGCGTTCGTGTTGGTTGTTAATAAACCCTTGAACACCGCCTCCCGGGGTCCCAGTTTGGAAGACCCCAGAAAGAGTTGGCACCACCCACACCTGCAGCAGTAAGGAACGATGTGCCGGCTATCACTGTACATACAGCCTCGTGTACGCATCGCGGCTGCATCGTGGGCAGGCGTCCACCGAAGATACATATCGATATCTTATCATCCCTTTTCAAAACTGGCATTGTGCCATGTAGAAATGATAGGGCGTCTACCAGAACAGTAGACGGAATTCCGCATTGTCACGTGTCCGAATTTATTAGTACATACACGGGCCAGAACTGTCGCGTTGATCAATGCCTTGCCATCATCGATCAATCACCCCAGCGTCACCCGTGTGCCGACGCCACTACCTTCGCCTGAAGTATTACTAGCAGGTGATGGGAACAACTTTTTGTTCAACTTCCGACTGCGATTAGACGCAATGGTCTCATCTCTGGGTTATCTCCGTCATTATACCCCACATTCAACTAAATAGGGAAAAACGATACTCACATGCGGCGTAACCTCAACGTGTCCATCTCAGGGCGGGGAACAGACGGACGAGCCGTCTTAAGCAACCCCGAGAAGTCCTCCCGAGTAATTTCATACCGTGTGATTTTTCCGAAATTGTATGAACAAGACAATCGCTTGCAATAGATCTACGACAAGGGAGCTTGGCCGACCTTTTCAGCTTCAACAGTAGTTTTACCCTTGTCCACAACAAGCCCTAATCTGCTGAAGGTGCAAACAACTTTGCACATGTCAACAACTAGGCTCATATCCAAATCGTCTGTCCAACTTACCTGTTCCTGCATCTGAAACTCGTCCGCTCGCGATAGCGTCTTCTGCTCGCCTGATCCACCCAACCAGACCTTCTTAGGGTCGGCGATGCATCGATTGCGGCATGTACGCGAGCGCTTGAAGATTTGTGCTGGAAAACCCCTCCGTCACTTTCGGGATATCGCTAATGCCAATTATAAAATTGCATATTGTACATGTTACAATCGGGCATGTTGCACAACAGACTTGTCCAAGCGACCGGATCGCAGCGGCGCAGCATCGGTGAGACCCGGATGACCAATTGCCCATTGGATTCCTTCGCTTGGACGCAAGGAAATCTCTGACCTTGTTGCCGCAGACACTATCAAATACATCCCGAACCTGTAAACTCACGTGAGAATGTACCAACACCCGATACAAGCAGGCGTACCGACTTCTCGCTCGTACCGATATACTTATTCGGTGACTCGAGACCTTTGATACTGACAGAATTAAGTCGACTTCTTTGCAAACGGCAGATGTACCTTGTCACAAGCTGGATATCCGTACAGGAGAATTTCCGGTATCGGTGCTTGCTTGAACGAAGACGCGTATTCTGTCGGCTATTCCACCGCCTCGCGAAGGATACGTTTCGCTTCTTCGAGTCCTGCAAAGGCGTTGTGGAGAAAACGCACACATATAGGGGTCAAAAAGCAAGATGCACCTGCATCCCCAATATATGCCCACTCGGTGTCCGACCTTGAAAGCGGCACACCTAGGTCGAAACTTGCTGGGGTTTGGTAAAGTCTTCCATCAATGGTGTCACCTGATCGTTAAGTCGACACTGCTAACACTTCATCCCACCGCCGTAGCACTCGCCTCCGATGTACTGCGTCCGCGCAACTCAAATGCTCTGCTTGCAGAGCGCTGTATAGCCTGCCTCATCATTGTACGGTCCCAGTGTATTCCTTGTCTGGGGGCAAAACGTCCTCGAGTAAACGTGGCGGCAATAAACGCAGAACCGTCTCTGGCAGTTTTGATTGCTTTGATTCGCCGTTTGAAGGTACTTCGCGTGTGACTGCCATTCCATGTTGATGTGTCTTGAGAGCTACCCTCACTTTTGTGTCTGTCATGAGTAGTGCAACATCGCTCTTAGTGGAGGGATGGAGAGAGATTGGCAGTTTCAATGAGAGGACGATCTTCAAAACACTGATAGACGTAGTGAGAGCACATACGACGATGTCTCAGTCGTCTGGGATGATGGGTTCAGTTGCGACGGACGAAGCGTAGGGTAAGTCGCGTAACAAGCCGATCTCTGCCTGACAAAGACGACATAGGCGAGTGAGAGTGAGGATGCGTTGCGGATGTTTGACATGTCTACCAATCACCAGGATCGAGGATACTTTTCCGAGTGAATCACTTTGACCTCGACTATCAAGCCGGTTTAAGCCCGTGATTTTGTGACTATTGTGACTATTTGTGACTTCTTGGGAAGGAATCTACTATCTGTACTTTTTTTTTGACCATATACAGCATTTTGAAGAATGAAAAGAGAACAGAACCTATTGAGACAACTAAGTGATGATATAACTAAGCCAAGAAGACTAGAAAATGTCTGAAAATTCAGAGATATTGAGCCATTGGTGTGATGCACACTGTCTGAAAGAAAAATCACAATATCTCTTTGGAACCTCCATCAATTTGAATATATGTGGTATCTACTGAAAGCTATGAATTAGGTGGTTTGAACAAGACCAAAATAAGTGAGAACAGTGCAGCCATGCCTGCAGGACATGGGAAACAATAGTAGATTCCTTCCCAAAAAGTCAAAAATAGCAATGTGTTATTTTCCTGATGCCATATGTTGATCTCCTGATCCACCTTGGGCACTCTCTCACTTGAAACAGTATAGTAGACTCAATGCAGGAAGTGTTTATCTCCTGAAAGCTTTCCAAGACATTGCCATGGATGGAGGGGGGGTACATATGACAATATCCCAGTTGCAGGGTGATTGGTTGAGTTGTGACAGATGAAGGATGTGGTAAGTCATACAATAAACTGATCTTGGCCTGACAAAGAAACAAATTATGTGGATGAGGGTGAGTGAGGACATTGTTGGAGTGAAGTGACCCCTGTCCATACTTGGACTTAGGCATGTGATCATGTCACTTACATAAGCTGTTAGAGCACACCCATACACTAGTAAAATTTACCTAGTCCCTCAGTAGCTTGACAGACTACTGAGGTTCCCTACAGATTCCTCTCTGGGTTTCCCTCTGCAACCCCACAAACTTCTTCAGGTTATGAACCCCACCTAGTGGCAGAACCTAGGAGGAATGGCAGTGAAGAGATACTGAACTAGGGAAGGCTTCATCTACATCCCTGAGCTCAAGATGAACAGATGGAATTGGAAAGAGTATTGTGCAAAGATACTTGAGGTTATGCAAATCCAAAATGTGGAACAAGTATTGGTTGGCATGAAGCCAAAACCAAGGCCAGGTAGCAATGAACTAAAAGAATGGCCAAAGTCTAGTAGAACTGTGGACTCTATTCTGATGTGGAACATGCCTGATTCCATCTTTTCATGCATCAAATACTATGAGACAGCCTGTGAAATGTTCAACTACCTAGCAACTACCTATGGCAACCCAAATCCTATCTCCATCCCTGTAAAATGTGTCAGTGCACCAGCTGAACAGTCAAGCATTGGCAAGGATGAACCAATAGGAACAAATGGTGAGTGCAAAAATGCATGAGAACCAGAAGATGAGACACTTGTACCACATGTGAAGCCTGACAAACTGTCAAGTGAGCCACCTAAGGAGGTGACACTTGAGGGGAACAGTCATGATGAGGTGAGAAGTGGTGACAAAGTAAAAACTGAGGCTACAGTTGAGGTGGCCTGGTGAGTCATGTTGCAGGGTGGAGAGGTTGAATTGAAGACTTTGAAGTCCACCAAAGATGCACTTTGTCAGTGTGCATCTCCAGTCAAGTTCAAAAGGGTGAAATCAGTCAAAGTTGAGGGTGAGATGTCTAGAGAGGTTAGCAAAGAGAGAGCTGCAGAGAGCAGTCTGGGCAAGGAAGCCACAGACAAGGCTGACAGCATGGATATCACAGCCAAGAAGACAATGAACCTTGAAGCTGATGGTGGGGACACAGAGGTCCACCACACATCAAATGGGCCAGAATGCATGCACAAGAGAAAGGTGCATGCAAGTGCCCAAGACACTCCCAATGACTTGCAGACAACTGGCAACATGAAGGACACAGGTGGCAGCACAGATGTGCTGCAGCACCATACAGGTGACCCTGGTCACTGCACACATGAGAGAGGGGTACACACAAGTGCCCAGGACCTGCCAAACAGTCCCCAGACACCAGCCTAACACCTGAGGGAGGGAGTTGGCACTACAGCTGCTAAACAGCATGCAGTGGGGGAGACAAGCTGCAAGGGGTCAGATGGGCATGCTGAACCCAAGGTCATGGCTGAGCAATGCAAATGCAAGGCTATCAAGCCAGTGCCAGACCTAATTCTTCAAATGGAAGCACACACTGCCAAGAATTTACTACAAACACCTACAAAGTACAGTCAATCTAAACCCCCTATGACAAACTATGTACTGGAGTCACCAGCTGAGCAGGGATGAGTACCACTTGAGGGGGAGTGTGGTGGTAATGCAAGCAGCTATGCAAATGGCCAAAACACCAGTGGAAAGGATCCTCAAGATCACACAAACAAGCCAGCTGGTAGCAAGAGCCATCAGCACATGATTCTGAAGATGCTGGAAGTGTCAAGGGTCAGCAGCAGAACAGTTGGGAACAGGAAAGATGCACTGAAAGTGGGAGCACAGTCAGTAAAGGCTGAAAATGACTGGGACAGCAATAGTGGTCACAACACTGGCTCATGCAGGACCAAGGATGCATTGCTACCCATGGCTGCAACTTGGTATGGCTATGGAGACACTCATGACAGGCTGGGAGTGCATGGTAGTACACCAGGAGGCACAGGACTGCACACTGAGCAGGGTTGCACACTGCCAATAACAAATGAGACCTGTAGGTGTCAGTACACACCAGAAGAGTGCACCCAAAGGAAGGAATTGGCACTATGGCCTGTTGAACAGCACACATTGGGGTCCAGTGAAGTGCAAGAGGTCAAGACACTGTGAAATGAGCACAACCATGCACTGGCAAGACCACAAGAATTCTACATACATTGGTGCATGCTCGAGAGCCTGCCTGATGACAGTAGAGAGCCAGAAGTGCATGGAGGCACTGAAACTTCCCAGCCAGTCAGTGGAGATGTCAAAGGGAGTGTGATGAGGCTGGAGACAGGGCCTACCAGCACTAAGACAGCCAAGACATGAGCTGTACCTGCTGCACATCAAATCACAGCCAAAGGAGACCATTGATGAAGGGAACTTGGGCAGTGAGAGCAGCAGGGACAGTGCAATGAGCAATGATGCCATTGACACACTTGGAGTCAAGATGAGGATGTTATCTGGGAGTAGCATTCAGTACTATGATGGAGACTGGTTGCCAAGTACAAGAAATGTACCCATGTCATCAATACCACCCATGGGATGTGTGGAACATGCCCACAGGACCTCTGTACTGAAATGTTGGCATGGACACATCAAGTTCAAGGTTCTGGGGTGAGCATCCACTTTTGATGTTGAGAATGCATTTTGGAATTATGGTAGCCTCTCAGAGTTTTGCCCAGAGGGCTCGGAATTTCTCCCCGACCCTCAGAATTAAATTCTGATGTCACTACACTTACTAATTACAGTACTATAAATTTTCCACACCATTATTTTCCACCTCAGTGACTTCTTTGTACACTGAGGTGAGCATACCTATACTTACATTCATTTACCTGGTACTGACATAGTGTAGATACTCATAACTTTGTTAGGTACCAATACAGTGACTTGTTCATAGACTGAGATACTCATAACTTTGTTAGGTTATGAGCCCCACTCTCATGCTCTAATTCCAAAGAGTTATTACACAGCAACACTACCCACTATGGCAAAAGATGATCATTCCTTACAAGTCCCAACCCTAAATGCAGACAGAAGCAACTGGTGTCACACACCAAAGGTGTTTGGTGAGGTGGACATGGATGTAGCTGATGAATGGAGGTGAAGACCATAGCCCTCATGCGAAGAAGGACAGCCAGCAATGTCAGCAGTCATCCCTTGCACAAGAACAAGTTGTCAGTGCCAAAGAAAAAGGAGGAGGTGAGTTAAGTGCCAATAAAATTCTTAAGTGCCTGTGTATGGCATTCCAGTTTTCGACATATCTCCACCAGTTCTGCAGACACCAAAACCATTCCCACACTCGCTTGTAGTGCTCAGCCACTGCGATCCTACCTTCCAAGATTGGAAAGGATTTGTGCACTCCACATGTTTCTACAGCACTCCCTCCAAAAGACGCTCATTTTGCTAATTCTTCTGATATGGCTGCCTCCACATCAGTCATTTCACTTGTCCCCTTTGCTAGGGACCATGGCTACATATATCTACCAGGAGTTCCTACCAGCTTCCATCCTGAAGCGTCCTGGTACATCCCACCCTCATCTGCCCCCTCTCAGCCCATCCAGCTTGGACAGTGTGTTCTTTTTGTCAGTATGACCTCCAGGAGGACGTTCTTTGGTCACCTCAGGTCTGTCATTTGCTTGGAAAGGTCTTATGTGGTTGTTTCAGTCTCTCCAGTCCAAGAAGCATATGGATCCTTCCTCCCTGCCCCCTGCAATGTCTTCATACCAGTCTCATCCGTCGTTCTTCCAAAATTGCGACAGCTACAGTATAATCTACTGTTCTCCACTCTCCCTGATCGCATCCATGATGAGTATGATGCACATCTTGCCTCCTTGTTGCAAGATACAGCAGAAGATGCTCCCCCTTCATCCTCTCTTCCAACAGAGCCTCATTCATGAAGTTTTTATTTGCTTCACTGAGAGGATGGTTTGGGGGGGAAAGTTGTGATCCCCTATGCTCCTGTCACCCCACAGACCCCCAAAGCTTGACCCCTGTTGACATCTGACTCACCCTGTCTGCTTTTGGATGTACTATATCGGCATCAGGTCAGCGCTGCCTCTCTGTCATCCCACTTTGGCCTAGAAGCGATCTCTTCAAGATGTGACATGCACAGCCTCCCCCTGATGTGATTCCAGTGTGCTTTCTTGGTTCCTGACATTGCTTGACTCATACTTTGACATTCTGACTGTCTTTGACTCACCTGTTGCCAATACTTACCAATCTTTTGACTTTGCTTACTGATTCTTCACTTTTTGGCTTACTTATCCTTACCAATGCTTACCAATGCTTTCCAAGACGATTACCCATCGCTTACATTCCTTACTCATCAGTTACCAATCACTTACCAAGTGTTTGCACCTTGTTTTCCATAGGCAATGCCCCTGTACTGTATATAAGTCACTGTACTTAGGTAAAAAAATAAAAAAAATAAAAAAGACATCAGAGAGCCCCTCTTGCTCGCAATTTATCATCTCTCAGTAAATCATTCATCAGCTTCAATAGTTGAGACTTTATTAAGGGTCTAGCTATCATCTACTTTGCTTATCATCATCTATCATCCATATACTTCGCTCCAAGCCCTCCCTGAGCTCAGTACAGCTTAGGACATCGAATTAAGTCACCATCCATCCTTCTGTAGGCTGACAGCAGTCTACCCTATCGCTTTCTATCGCATTCTTGCTCCCTCTTTGTCAGGAGCACCCCCAACCCTCAGCACTCATCTCTGAGTGTTGCAGCTCGCAGAAACCCTCCCAAAGAACAGGTTCTACCATCTAGGTACCGCATAGGCACACCACCACTTGCTTTCATTGTCTTTTGTGTTGGTTTTGGTTGGTTTTCACCACTGAACCTCACTTTGACTCACACTGGCTATACTACAAGGCTTGGGTTGAATGGGCTGTCAGTTTGAAAGGGCTGATTGGGCACCTGACTGGCTTGGATGCAAAACCAGAGGACCCTTCAGCAGGGAAAGACTCCTCCTGGAAGCCCACAGCCATGGAGCAAAAACTTGTTAATGAATATCCAGAAAAACTTCAGCAATGGGCAAAGGACAATGGATATGTCAAGCAAGTGATCACTGTGTCACTCCCGGAATCATTGTGCCTTTGAGTCCTGAAGGAAGAGACTGTGAAGAGTGTGTGGGGTGTCCTCACTGACCTTTTCCAAAACTGCTCTTGCATTGTTGCAATCAATCTTCAGAGAAAACTCCAAGAATCTTGCTGTTCAGGAAAAGGTGATGTCTGTGCTCACTTTGACAAGATGTACACACTGTGCAAACAACTTGCTGCACTTGGACAGTCTATCACAGATGATGACTTTGCAGCCATCATCCTCAGTTCACTTCCCACTTTGTACAACTCCAACCTTGCAGCTATGATGTCTTTGGCCTTGGTCATGCAAAAGGACCTATCTCTGGACTTTATAATCAAAGTAATTTCTGATGAATATGATAGGTGCCAAATGTGGATGAAGAGAGGCAATTCTGGAAACTCTGGAAATTCTGAAGACACAGCCTATTCAGTGAAGGATGGAAAGAAGTCTACTTGTGAAAATTGTGGAAAGAAAGGTCATGCATGAGACCAATGCTGGGAAGAGGGTGGCAGAAAAGCTGGGCAAGCACCCAAGTGGTTCCAGAACAAAGGAAAGGGGAAAAAGAAGGAAAAAGGCTCTGGAAAAGCAGCTACTGCAGCCAGTGCAACAGCCAGCTCAAGCACACAGACCAGAGCTGACTCTGAACCTGATGGAGTCTGGCTAGCACACCTGCAGGATGATGATTGGTTAACAGAAATTGTGGAGGAAGAAATTCTGAACTCCCAGGATATTGTTATTGATGAAGAAGATGCATATACAAACACCTTTGATCATGCTCTGCTCACTGGTGAAAGCCTAAATTCTGCAGAAGAGACCATCCTGTTCAACTCAGGTGCTTCACATCATATGTCCTCCTACCACAGCAAATTCCTCAACTACAAGCCAATCATTCCTAAACCTATCACCACTGCTGACAACCACACCTTCCATGCCATTGGGAAAGGTGACCTTGCAATCTCACTCCCAAATGGCACTGTGCAAACCCACATTCAACTCAAGGATGTGCTCTATGCCCCCAAGATGGGAATTATGCTCATTTCTGTTAGCAAACTTGATGTCACTGGGTATGCTGCATTATTCTGAGACAAGCATTGTCAAATTTTTGATGCTTGGAAAAAGAAAGTAGCCAAAATTCTGATGCAAAAAGGCCTCTACTGCCTCAAATGAGCTCATTGTGCCTTCACAGGCCTAGCTAAGGCCACAGAATCCTTGACCATGGAGGAGATACACATCAGGCTTGGTCACATTGCTCCCAAAGCCATCTGGTGCATGCTCAAGGATGGCACAATCACTGGAATTAAGCTGGATGAAGCACATTCCACCATGGGTGCATGCAATTCATGTGAGTATGCCAAAGCAACTTGGAAGCCCATTGGGAAGGAGTGTGACCCACCCCACTGTGAACACCTTGGTGATGAGGTCCACACAGACTTTTGGGGACCTTCTCCAGTCCAAACCCCAGGCCACAGTCAATACTATGTATCATTCACAGATGACCACACTCATTACACCACCCTATTTTTGCAGAAGACAAAGGCCAAGACCTTCAAATCCTACAAGGCCTACAAAGCATGGCTGAACATGCAATTCAACACCAAAGTCAAGTGACTTTGCTCAGATCATGGGGGAGAATACCTTAGTGTGGAATTTTTGGAGTATCTGAAATCCTGAGGCACAGAATGATGCATAACTGTCCATGATACCCCTGAACACAACAGAGTTGCAGAATGACTCAACAGAACACTTGTTGAGCATGTACTGTGTGATGATTCATGCCAGTGGCCTACCCAAGAACCTCTGGGGGGAGGCCATCATGCATGTGACTTGGCTCAAAAACCACTCATCAACTTGTCATCTAGGCACCAAGACTCCCTATGAAATGCTCTACAACAGACCACCTGACCCCTCAAAAATCCCAGTCTGGGGATGTCATGTCAAGGTCCATGATACCTCTGGCTCCAAGCTAGACATGCAAGCCTGAGATGGACACTGAGTAGGTTTTGATCCTGAGAGTGATGGCCACCACATCTACTTGCCTGACACATGAGCAATTGGAATTGAATGAAGTGTCATTGTTGAGCACTGAGATGTGTCCATACCACATGGTGTGCCACTTGAGGGGGAGCAGGAGAATTCTGAAGCCTCAAATGGACATTCCAAAGCCTCAAAATGAAATTCTGAGGCCCTGCAGATAGTCAAGTGACCCACCAAAGCAACTATGGAAATTCCGAGACTCATTTCAGACCCACTTGGAGAGAATTTTGAAACACCTCCACTTCAACCTTGTCATTCCACTCACCAGTGCTTTGAATCAGACTATATGAGGCGCCTACATGCAGGGGAAGGCACTCATGATGGACACATCCCTCTTGACTTTGTAAAAGAACTCCAAGAGAGTGATAGCAACCCAAAAAGCCTGAAATCCTGAGAAAATGCTACCTACATATTTGATGAAGAACTAGTTGCCAATGAAGATGACACTAACATTGTGTATGCTATGGTGGCAGGGATGGCTGAAGCTGAAGGGCTGGACCCATCAACAGTACATGAGGCAAAATCCTGAGCTGACTGGCCAAAGTGGCAAAATGCCATAAATGCAGAATTACAGAGCCTAGAGGAAGGCACACACCTGGGATGTTGTTGAGTGCCCAAAAGGTGCAAATGTCATAGGATGCAAATGGGTCTTCAAGATCAAATGCAACACTACTGGGGAGATTGAGAAGTACAAGGCCCACCTAGTTGCTAAGGGCTACTCTCAGATACAGGGCATTGACTATGATGAAACCTATGCTCCTGTTGCAAGACTTGCATCACTTCACACTATACTTGCAATTGCTGCATGCAACAACTGGGACATTGATGTCTTCAATTTCCACTTGGCATTCTTAAATGGCAAACTCAGAGATGGGGAAGACACCTACATGGAGCTCCCTGAGGGCTACCCTGTAGGGTGGAATTTTTCCCATCCAGTTGGGAAACTAAACATTGCATTATATGGCTTGAAACAAGGTGCACTTTGATGGTACCAGAAGCTATGTGCCACTCTCACAGATCTTGGACTCACCAGGGCACACACAGACTGGGGAGTATTCTATGGTCACATAGGACCAGAAATTCTCATTCTTGCCAGCCATGTTGACAACTGCACTGTAAGAGGCAGTTCCCCATCATTAGTTTGCTCATTTAAACAGGAGATCAGCACTCATTTCAAAATCTCTGACCTAGGGCCCATCAGTTGGCTACTTGGGATGAAGGTGACACAGAACAGAGAAGCCTGCACCATGTCACTATCCCAGCAGTCCTACATTGAGGCCATCCTGATGAAATATAACCTTGCCAACTGCAAGCCTGCTGCAATTCTGATGGACCCTGGAATAAAACTCTCATGGAGAAATTCCACAGCCAGCTGAAGAAGCTGCATGCATGAAAAATGTGCCCTACTGTGCTGCTGTAGGCTCCCTTATGCACCTTGCTGTTGGAACACACCCACATTTGCTGTCTCCACAGTTGTGCAGTTCAATAATGCACCCAACATGACTCACTGGGAAGCCATAAAACAAATCTACAGGTATATTGCAGGCACAAAGGTGCTCACTTTGTCATTCAGAAATACAGAATGAGGCCTTGAGGGCTATACTGATGCAGATGGAGCTTCACAGGAGCATCAATGTGCTATAAGCAGATCCACCTATATACTGGATGGAGGAGCTATCAGTTGGGCCTCATGGAAACAAGAACTTGTAATGCTCTCCACTGCTGAAGCAGAGTACATTGCAGCAACATCAGTAAATCACTTTTGCTGGCCAGAGCTGTCCAGAGCTGTCCAGCACTGGACAGATTCCCTAGGACTACCAGCTCACAAAGTGGTCTACTGATGAACTCATGCAGCCAAAGAGGGCCTGTGGCTTCAATGACTCATCAAGGAAGTTTTCTGACCACTCAAACATCCTATCCCACTGTATTCTGACAGCCAATCTGCCATTGCACTCACAAAGGATGGCAGCTACCATGCTTGCACCAAGCACATTGATATATGATACCATTTCATTCATTTTGCTGTGGAAAACCATCCCTTTCATTTAATTTATTGTCCTACTGATGACATGGTTGCTGATACCCTTACCAAACCTTTACCTAGCATCGAGGCAAAACACTTCATGTCTGCACTCAAACTCTGTTCTGATTGAGGGGGAGTGTTGAGAATGCATTTTGGAATTATGGTAGCCTCTCAGAGTTTCACCCAGAGGGCTCGGAATTTCTCCCTGACCCTCAGAATTAAATTCTGATGTCACTACACTTACTAATTATGGTGCTATAAATTTTCTGCACTGTTCTTTTCCACCTCAGTGACTTCTTCATACACTGAGGTGAGCATACCTATACTTACACACATAATTCAGTCAACCAAAGTCCTGAAACTGGGACACCCAAAGTGTACATTCACCCTGAAAGTGGGACTAACTGATGTCAGCCAATGGCCCTGAAAGTGGGTCAGCCACAGCTCATGGGATTGCCTAAAGGTGGCATTGGCCAACCTACCCTGGGTGGGTGAGCCCCCTGAGAGGGGTGCCAGCTGGCCTAGCCTCAGCATGAGGGAGCCCCCTGGAAGTGGTATCAGCTGATGCAGCCTCAGCATGGGGGAGCCCCCTAGAAGTGGTGTTGGCTGACATCACCTAAGCATGGCCCAGCCCCCTGGAAGTGGTAGCAGCCAACCTAGCCTCAGCATGAGGGAGCTCCCTAGAAGGGGTGTCAGCTGACATCACCACTTCATGGGTGAGCTCCCTAGAAGTGGTGTCAGCTGACCTAGCCTCAGCATGAGGGAGCTCCCTAGAAGGGGTGTTGGCCAACATCACCATTTCATGAGTGAGCTCCCTAGAAGTGGTGTCAGCCAACCTAGCCTCAGCATGAGGGAGCTCCCTGGAAGGGGTGTTGGCTGCATCACCTAAGCATGGATGAGCCCCCTGGAAGTGGTATCAGCTGATGCAGCCTCAGCATGGGGGAGCCCCCTAGAAGTGGTGTTGGCTGACATCACCTAAGCATGGCCCAGCCCCCTGGAAGTGGTAGCAGCTGACCTAGCCTCAGCATGAGGGAGCTCCCTAGAAGGGGTGTTGGCCAACATCACCACTTCATGGGTGAGCTCCCTAGAAGTGGTGTCAGCTGACCTAGCCTCAGCATGAGGGAGCTCCCTAGAAGGGGTGTTGGCTGACATCACCATTTCATGGGTGAGCTCCCTAGAAGTGGCGTTGGCCAACCTAGCCTCAGCATGAGGGAGCTCCCTGGAAGTGGTGTTGGCTGACCTAGCCTCAGCATGAGGGAGCTCCCTGGAAGGGGTGTCAGCTGCATCACCTAAGCATGGATGAGCTCCCTAGAAGTGGTGTCAGCTGATGTAGCCTCAGCATGAGGGAGCCCCCTAGAAGTGGTGTCAGCTGACATCACCTAAGCATGGCCCAGCCCCCTGGAAGTGGTAGTGGCTGACCTAGTCTCAGCATGAGGGAGCTCCCTAGAAGGGGTGTTGGCCAACATCACCATTTCATGGGTGAGCTCCCTCTAACCTCACTTAAGCCCAACCCAGCATCAGCAAAGCATGCAGCAGACATACAAAATTATATATGCATATCAGCTGTGAAACCTCCAGAATAAACAAGGATCTGTTTCTTCTATAATTTTCAACATATTTTCTTAGGAAAGATGGGACATTCTTGCAGTATGGGCCATATCATTGGATTCATTCTTTATAAACAGTCCATCTTTTATGTACTGTGGAGGTATATGTATTTTACAAAATTTCTACCAACCATGCAGATGACTTTTTTCCATCTAGTAATTTTTTGGCTCCTTGAGGCATAGAGATGGTATAAGTTTTGGGTGGCAATGCAGTCCCCTCCAAGTCCTTCCCACAATCAGGATACTGGCACTGATAGGAATAAGTTGAATCAGCACTAGCAGCCAGCCATTCTTGTATGCTCCCATGCTGAGGGCATTGAGCAGGCAAGTTCTGACCCCAAGGTTTGATGAACTTGTCAGTCCAAATGTACCTTTCCACCAATACCCTCCCTCCTTGAGACCCCCAAAACATGAGGATGATGTTTGAGTGTCTACCCAGCACCCCACAATCCTTGAGGGCAGCCTTGACTGTCTTATCCATCTGTTGAAAGCCTTGGATGATGGTAAGGTCCAAAACACTCATGAGGAAAGGAATGGTGTTGATGGGGAGTAACCTGTCTGCATCAAAGAGGAGCATTGACCTTGGCTTGAAGCTGGAATGGTGATGAGTGATAAATAAGTGCTCAGATGGAGAGGACACTTACTGGTTCATGGCTGACTTGAGGTCTTGGAAACTCTCCTGATGCTTGACCAGATATCCACACACCAGGAAGATGAGGTCGCCTCCCTCAACAACCTTGGAGAGGGGTGTGAGGAGAGCCTCTAAAACCTGGAGATGGTGAGGTGAGAGTAAAGATTGAGAAATGGTGACTCACCTCAAAGACCCTTGAGACAAATACCTGCCCATCCCTACTTCCAGCAAAGAGATCCCCACTTTGTTCTTCACTGTTGGTAGTGAAGAAGAGAACCACCCTTCCATAAGGGGCCAGGAAGGAAGAGAGCACTTCAGCTGCAGTTTCATAGGCAGCCCTAGACTCCTGAGTTCCCAAGTCATAAGGCAACTGTGCAAAATTGTAGGTGCCCTCTTGTTTGAAATACCCTTGTATCATGGATTGGATGATATGGAATGGGTCAGGGTCCATGGTCAAGCCATCCAGGTGAAGGTGGATGATGGCTGTGGAAAGGGTAGCCACTTCAGAGGTGGTGGCATGCTGGAATGTGCCCATGACAGCAGGGGGCTTGCTGAGGACATGCTCATCACCCAGATAGAAGCCCTGTATTTGGAGTTAGGCTGGATGGGGGAAGTTTGGATGGACCTACATAGTAGGGCTGAGGAGTTCCATGTCTGGTCCTCTTCCAATGACAACTGACACACCTGAGGAGAAACAAAAGGACTTGAGGTGATGAAATAGGGTGGTGGGTGAACATACCTAAAGGAGACACCAGGCTGAGTGATCTGTTGAAGGGAATCCTCTGGAACCACCAGACACTTGTTGCAGACCACCCTCCAGCAGCCCATGACATCACACTCCCATAAAGTGCCCCCATCCCTACACATGAGGCAGAACTGAAAGAAGATATGAATATCATGATCAGAGGAAAGAGTAAACGAACATGGGTAAATCCCAGCTGACTGGGAATATAATGGAACAAGGAATGGAATTATCAATATAAATGTGTATATTAGATTGAATGATTATTACATGGTTACATACATATAGATACATAAGTGTGTACACTTCTAGACAGGGAAGACAGGGGCAAAGTAGGTAGGATGACTTACTTTATTTTGTGTATGACACAGAGGGTGGTGGGAGAGGGAGGGAGCAGCTAAGAAGATCTGTCAGTGAGCTAGGATAAATGTGAGAGGCAGCTTAGAACTTACATACCTTGTTTTGGCTTGGACAGAGTGGGTAGGAGGAAGGGGGGAGACAATGAAGCTAGATGGAAAGAAAAGTGGTGAGTAGGGGGGGAGATGCACCTGAAAAAGAATTAAAAAATCATGTACTTTTGTTTTTGGGTGGACAGTGCTGAGGAGAGGAGGGGGGGGGGGCACCAACACCCAAGAATTACAAAGCTAGATGAAAACAAAAAAGATTAGTGAAAGGATGTGGAGAAAGAAATCACATACCTTTTTTTTGGTTTGGAAAATGGGGAGGGGAAGAGGGTGAGGGGGGGGGGGAACACAGGGCCAAGAGCATGCAGCTTTTTTTCAGTGTGGAAAGGTGGCAAATAGAGAGAGGGTGACAGTCAAAAGGGAAACAGTATTTATGAAGCTTGGGTGCAGCCACTCAGGCTGTTGTGGCATGTGTGGTGAGGTCACATGACAGGTGAACAGGGGAACAAAACACTCATGGGATAAGCAACATGATTGCAGAACCAAAGGTCAGATGCCAGGTTGATGGGATGCTGGGCAAGCAACACCTTCCTCATCTACCTCCACCATCACATGCAAATCCTCACCCCATACATGCAATCAGAACTGAACCTACACCATGCTTTCCTTCACTACACACTTCCCCCAGTCCATAGATAACCCAGGGCAGTGCCCCTCCTCCTAACCTCCTGGGTACCCAGTGCTCACTGCATGTGTCATCAGACCACTTCCTATCACCCAGGGATTCACCACTCATGCCTTCCCAGCAGGTTATTGCTACCATTCCAGGCTGGTAAGTGCTCTGTGCTTCCCCTAACTCCCCTCTCCACATCTCCCTCCATTACATTACATAGTCCCATCCTAGCATTGCTTTGACAGGTATTTACATTTGCTAGCAATGCTACACTTTCCACTCACCCACATGATCCTAGTGCCATCCAAAGAGTGTGACTCTGTGACACAGCAAGGCATGTGCCAGTCACAGAGTTGAGTCTTTGGACCAGTGTAGGTAAGCAGCACATCCTGTCTTTCTCCAGTGCCACCACCTCATTCACCACACCTCATCATCACACCTGCCTGCCACTCCCCTCCTCAAACCTTGTTCTTGGTCCCCTTGTGGTCTTACCCCTGGGTCCCTGAGCATGTCAGCACCACCTTGTTGTGGCTGTGACTCTTGCAAGGTGTCTCCCACCTGCCCTCGCAGCTCACACCTTCCCAGCAGGTTATCACTACCATTCTGGGCTGGTAAGCACTCCATGCTTCCCCCAACTCCCCTCTCCACATCTCCCTCCATTACACTACATAGTCCCATCCTAGCATTGCTTTGACAAATATTTACATTCACTAGCAATGCTACACTTTCTGCTCACCCACATGATCCTAGCACTGTCCAAAGAGAGTATTTCATTGTGGAGTTGTTCTATGTCCATTAGAAGGCTGGCACATGGTACAGGGTACTCCAAGCAGGTGGCACAGAGAGCTGAGACCAGCTGTTCCCACATAAACACTGGTCAGAGGTTGTGGGGGTTTGCCTAAGCATAGCCCCTATCCCCCTCTTTGGGGTAGACATCCCATCATCCAGTGAGAGCATCAGGCTTAGCACCAAGCTTACCTGGGCAAAAACAAATGACAAGGTTGAACTGTGACAGGTACTCAGACCACCAGGCTTGCCAGCATGTGAGCACCTTGGAGGTTGAGAAATATTCTAGGTTTTTATGATCAGTGACTACATCAATGGGTAGAGGAGCACCCTCCAAGTAGTGTCTCCAGGCCTTGAAAGCCTCAAAGATAGCAAGTAGCTCCTTATCATGGGTGTTGTAGTTAAGTTCTGGTGCAGACAGTGTCTGCAAGTAGAAGGTGAGCAGGCAAAGTTGGTTGTCTTCTCCAGTAATGGACAATATGCCAGTGATGGTGTAGTCCAAAGTGATGGTTTCCACTGTGAGTTGAGCACCAGGAACAAAGTGGGTAAGGATAGGAGTGGTGGTGAAAGCTTCTTTGAGCATATTGAAGGCTGACCAGCACTCCTCAGAGAAGTTCCAGGGTATGTTTTTTTGCATGAGCCAGGTCAAGGGGACAATGATGTCCAAGTAGTTGTAGATGAAGTGTTGGTAGAAGTTGGCAAAGCCTAGGAAGGATTGGATGTCTTTGACCTTCCAGGGTTCAGGCCAGTCACAGACAGCTTTGATCTTTTTGCCAGACATGGTGAGACCAGTTGGCAAAAGACATTAGCCTAGGTATTCTACCAACTTGGAGTGGAACTCACATTTTTCTGGTTTAGCATACAGGCCATGCTTCCAGAGTTGGCACAGACCCTCTTTGACATGCTGCTGATGCAAGTCCTCATCATTGGAGTAGATGAGTATGTCATCCAGGTAGACCACAATGCATACATCTAGGAGGTCAGTGAACACCATGTTGATGAAGCATTGGAATGCCACTGGGGCATTGGACAGACTGAAAGGCATGACAAGCCATTCAAAGGACCCATACCAAGTGCAGAACATGGTTTTCCATTCATCACCATCAGTGATCCAGACCAGGTGATACACATGCCTGAGGTCAATTTTGGTGTAGACCTTGGCCCAGGATGGTGAGTCAGGGAGGTTGGTGATGAGGGGGAGTGGGTATTGGTCCTTTTTGGTGATCTTGTTCAAGCCCCAGAAGTTGACACAAAGCCAAAGGGAGCCATCCTTCTTCTTGACAAAGAGGACTGTGTTAATATAACCACAATCTGAGGCCACTGGTGCCCAGTGTAAGAGACTTATATTGAGTAAAATAATACAGGACTGTACCTGGTGCCCAGTGTAAGAGACTGAAGAAAATTTCACTGGGCACACAGCAGTAAGTGCGCAAAAATGATAAACAAAGGTAAACAATAAACAAATGCAAACCAAGGACACTTAGAGCGAAGCTAAGTGTCCACTACATGCCTGTAGGGTGAGATAGAAATAGGGGAAAGGAAAAACATGATCTGAGGTGCACAGGCACCTGACATGAACAGATTGGTGCTCCATGGGGGGAAGAGGTAGGTCAGATGAACCCAGTAGCCAGATGCTCATCTAGGAAGGCTCACAGAGCTTCAAGCTCTACCAGTGACAAGGAGTAAATAGGGCCAAGGGGTGGTGATGTGTCCCCTTCCAGCTCAATCTTAAGATCATGTTCTCAGTGGGGTGCCAGAGTAGTGGCTTTAGATTTACTGAACATGTCAGTGTACTCATGGTACTCCAGTGGAATGCCAGAGAGGTTCAGTGCATCTTCCACTTTTGAAGACTGAAGGGAGGTGAGAGCCAAGGGATGGAGCTGGAGGCTGAACTGAGAAGATCCTTTGAGTTTACATACCCAGACATAGGCTGTGGCATTGATGAAGGCAATGGGTGGGCAAGTCAAGCCCAGTGCAACCAGTTTCTCTAATTGCAAGGTCAGATGCTCAGCAGAGCCAAAGGTGGGTGGTCTGAGAGCTGTAGGCTCAGGGTCAGGGGGTGACATTGGGGGGTCTGGCACTCATTGCACAGGTGTCTGGGATCTAATGTACTGCTTGAGGCCCAGTCAATCAACAGATTGTTTTGGGTGAGCCAGTTGTATCCTAAGACTGCCTTGCATTTGGAGTCCAGCAGGGTTGCATCACTGGAGGGAAAAACAAAGACAAGCTCTGCTGCCTGGGTGATGACCAAGTTGGATGTGCCATCAAACAGCCAAAGCTGGACTGGCAGGATGGAGTAAAGGGGAACAGAGATTTTATTTGCAAATTTTGTATCTATGAAACAGTGCATAGAGCCAGAGTCAATGAGTACTGGAAATGCCAGCCTGTCATAGGATGCTAAAGAAATGGTAGGCATAAGGCTGTTTGGGTTGCAAAGAGTGGGCATGCTGAGCTTAACCTCCAAGAGCACACCACTGGAGTCAATGTGGTCCTTGGGGTGTGCAAGGTTCTGAGGACTGCCAACTATTTTTTTGCCTCAGTGGAGGCCTTCAGTGTGGCTTCCAGAGCTGCTGCAGCTGCTCTAGCCTTGGCCACCTTCTTGGGGCATTCCTTGGCTATGTGACCCTCTCCTCCCCAGAACATGCAGAGCTTTAGATTGAAATGTCACTTTTGCTCAGCAGCCATTAACCTTCTGTGCTTTCTGAGCTTGTTGCTAGTTGGCTCAAGCTTTGAAGACCCAGCATTGGTACTGCCAGCCTTCAGGGGAATGGAGGGCTGGGAGGTGTTGGATGCTGAGGTTTTCCCTTTGTCAGTGTTCAAGTCTTTATTGCTTATCTTGGATGAGTTCTGGTTACCAGAAGACTGGTTCTGGCATTGGACCTCATCATGTTGTTCCCAGTAGTGGGCATCTATGTCCTGTGCTAAATGGTGAAGGCCTTTGAGGGTATGGGGTTTGCCTACCCAGCTTATCTCATCTTTGATTCAGTCAGGAAGACTGGCATGGAAGAAATGGCAGAGAGCCCTGTCACTGTAACCCCAGATCTGGGTAGCTAGCCTATTGAACTTGACCATGTACTTGTTAATGTGGTGCATTTCTTTCATGGTTAGGTGATCAAGCTGGCTCTCAGCTTCTGCTACAGGGTCATGGGGACTGAAGGTTGATTGGAGTTCAATGACAAACTCACACCCGTTGTCCATCCACAGGGGTGGGTCCTTGGGTTCACTGGTGAGGAGTAGGTCTGGCTCAAACCATTCAAGTGCCATTCCTTTAAGGTAGGATTGAACAAAGATTACCTTTCAGTGGTCATCATGGAAGGCTCAGGGCTTGTTCTGGAAAGTCAACTCACACTGGACAAGGAACTTGCCAGAGCTTCTTTGGGTTGGTGCCATCAAAGGTGTCTGGCTCCTGGACCTTAGCTGATCCTGAGCTTCCTTCAGTGTCTTGGTGAGAAGACTGGACAAGAGACTGTATGGCCCTGGTGAGACTGCCCAAGGACCCTTATGGTTTGGAGGTTTTCTTCAGTTTCCTCATTTTCACCTTCCTTGGGGTCAGGTCCAAAAGGATTGTCATTGTTATTATTGTCACCATCACTGGAGTGGTGGTCAGAGTCATCTGGGTTGTTGTTGCCATCACCTCTGGGGTTGCCAAAGGGAGTGGGAGGTCAATGACCAGCTGGTGTTGGTGTACCTTGATCATTGGAAGCCAGTGTAGTACTGGAATGATGGGCTGAAAATCCTTGGAACTGCTGCACAATTGCAGAAGTCTGGTGGTGACTAGTGAAGGAACTGAGGACTGACTGGTGGCAAGGGTTGTCAGAGGTTTCTGGTTGAGTAGGTCTCAAGGCAGAGGTGGACTCTAAGGCATGATCTGCTTGAGCTTGGGTGCAGGTTTTGGTCATCAAGGGTGAGTGACTTGCACAAGTGGTAGTCTGAATATACTGTTAAGTCCATGTCAAGGTTGGGGGTCAAAGGACCAAAGGCTGAGAGCTGATGCAACAACCCTTGGTCTTAGCTCATGTGCTAGACCCTTGTGCAAGCCAGGTTAAAGTCAGAGGGAGTCAAGGGGGTTCAGGAGCAAAAGCTGAGAGTCAATTCAGGCTTAAGCTAGGAGCTTAGGGGTGAACTAAGTTGATATTCAGACTGGAGACTAAGTACAGAGTATGTAGGGTATATATACCCAAGACCAGCAACCTGAAGGCTGGGGCTACCAGTGGTGGACTGGATAGCAATGCAGAGAAACTAACTAAGGGTTAAGCGAGAAGGCAGAGACTGGAAAGCTGGTGACAGACACTGCCTCAGCACACATGGGGGCAGTACAGAGCTAACTAGAAAAGTATAGTAAAAGGGAAGGGTACATTTGGCATTTGGTGTTGTCTCAGCATTGATGGCATAAGCCCAAAGTATGAGCCTCTCAGTATATGACACAGGACAGGCCACAACAGGGGCTGAGGGTATACTACTAGCATCAAGAAAACAGAGACCATGGTAAAAGAAAAGAGTCTGAAGGAAAGGAAGTGACCTAAACACAGCAGCTTGCAGGTATAGCAGTGCACAAGAGGGAGCAAGGGGTGTGGGAAGGTAGTGAAGAAGGTGGGAAGGCAGTGTGTGAACTGCAGTGAATGTGGGCAGTCTGGAGACATAACAATAGTCAGAGAATGGCCAATGATAGGGGCTTATGCACCTAGGGAATGCAGATTCCTTACAGTGCTTTCACTGGTCTCCAGTCCAGTCTTGAACCTGGTCATCCTGGACTTGTCACTTACATACAATGTTTATCTTTGAGTTGTGCAAAGAAATTATCTACCTCCATCATCAGTCCTGCTTGAGTTGGGAAGCATGATGGCAGTGAATGGGTGAGTCTTGTTTGCCTTTTGGTTTGCTCCTAGGGTTGTTGAAGATTTGATTTTCTTTGATGTCAAAAGTGAAATGTATGTTCACTGTCAAAGTCAAAGATCATGTTCCAGAAGTTGTAGAATCAGATCTTGAGAGTTGTGGTATCAAATATTGACTGGGCATCCACACAGTTCAGGATTAGTTTGCAGTTATACACACCCTCATCTTACCCCAGCCTTTTCTAACCTTACAGGTCAATTTGTGGAGTGTAGCCTTCTGCTCCCACTTAATGTGTACATGTGTATTGATATTGGGGTGTTGAACCCCTTACAAGTCCCTGATTGTCTCTGTACTACTTAAAGGTAACCTAGCTGACTAGCATGCACTGAAGTTGTGTACACCACATCATCCACAGCCCTCTGCACAATATATCTCACCAATCTCTTCATTCAAGCCTTTCAACATTCCCTCAAAACCTTGCACAAGGTCAGAGAGGCTTTCCTTGGGTTTGTGTGATCATACATGCATCAATTGACTGCCTGAAATCTGAGCTCCAAAGGATGTTACAAATACATTTGTCTGATTGATAGATACTGTCCAAAGCCTTTGTATGTCAGCACAGGAACCCTTCTGGCTGGGGATTTCCCCTGGAACATGTCTTCATAAGCAGGAATGAAATTGAACACAAGTGTTCTCAACTCCAACCATTCAAATCAGTGAAGAAATGGCAGATATATCTATTTGTGTGTGACAAGCACCAATGTCACACTGGTGCTAGGCATGTTACAGTAGAGATTGAATATTGAACATGCCTTGCAAATTGGTGATAAGCAATAGTCCCATACCCAGACATGCTACTTTTAATGTTGGGACCATGTACAGACTTTATTGGCCTTCTGGCTTCATCAACAGTTTGTTTGCTGGAAACATCTCAGAACAAAAACTGCAAAAATAGTGAAAATATCCACTTACACATGCAGGTACTGGATGATGATTTTGATGATAGCTTCACATAAACCATGCATATCACCATTATGGTCATGCAAAGCTGCCTTGACAGCTTCTGAAATGGTAGTCTGCATATTGGAGCTGTTGTATTCCTCCACAGCCAATGATAAAACCTCCTGCCGAAAGATGGTGCCCATGCTGCATTAAAAAGTAAGAATGTTCAGCAACAAGCAAGCATCCTAGAACAGTAAGTATATCTTGTTTAGGGAATGGGAAACACTTACCAATGGCATGTGCAGCCATTGACTCGAGAGTTGGGAACTTCCCCAACAAAGTGACATCCTTGGGCAGAGCTAGCATTTGGATGTCAGGATTGACTTCAAATTTTGACTGTTATTTTTAATGTTTGCCTTGACCAAGTGAGGTAGGAAGCTAATGCTTACAAGCTAAGAAGTTAATAGCACATGTGACAAATATGGCCACAGAATAGGTGGATGAGAAATGTAGCTTGTTATAGGAGCTGTATGGCTACACACCTCCTACCAAAGAGGAGGTTACACCAATGGCACCACAGAATCATAATCAGTCTATGCACTCAAACAACCTTGCAGTCACTCACATTCTGCCATGTGAGGAGTTTAGGGAATGGATGAAATTTAGCAAACATGGGGGCCAACATGGCAGAACCACTTACAAGCTACAAGCCAAATGGAAGCCAAAGGATGGAAGTCAAGGGAATCAAGAAAGATTCAACATTGGACAAAAATCACATACATTCTGCAACCCATCAACATGAACAGTGGAAGGAATGCTACTGAGTATACATCCAGCTAAACATACCATCAAATCACTCACCCTCTGTCATACCACCAACATCAAGAATGCAAGTGAGGCTATTGAACAGATGTCCAGTGAAACATTCCATGAAGCCACCCACATACTGTCATGCCACCAACATCAAGAGCACAAATAAGGCCATTGAGTAGATGTCCAGCTAAATATGCTATCAAATCACTCACATTCTGTCATGCCACCAACATCAAGAATGCAAGTGAGGCCATTGAGCAGACATCTAGCTAAACATGCCATCAAATCACTCACAGCCTGTCATGCCACCAACATCAAGAGTGCAAGTGAGGCCATTGAGCAGACATCCAGCTAAACATGCCATCAAATCACTCACCCACTGTCATGCCACCAACATCAAGAGTGCAAGTGAGGCCATTGAGCAGACCTCCAGCCAAACATGCCATCAAATCACTCACCAGCTGTCATGCCACCAACATCAAGAGTGCAAGTGAGGCCATTGAGCAGACATCCAGCTAAACATGCCATCAAATCACTCACATCCTGCCATGTCACCAACACCAAGAGTGCAAGTGAGGCCATTGAGCAGACATCCAGCTAAAACATGCCATCAAATCACTCACCCACTGTCATGCCATCAACATCAAGAGTGCAAGTGAGGCCATTGAGCAGACATCCAGCTAGACATTCCATCAAATCACTCACCCACTGTCATGCCACCAACATCAAGAGTGCAAGTGAGGCCATTGAGCAGACATCCAGTTAAACATACCATCAAATCACTTACATTCTGTCATGCCACCAACATCAAGAGTGCAAGCAATGCCATTGAGCAGACATCTAGCTAAACATGCCATCAAATCACTCACAGCCTGTCATGCCACCAACATCAAGAGTACAAGTGATGCCATTGAGCAGACATCCAGCAAAACATGCCATCAAATCACTCACCCTCTGTCATGCCACCAACATCGAGAGTACAAGTGAGGCCATTGAGCAGACATCCAGCAAAACATGCCATCAAATCACTCACATCCTGTCATGCCACCAACATCAAGAGTGCAAGTGATGCCATTGAGCAGACATCCAGCAAAACATGCCATCAAATCACTCACAGCCTGTCATGCCACCAACATCAAGAATGCAAGTGATGCCATTGAACAGACATCCAGCTAAACATGCCATCAAGTCACTCACCAGCTGTCATGCCACCAACATCAAGAATGCAAATGAGGCCATTGAGCAGACATCCAGCTAAACATGCCATCAAGTCACTCACCTGCTGTCATGCCACCAACATCAAGAGTGCAAGTAAGGCCATTGAGCAGACACCCAGCTAGACATGCCATCAAATCACTCACCCACTGTCATGCCACCAACATCAAGAGTGCAAGTGAGGCCATTGAGCAGACATCCAGCTAAACATGCCATCAAATCACTCACATCCTGTCATGCCACCAACATCAAGAGTACAAGTGAGGCCATTGAGCAGACATCCAGCAAAACATGCCATCAAATCACTCACCCACTGTCATGCCACCAACATCAAGAGTGCAAGTAAGGCCATTGAGCAGACATCCAGCTAAACATGCCATCAAATCACTCACATCCTGTCATGCCACCAACATCAAGAGTACAAATGATGCCATTGAGCAGACATCCAGCAAAACATGCCATCAAATCACTCACCCTCTGTCATGCCACCAACATCGAGAGTACAAGTGAGGCCATTGAGCAGACATCCAGCTAAACATGCCATCAAATCACTCACACCCTGTCATGCCACCAACATCAAGAGTGCAAGTGAGGTCATTGACCAGACATCCAGCAAAACATGCCATCAAATCACTCACATTCTGTCATGCCACCAACACCAAGAGTGTAAGTGAGGCCATTGAGCAGACATCCAGCTAAACATGCCATCAAATCACTCACATTCTGTCATGCCACCAACATCAAGAGTGCAAGTGATGCCATTGAACAGACATCCAGTTAAACATGCCATCAAGTCACTCACCCTCTGTCATGCCACCAACATCAAGAGTGCAAGTGAGGCCATTGAGCAGACATCCAGCTAAAACATGCCATCAAATCACTCACCCACTGTCATGCCACCAACATCAAGAGTGCAAGTGATGCCATTGAGCAGACATCTAGCTAAACATGCCATCAAATCACTCACATCCTGTCATGCCACCAACATCAAGAGTGCAAGTGAGGCCATTGAGCAGACATCCAGCTAAACATGCCATCAAATCACTCACCCACTGTCATGCCACCAACACCAAGGGTACAAATGAGGCCATTGAGCAGACATCCAGTTAAACATACCATCAAATCACTTACATCCTGCCATGCCACCAACATCAAGAGTGCAACATTGAACAGACACCCAGCTAAACATGCCATCAAGTCACTCACTCGCTGTCATGCCACCAACATCAAGAGTGAAAGTGAGGCCATTGAGCAGACATCCAGCTAAACATGCCATGAACTCACTCACATCCTGTCATGCCACCAACATCAAGAGTGCAAGTAAGGCCATTGAGCAGATATCCAGCTAACCATGCCATGACATCACTCACAGCCTGTCATGCCACCAACATCAAGAGTGCAACATTGATCAGACACCCAGCTAAATATGCCATCAAGTCACTCACTTGCTGTCATGCCACCAACATCAAGAGTGAAAGTGAGGCCATTGAGCAGACATCCAACTACACATGCCATCAAATCACTCACATACTGTTATGCCACCAACATCAAGAGTGCAATTGAGGCCATTGAACAGACATCCAGCTAAACACACCATGAAATCACTCACCCACTGTCATGCCACCAACAGCAAAAGTTCAAGTGAGGCTATTGAGCAGACATCCAACTAAACATGCCATCAGATCACTTACCCGCTGCCACAAACATCAAGAGCACAAAGAAGGCCATTGAACAGACATTCAGGCAAACATGTCATGAAATCACTCACATGCTGTCATGCCACCCACACCAGGAGCATGAATGAGCCCAGTTACTAAAGGCAGCATGAACACACTGATAATTACTCACCACCTGTTAATATATGCAAGGGAGCACACAATGGGAACATCATTGATTCCATATGTCAGAAGAATTTGGTCACTCACCACACCATTTGGAAACCATCCCAGCAGATCATATTCAAGGTCTTTTGCAGCCACCTGCAATCTTTCCACAAAACCTAACTCCATTCTTTTTCTCAATGTCCTTCAGACAATCAGTACCTGTGCCAAAACACACTTGTTTACTTACTTCTGCACAGCATATTGAACACACAGTGCAATACTTGACTGTTGTGTTGATATAAGCAACCTTTGTAAACCTTCCTCATTCAACACATTTGCTGTCCACTGCATCAAAGCACTGCAGTCTGCACTCTCTTGATGCATCTCTGCCAAAATATCTAGTAGCACTATCTCTGAGTAATGACATACCCACTCTGAAGGGACACATATCCTTTAGGCGGAAAGTTGCACTTGCCAAGCTCATGTTTTATGTGGGCCAGCCACCTTTCCAACAGTTCACCTTGTTTTTCTACTGCCCTTTCCCTTGCCTCAGCTATGGCCACACCTTGATCCAGAAGCCCCTCAAATGCAGGAAGGTACAAGGCATCCACCTTTGTCAACAGCACTATCACAGGAACTAAGCAGATGGTTAGTTCCATGCAAACATATTTGTGGAAGAGTTGTTTTACCATGTCCTGTGTCACACTCATTGAAGAATTTCTGCTCAGCTGCAGTTACTGTCCTGTGATAGTCTGTCATGGGGATGCAAAACCTACGTTCCTCTGTTCTCTTAGCCTGTAGTTACTCGTAACATATCCCTTACCAGATGGCATGGATGCGTTCATTCACCTTCGTTGCGGCTCCATGGTCAACCACAAAGTTCCTCATCTGGTCAAACTGCTGGGTGGAACCTGCTTCGAACCCACAGGAGTCATGGAACACAAAACCCGGGTTACTCTGAAACACAAGTTCATGCTCAATATTATGGTAGCCACGCTGGGAGCACTCAGCATCAATATGAATTTCCACAAGTTAATATGGCATCTTACTGTCAAAGTGCCTTGCACGACGGCACCATCCATCTGAAACTGTTAGCTAGGTTCCATCAACCTCATAGAACCTTACCTTGTTTCCTTTCCCATCAAAAACCTCCGGCTTTTCTGTAGAGTTGCAGACTCTTTGGAGAATGGTGGTTTTACCAGCATTTGCTCTGCCCATGACCAGAATTCGAAAGCGCTTGATGTTCTTCATGTATTCTTGTGCCATTTCAGGATCGAGGCGGTAAGCAGGCCCAGAAGACGTAGTTTCTGTGACTTGTCATTAGAAAGATCGGATTTCACGAAGACCAACAATAATACCTTGCGGAGTAGCTTCAATGTGATTGGGAATCGGACTCGCCACATCACCAACAAGATCACTAGGTTCTGTGTCCCCACATCGAGTGTGTCATATTTCGTAGGCTAGAAAAATATCATACCTGCAGCCGCAGCTTTAGTTGCAGCAGGAGCTAAATCACTTGAGTCGCTTTGGCGGGCGCGATGAGAATCACTGCCAAGCGACTTGAACCACTTTTTGATACGACCAGGAGCCATGTGAACGTAGGATATGATTCTGTGTACTTTAGAATGCAGAGGTTAAGGTGTGGGTAGGATCAGTATGAAGCCCGTCGTCGTGGTATCGACTCGCAGCAAGAGGCCTAGGGCACCTATCTCCTTGCACTTACGCATGTGCTTATGTAATTATGTGAAGGCTGACGACGTTGACCTCCATGATCATAGCCTCAATTCCTTCGCAAGGCAAATATAAAAATCTCTGAGCATGCCTACTATGCTCCAATACCCAACGTTCAGCAGACTCTAAGAAGATTGGATGTTTAACCTGCAAAGAAATCTTGTAAGTGCATGTTTGTTGTATCTTCCTGTTCACAAAACCTCAAACATCCTATTTTTTATGTCCCCCTCCGTGAAACCGATGAAGGGGTCTGAGGACAGCATATCCGTTTACACCACCATCGAGTTTGATGGACTTACCTCTCCTTCATTGATCCTGAGTCGAGTGTGGTAGCGCGATGGCAGTGAACGGGTGAGTCTTGTTTGCCTTCTGGTTTACTCCCTAGCGTTGTTGACAATTTGATTCTCTTTGGTGTCGAAAAGCGAGATATACGCTGTCAATGTCAAAGGGCCGAGTTCCGGAAGATGTAGAAGCAGAGCTTCAGAGTCGTGGTATCAAATATCAACCGAGCAACCAGACAGATCAGGACCAGTTCACAGTCACACACACCCCTCGTTTTACCCCAAGCTCGTCTTTCCCTTTGCAATCAGACTGACTCCGTTTTGTCAGAGTCATATTGCTACGCTATACATAGCATCTCATTCGTTACTAATGCTGCTTCATGCAAAACCTTACAGGTCGAATTGTGGAGTGTGGCTTTCTGTTCCCATTCGACGCGTACATGTATATTAATATGAAGGTGTTGGACCCCCTACAAGTCTCCGGTTGTCTCTGTACTACTCAAGGGTAACCTGGCAGACCAGCATGCACTGATGACGCGCACACCACATCATCCACGGCCCTATGCGCGAGATATCTCGCCAGTCTCCTTATTCAAGCCTTTCGTCATTCCCTCGAAACCTTGTACGAGATCAGAGACTTTCCTTGGGCTTGCGCTATCGTGCGTGCATCGATTGACTCTCCAAAATCTGAGCTCCGGAAGATGTTACGGATACATTTGTCCGATTGGCAGATTTCGTCCGAAGCCTTTGTATGTCAGCGTAGGAACCCTGCCAGCTAGAAGGTTTCCCCCGTAACGCGTCTTCATGAGCAGGAATGATATTGATGACGTGGTCGTAATCCCAATGGTCCCCCTCTTCTGATTCGTCAGGAGTTTGAGGCCCTGTGCTTGCTCTCCATGCACTGGTGCCGCATTTCGCGGCACAACTCCGTCCAAATATTCTCTCGTCCGTCCAAGTCCGGAAAGTGCTAGTCAGATCCGAGGTTCGTGGAGACGGTAAGATCCTACCATTGGACGGATAAGGTTCCTCTGTGCATCTACCTGGCCGACACTGTTTTTCCGGTGCCAAACTCCTGAGTCATCGTTTCCAGTTGAAGTAGGATCACTGGCTGGAACTAAAATGCAGAGCTTTCTCCTACGTTTGACGAGTGGATATCAGTGAGGTAAAGGCAAAACTCACCTTCTCGAAATCATCGTAAAGCTTGGGTCCAAATTCATTGATAACCTCCACGACTTCGTTAAACGGAGAGTCGCATCTTCATTCCCTTTACTTTGTCAAGATCTCGTTGATGCTCAGGACCGAGGGCAAGGGTAAGTGGCCTAAGCGACCTATAAAGATGGAGATGAGTCCAAACTTGAAAGTCAGAGCGATATGCACTTACTTGAAAACGTCCATCCCAGCCTCACCAAACTTAAGAACTGCATAGTTCATAACAAGTAGCGCAAAGGCGACGAGGAAGGGCGCGCATAGCCGTACACTTAGAGGAGACTGAACATTCACGGCGATTGCTACTGCGAGGACTGCGTAAAGCGTGTACAAGAGGGGAGCCGTACCAAGACAGATCAGGACTTTCCAGGTCGCAGACAGATCTCGATCTGCGACTTTGATGACGGAAGCTGCGAGTGCCTCTGGTATCGCCAAGTCAGTTATTACATCTATCCACGTTCGTCCTTTTCGTACCTTTGGCCTTCCGTCTAGAAATCACGAAGACCAGAACAATCACAGGACCGTTCAATATCGTTCCAGACAAGGCGAGAACTGCCCAAACCGTTAGGGGGGCCAGACGATACAACAGATGACTCAAGGTTTTCCAAGTCGCTTTCCGCGCCTGCGGTACCTTGTCATGGTCTTCAGTTCTGCTGAACTACCCAGAGCGCGAGATGTTGTCCTACCTGATGGTCTCGCAATCCAAGATCCCGAAGAAGTCGATTGTATTTCAATACATCAGCTTTCAGCTTTTGTATGCGTGGTTCATCCTTGAAATGGGCGCAACCTTCCAAGAAACGGCGGTTAAGCTCGACCACCTGTCCCAACGTAGGGTACTGCTCCGGGGTATTGTAAAGGCGCCGGGCTGCTTGTATTAACTACGCTACGGAGGTAAGCGGAGAATTGACACTGACGACTAAGCACCGCACCATAAGAGTGTCATAATCAGATGCCCTTACTGTCACAGTCTTCAGACCGTCGTGGATGAGATCCAGAAGCTTCGCAACTGCTTCACGCTTGATTGATCCGCCTTGCTTGAACATCTCCACCAACTCTTCTGGCACATCCAGCACACTTCCAAATTCCACGACGGCTCGCGATCGGAATCGATGGGTGTGGAAATAGTACAGACCAACGGGCACGATATTGACTTTCACACCTGGATCATTCGCTATCGCCCCAAGTGCCATTAAGGACACACCCGCTTTCAGAGGAAGCAGGTCAGTTCTGTCGTGGCTGCCACCTGCAACGCATCGTCAAGTAGGAACGGAGCGCATATAACACGTTCAAAACCTTCAGGAAAAATTCCGATGCAACCGCCTTCCTTCAGTCGTTGGTAGACTCCACAATACATCTCTTGTTGGTCAATATAAGGCAGAATTTTGAACGGAAAACCCCTTTTCCCTTCTGCCCCAGTTTCCGTTATCTTCTCTCGTACACCAGCAGTTCCCTTGCTTGTTTCACTTCCGAGTTCTCTCTTAAGGCGCAATTCGGTATCTGAGATCACCTCGAGGACTTGCGCAACGACCGAGCTCACGGACTTGGGCAACATAATTTGCATCCTAGGAGAGGATTCTGACTTGAAACGGGTATTCTCTCCAAGCACTTGGCAGGAGTCATTGGGTGAAAGGTAAACCAACCCAGTTCCAGATTTAGCCTCGTCTATAGCTCGAGCCACGGGTACTATGCAACAGTCGGAATGCATATGGCCGTTGAAAGTCAGGAAACGCACTGCAATTGTCCGTTTGTCGGGCAAGGAAACCAATTACTTTACGTTTCAGGCTCTTAGAGGCAATCAAATACTGAATGCGACGGCGTGTTTCTCGGTACATCTCTAGACTCAGGGGGACGCCGTCAAGGAACTGGGCGTACAAGGTCAGTGAGCCACACATACTCGGTTGTGGTGAGGTGCAACGGCAAATACGACAAGTCCATCTCGAGGGATATTGAAGGCACCTCTTGGACAAACTTCCCTGAAGAATATTTGGGCAATTATTCTCCAAAACAGCAGCGCAGTTTCATAAGTAACGGTAGACATTTTGGAAAGTGGTATGGCCGCACGTGGAGACGGGCAGCGGAAACAACTTGGAACTTCATACTGCGGGGACTAATATATTTCGTTGGGGACGAGGGAGCCCGACTGATCTGATGGCAGCGAAGCGCCGTGAGGCCAGAGCGCAGGCTTATGCGTTGACAAGGACACTTCAAGTCGTCGTATCCAAGACAGGACAGAAAGGTTTCGAACTCCGTAGCTCTGCCAGAACCTCCATTCCTCTTCAGCATGACGTCGTTTCACTGTTGTTTACTGTGAATAAACGACAGAAACATCAGTAACAGAGCAAGTCTAAGAGTGCATCAACCGCTTTCTTGGCAGTATCAGGGACTCGAAGAGTTGCTACTGCGACGATTTCGAAGTACTGGCGACATTACATAAGGTTGATACCCAGAGTCAAGGCATCTCCAATGTCCACAGTCCCCCCAGATGGCAGACGGTATGTATGATCACAGTAGTAACTGTTGAACAAGTGTTAATTTCATGCCCACAGCCTACGAAGACGTTGCTATTGGACATCGTTATGTACCCCTGATGTCACCCTGGGACGTGGGATGCTGAGCGCTGAGCGCCAGTGACGACGAAAACCAGGTATTGTCGTCTCCCACGTCGCCACGCCCACCCGTCGACAGCTTGGACGAGAGAGACGTTCCGGAGCGGGTTTCCTTTTCGTGCTATCATCTGACAAGCACGACAGATGCTCGGACGAGGTTGCAACACATCAATGGTAATGCAACCATTCCATCTGGATCAACGAGTCCTTGCACGAGCACTGTCAGCAACGCTACTCTGATTGATAATAACCTGCCTTAGTCCGAATGAAAGCGGTGGATCTGAGTTCGGGAATCCGATTTCACCAGGAGACATTGGCTCCGGCTTACTGATAGGCACCTCGCTAGGTATGTGCGTGTTACTCAGACTACTTCTTTCGCCCAAGTGTGGTCTTTTTAGCACATCCCTCTCCGGTGCTCAGACATCTTCCATATCGGACAACTCTCACATTCTTCGTGCTGACTCACCACGAAGGTGTATATAGATGGACTCGTCTGACCCAATGAATCCTATGGACTCGTTTCCATTCCATGGACCACTCTACAGGAATTCTACTTCATCAATGGACTATCATCATCTTCTCCCAATATGACCGTGGATACTCAAAACTCAAAACCCCTCCCCTCACTTTACATCGCTCAAACTTGCTCCCCGGATCTTTCAGGTGACGCTATCGCAACCTCGCTTGCGTATGCATCCAGAGGAGGGGAAAAGTTAAAGGTCTGGTTTCCACCTTGGAAGAGGTCAGACGTTGGGGGAGTTTGAGTAGCACTGACAATTCGATCTGTAGCGTGGGGTCTGTATCCAGGATGTAGGGAGTGAGAGCGAGATCAGCGGGACAAATGACGTTAGCCGCCAGCAGGTTGAGAATGCGCAGGAGGGGGCAGAGGTTTTCCCTGAAAATGCCAACTGTTCACCGACTCCGTTGATCAGCGGAAGGGGCATTATAACCAGGACCAGTGACGAACTACCTAGTGGCGTCGCACTATGAATGCTATATTTCTTACATCGGAAACAACACGCACGAATCTTTCAGAAAGAAGTTGTGTTGCCATTGTTTTTGCAAACAGCTGTAAGTTTGTCTCGAACAGCTCATGTTGAAAGAAGACTCTCGCATGGAGACTTTCCAACGTCAAGTTGGAGAGAAAGGAACTAAGTGATTCAACCTAATCCGTACAGAAGCCTAAGAACATCCGTTGCACACAATTCACAATACTGCCTCTTCCGTAGTCGAGGATTGATATCAGTGGGAGGTAGGAGGCGGCACGAGGCTAGCCAGCGGGTGGAGAAGCGCCGAGAGGTTAATGAGGTGGCGGATGTTTGCGATACGGTACTTTCTCCTCCTCAGGTCAATGGTGACTATATCCTCAAGTCCCGGCTTCTCTTCGTCGCTTTTAGGTGCAGTGATGGCCGCGAGCGTCATACGAGAACCATAGCAATAATAGGCTACGAAGGCGGTCAAGTAAGTACGTAACTCGATGTACGTAGAATGCTCACCAAAGATGTAAGGAGCAGGGCGGTACGTCCATGTCAATTTGTTGATGAGTTCCTCCCGAGGGTCCTTCATATTGTCGGGACCTTTTTCCTCTCCCTGAAACAGGCATAGGCCGTTGACCGTGAAGTTGAAGGTGGGGAAGATCATTTGCGTCGGCTCTTCATAGCTGTTACGGATCGTTCGGCCACTCGGCTCCAGGAGTTCGAGGATATAGCGAATATTTTTGTCCAAAAAGGAAATGAAATCATACTGTGTGTGACTTTCACGGCAGGATCGTGAACCGCAACGAGGACAGCCAGGAGGTGGAAAGGAAATTCACCAAGCGTGAATAACGTGCTGAGATCATCCTGACTACACCGGTCCTCGATACTGATGGAAAGGAGACTTGCAAAAATGCGCAATGGGATGGGGATCTTCTCCCCTTCAGCTAGCGGCTTCTGGACCAAGTTTTTAAGCTCTTCAACCGGAGGAACACCCATGGTAGGTCGATTGATCATCCAAGTCTTGACGAAATCGACGTCGTTGACTACACGACACAAGGAAAAATACTGCAGTTCGGCGGGGTCACATGGGGCATTGACTTACGCTGGAGTCGCTCCTCAGACAAACTGAAAAAAAAACGAGAACTTGCAACAGGCGAAAGTCTGCATGGAGCTCCGATAATGGGACGCTGGGACTTGGGCGATAAACCTTGTCGAAGAAAAATTGCTTGTCTATCTTGCCAAGTGCGTCCTTAATATCCTGATGCGACTTGCAATCCCAACCAGGGATGGGATTCAACAGCTGAATAAAGTGAGACGTGGGAGGCACCAGAAATGCAGGTTTACGTACCTTATAGGCCATAATTTTGACCTGCCAAGGTGAATCCAAGCGTTGAGTGACAGCCGCAAAAGCGTGATCAAGGAGTACCCCAACATTGGCATTGGCGGTGTCTGTGAGGTGGTCTGTTAGCTGAATCCGTCGGATCTCCTATGTGTTATGTGTTGTCTGCTGAATTAACTGGTAGGGGAATTGGGGCATGGTGTTCAGCACTTGGCGGTAATCTAGTGCAAGAGCGGTGGGTGTGGCTCCCATTGAGGTGAAGGGGTTTGGCCCCTAAGTTTGCTCCTAATAAACACTGGTGAGAGCGTGCGTGATCTCATGTAATTACGGCCTGTTAGGGCAAGCCCATCAGCATATTGAACAAGCTGAGACCAAAGTCAATCATCGCACCGTCCTTGCATTTACCGTCGGCTACATGTCATCTCTAAAACCCATCTTCATACCTGTAGGATTCGTCGCCAAACTAACGTGCGACTACATGTGGGTTGTGAATCTCAAGTATGCACCTCGAGACGTGCAGCTCAGGCAATTGCCCACCCACATCATGACAAAGACGGCTGTGGATGTCATAACGCTGACTACCTACACAATCTCCAATATCCTAACGTCGCTTTGCAGGATACTGGTCGAGTCTAAAGGCTGGGCAATGATGGGGGTAGAAGATGCAATCCTTTTGTACTCGTTGTGGGGTAGTTCAATCAATAAAAGAGCGGTAAATGGCCTTCCCAATGTGAGCAGTAGCTGCTCTTCAGGCGTACCGTGTATCAACTCGGTGGGTGGATCGAGCAGCTTCGAGTGCCAAGGGCGAACGAGTAACAGAGTGCTTTGCGAAACCACCTCGTCTTCTAGCTCACTTGGCAGTGTAGTCTCAAGTGGCCTGAGACCAGATGCCCGGATTTTGTAACCGTAACTCCGTCCAGACCCTCTCCGCCGAATCGCCGTAACAGCGTAAGCGATACATGACAGTGTAAGGCGGCGACTGAGAAATCGCGGAAGGGATGAATTAGCGAGTGAGCAGTACAACATCTGTAGTGCTGTGGACGACAACGACACGGACTCCTCGCGCGTCCTCGATGGAAGTCTTGTCGTTGTATCTTCTTCTGCATCAGGTTGGAGCGGAGACAACGGCGGCTTTTGGTACGAAGTGATGTGGGCAGGAAAACAACTATTAAACGGCGACGCCTTTCCTGTCCAATCCAGGATCGAGATGTCACCAGACTGCCCTATGACTTCGACCAGGAGACGGCCAAGCGCATTCTCAGCAGATTCGCCATAAAGAATGGGCAGGTGGATATTAAAGACCCCAAAAAGTGAATAGGCGATATCCTCAGGCCGGGTGGTACGACGCAACGATGCCCACTGCAGCCTCGAACGTGCATCATTCATACCTGGAGAAAAGTTAGTGAGGAACCGGGACTCTATTCCAGTTGCCCCCTCCAGCTCTTCTAGCACAGCAGCATCGGCTTTATGGTTTGAAGTCGCGAGGTTCTTGTAAAGCGACCAGTTTCGGGTATAGAAAAGTATACGTCGGGGAGCCAGTAGTTCTTGCAGAGTCCATCCACGCCTGAACCATTCGCTGCTCCCAAACGAACCAGTATCGGGAACGTCAGAAAGGTAGACAACGGCCAGGGCAGAGCGTCGATACCACGCAAACATTGATCCTATCGCTTCTTGCAACTCGGCGCTGCTGCCTTTGTCTATGCAGCACGTGTCACTCCATGCCCAAAAGTAACCCTGTTCGCAAGCAACAGCACAGAAGGCCTGGAGCTTTCCCAAGCCGTCCTTGGCTGACATGCCATATATATTCTTGTCCTCGATGCCGCGCAATAATGGCTCGCCTTCCCCCCAGCGGTGAGAAAGCGTGACGAACCGAAAGTATTTCGAGACTTCAGCACGGATTAGTTTCATTTGTTGACTCGGATCGCATGTTGCGCACGAAGACAGTAGTTGACCGTACTCTTGACTGCGCATAAAGTGCGATATCTGTGCGTCCCGGTTGCATAGGAAGCCAGTAACTGTGTGCAGCAGCCTAGGCGGTATGGCTTTGAGTTTTTCAAATGCAACATCACGGATGACTTGCTTAATGTCGAAGTTGGCAGCGGGTGATGAATTGGAGGGCAGTGTAGTGACCTGTGACCTGGTCTTTATTTGGAGGTAGGCTATGAGGCAGCGCCGGTATTCTTCGTAGCAAGGATCTCCGGATGTGAGTAGCTGCAGAGCTTCTTGCTCACATGCAATAGCCTCGTCCAGATCAGTTTCGCCACGATCAGGGTGCCCAGATGAACGGAGCACTGCTGTTGCATGGTCAGGCTTCGCGGATTCTATCTTATATCTATCTGAAAAACAGCGAGCGAGGTTATGGAGCGACGAAGGCCGTTGATTATGTCCATGGGGATACACTTCCAAAGCTGCACGGTACAGCTCAATCTCTTCATCCAGGTCACGCGAATTAGCCTGCTTCTGGAACCTCTTTCTGAGGAAGTGAGCGAGACTGTAGCAAGATATACCACGACCGGGATGTCCAGGCGAACAGAGCTCTAGTGCTTCACGTCCAAGGGTGATGGCTTCTTCTAAGTCGTCGACTACCCCCAGCTTGTCATATCTCTTCGAAAGACAGTACGCAACATTGCTGAGTGACCAGGCCCGTTCATCATTCCCAACTGGTCTGAGTTCCAAAGCAGCTCTGTGCAAAGTGATTGCCTCGTTCAAGTCGTCGCTTCTCCCGATCCTTTTTTGTATCTCTCGGAGAGGGCCCATGCCAGTGCGAAGAGGGCAATATCCCGACCACAATGCCCTGGAGGATGATGTCTCAACTCGGCTCGTTTGCGGGAAACATTATCTCTAGATTCCATCGAATGCCGGTACACTGAGAGGATATACGCAGAACGCTACCCAAATCAGCAAGGCAAACTAAAACGGCATGAACGAACCCACAGCTGAAGGTAGAGTATAAAGAAGGCAATCTTGGGTGTCGGTGAGAACACAGCGTAGACAATACTACATGGGAGGTCAATGCATGTAACCTAAAAACGGACCGATAGCAACTTCACCAATGGACGCGAAAAGCGCTGATTGGCTGCAGAAGCGAGAGGTGGTTCGACTGTGCTCCTGGTTAAGCAAGTTGTGCGGATTGGAGATGAGGATGGGCTCACCAGGAGCCCAACGGTTGGAGGACGCTTCGGAGGAGGAGGGGCGGGGCGCTAGGAACGGGTACACGAGGCACGCCTTGACCCTGAGCACGCCACAGATAATGTCCGGAGCCCACAGGTGCTACCATGACAACCAATATAGCTTCGTGTCATCATGATCTGTCGCTGATTTCGTCGTGGCAGAACTCTTGTTGGCGAAATTCAAAGCTGCGGAACAGTCGTTCCCCCTTCGCACGAAGCACCCTTGTTCAGCATCCCAATTGTACTGCTCATACAATCCACTTGCCAACTCCGTCGAATTGATCGAGTCCGCAGGTCTTCACAACCCTGCTTCGTGCGTATGAAATGAGGGGGAAACGGGTCTCCCAGGTTACGCTCAGACTTGCTCTGTATGATGTCGCAGTTCTATCCCTGAAGATGCTTCTATGACAGTTCCAAACTCCCGCCATGTGCATATCTCTTGAGCGCGGACGTGAATTCTAAACACATTCCTAACGTTGCCCACCGGGCGCATCTCAAGGACTTGGAAGCATGCATATGTGTGCATATGCAGAAACGGGCATGTCAGAGTGAACACCAAGGGCTGCACACAGCTAGGTATGATCGGAAGATCGTTAGACGTGTCGCAATTGCTTAGATCGGTATACATACCTGTTGCATTACTTGCTGAGCTCACCCAGTGCCATTCCAAATGTAAAAACCCGGCTCTCTCCTCCTGCCCTATGATGGTGCGCCGTTTTTCAGATGCCACTCTGTGAGGTACTCGATTCACCAGACATGTTCTCCCGCAAATGGGAAGGAAAAGTGAGTGGTATAGAAATACGTGATGCATAGAGACACTGACGGCATCCTCGCCAGTTGAACTTGCTATGTACGAACTTCGGGAATAAACAAACGATTGGATAGAAACGACGCGGATGCCCTTCTCTACGTTTCGAGTGCTGCAAAGAGAGATTGTAGGGTTCGAGCATTGTCAGGAAAGGGGTAGATTGATTCTGTCGGGGGAGCAGTGACAAAGCACAAGTCAACGAAGGATTCGTCAGAAGTCGAGTCTTTTCGGTGTTTCTGTTTGCTAGTGCCATCTGCAAACAGCAGGGCCGATACGATCTGTGCACAGGACTCGATTTCCCCGCCTCACGAGATAGACGCTACATGATGCATAGCATTCGTGCTGGAGGTTATGATCGGGGTATATACTTCTGCGACCAGGGGAGATCCCTCAGATGATTTGTCCCAAAAGTGTACGCAGTGCCAAGGCTCCAGATGTGAGAGGCCATGCGAGCGGTGTTACGATGGTGGGAAGATGGAGGTCTACTTGTTGACGCGCTTTGATAGCTAGCGAGTTCGATGGTGATTAAGACAACCCCATTCGTTAGATATCTGAACTGTCAGGACTCGTGATAACGGACAAGAGTTCCACCCACACATTTCCCAGTAGACCGTCCACCACATCCTTCATCTCGTCTTCAATGCTTCGGACACGGTGCACGATTGTCCAACCTCATATGTTCTTACCAGGGCTTCGATTGGTTTCCGAAAGCATGTTGTGCCCGCAGCGAGTCTGAGATCTGAGACGTCTATAAGCAACGCAGCTGTAGTGGCGGTGCGAACTTGTTATTCACTTGCGACAGCATGACACTAGGAGCGTTCTTAAGAGCTACGACTAAATAACGAATGGTCTCATACATAATCGCCCGCTCTTCTGGTCTTGCTGTTCATGCGAATCATGGTATGATGGTGGTGTAGTCCAATACAAGACATACGAGGCTCCGTCGGGTTGTCGCTTGCTGTGCAGGGAGGAAAGGGAGAGTGTGCACGTGATTAACTGCGCTCCCTTGGCTATTAGCACCACGATGGTCCTCATCGACGAGAAGACCGTCCCACCCCCGCCCTACGACGCGTCGCCCTCGTCTGGCCCGCCTCCGTTCCCGATGGGCCGGGCGAGCAGACAGAGCCTCGGCCGTCTGCCTCCGAATGTACTCCTCCAGATCATCTACATGACATTCCCACACACACCCAACTCCGAGAGACAGCGCAAGACACTGTACTGGCTGGCGTATCACCTCAGACTCGTCAACCATGCTTTCTACATCGGTATGACCACATTCTGCCTAGTTGTCCATTCACTGATTGCGAGTCAACGTACAGCATGTATGCACATCCTTAGATCCACATACCTCCCAGCCTATTCCTCTCTCGTTCGTCCTCCTTACTCCTCAGACCCATTCCCAATGTCATCTGCTACCACTTCCTCTGCCCCACTCGATACCGTCCAGCGCGAGACACGCGTGTTGGATATCTTCATCGCAATCAAGACCAAGGAAGACCTCTTCACGGATGCATCCGAGCTCCACCTCGGCAGAGACGAACTCTTCAAGGATTTATTCGACCTCATGCAGCCTCGCAGCCGTCTCGAGGACCTCGTCCGCCACTATGGCATGCGCGAAGGCGTCGTACACGTCACCTCCACGAGTGCAATCGGCTCTTCTTCAAACACGTCTCTCAACAGCATGAGTAACGGATCTCGCAGGTCACAGCAGAATCGGACATCCATCCCGTTTTCTGCTCTCTCCGTCGCCTTTTCTCCAAGAAAGGTGGGGCTGACGTTGACGTCATCCGGGAGGAAACGGACCATCCTAGAAGTTCCGCGAGTTCCAAACGAGAAACTGGAAGCTGTCGCGAAGAAACTGGTGAAGCAGCTCAAGGCTTGGCTCAGCAGCTCCTGGTAGTTACTGCGGTGCGTGTGCTAACTCACTCTCGATCGTAGGTTACCATAACCGACCTCTCTACAGCACCGTTGCCTCGACTTTATATACGTACACTTCTATATAGGTATTCGGACGCTCGTTTGACATCGTATCGGCCTTGTAACTTTTCTGGTATGTACCCGTACTTTCTGTAATGTCTTCCATCAGTTTGTATCTTGCCGTGGGCTACTTTGTATGGAATGGATTCCTCTCACCGATTACCGTTCGCAATGTTCCTGGCGACGAATTGCGGATTCGTTGCAATGCATTAGCATACAGGTAGGTACCATTGTCAGGGGTCAGATCCGAGTGCAAAGCGCTTGCCTCCTGACATCAGGTGTACCCGTTAAACGGAATGGAATGCACTCCTCAATGGAAAAGATCGCAAAAACTAATCAGAAATGAACGATCTTATCTTTCGCATTTACCGCTGGTCATTGCCTCGGATCACGCGGCCCTCCATCCTCTTCCATTCCGCACGTGCGCCACTTACATAGAAATCACCTGTTTACATTACATAATTCACCCGAGCGGCCACCAGGTCGATAAGTCCCATTTAACACCAACCTCTATCCGCGACATCTCCTAGCTAGATAGGGCTACAGTTGTAGTAAGTATTCAAATGAAGAAAACGAGATGAGAAAGAAGTAAGGGGAAAAAACCCCAAAATATACATAGCGATAGTGATACGTCGTCGCTGTCGGGTCCTGGAAGAATTGGGTATCCACTACGGAGAGGAGGGAGACGGAGTAGGCAAGGAGTGATGAGTGGGTGTGATCTATCAATACAGTTCAAACATGAGCTAGTCAACGGTATGAAACCAAAAGAAATTTTTTGCGGGGATGAGGTTATTCATGAGCAGTTAGAGGGGGAATAAATGAAAAGCAGGAGTTAGATATCCAATGAGGTTCGCAGCGACGAGGGAGCGTCGGGAATATGTCTAGGCGGCGCATCCAAGTCGAGAATTGACTCAGGAAACGATGGCAGCGTGATATCATTGAAATCCGCAGGAACGTCTGCTGTACCAAGAGCAGCAGCAGCAGCAGTGGGGGGAAGCGACTCCTTTGAGATCGATCCCCCCGACGTCGTCGCAGAATAAGGTGGCTTCTTGTCATCAGAGCTCCTCATCGTGTTCCCATAATCGCCGATAGAGAGGTTGGTAGAGAAGGAAGCCAAAGAATCCCGTTTGGTATCGGTGCGCTGAGTAATGAAAACAGGGCATCCCCGAACGACCATTGTACGACATGTCTTGCTTCGATCTGACGCGGAAAAAAAAAGGAGCAAAAAAAAAAAGTAAGACGCTAACGTCACGTTTGAAAACTGATTGCAGTCGATATGAAAACGTACCCAGTTCCCCAAGTCCCGCTGGACAGCATCCCAGTCGAGATCCCGACCTTCTTCGCGATCGAGGTATACGCAAGTCGATAGTTCCTCCTCGCCTCATCCGCAAACCCGAAGAAGCCGAAAAAGACGAACGCACAAGCAACGTACAGCCATCGACTCATTTGAAGAGATACGGCCATCGATGACTCTGCTTGCCAGACAACAGACGGATATTGAGCTACACGAGAGAAGTCGTAGTGCGTGTTCGCCCAGCTGATCCATGGCTGGATGGGTTCGACTGTCACGTTGAGGTAGATGACGTAGGCACCGATGGGGATCGTGCCAAGAACTTCGATCCCTGCAAGACCCATGAGACGGAAGTATCGACTAGAGCTCATGTTCCGGTTTGCAGATAAAAGTTCCTTGAATTGGGCTCTGCGAAGAGCCAGCTCTCGAATGGTACATACTATAAAAGATGCCCGTGAGTTGCCTGCGACGGAACGCCATACTACAATGTCTACAAGAAAGAAAGAAAAACGTACTGCAGTAGACAGCGGATACGAGGCCGATAGCGACGGGCCAGCAAAAGACGAGCGCATATGCAGGAGGCGTATTATACGTAGTCGGATAGCATCCGATTTCCTCGAATATGTTGAACCGGTGTCCCTTGAACGATGTAATCTACACGCCAGTCATCAGCCTTGCCTGCGATGTCTCTTGTCACAGACAAACAACTCACGAAGAATCATTTCCAAAATGGGGATACCGAGACCAATAGAAAGGTCCACCAAAACATCGCGCCGTTTCTCTGCGCGAGTCCTGGTCACCGAGTCGACCGACACGATATAGTAAAGGCGTCGATTAATGCAGAGGGAAGCCGCGGGAAGGGCTACTGCACATCCGATCATAAACTTGGAGGCTAATTTAATTTTCCGGTGAGCCCCAGCCAGACACGAGAGGAAGTGAGAGGACTGACTAATATCGCACCAGACGGGAGCCTTGTCGATAACATTCGAATTCCAAACTACCGAATTGATGAACTGGATTAGGCACCCTAAGGCTGCCCATATCATGTACAGACATGTTCCAGTGTTCCACGCTGCAAGCAAGTACACGTGTGAGTCGCGGCAAGGAAAAAAAAAAAAAAACGGAAAGAAAACGGTGAGAACACGCACCCTCAAGATGCCATGGAAGTGGAATAGTACAAAGTACGAATCCGATGAAAGCGCACGCAGAGAAAAACCAATTAGGAGCGCCCATTCTTCTTTACAACGCAGTTGCACAGAGAAAAATAGGGGGGAGGGGGACTAGTTGGAGGATTCGCGCAGAAAGGCTATACCGCCAAGTGTCGAAGCACTAGTGATCCGACTCGGGGGAGGGACAAGAGAGGACAATTTAGAGCGTCCACGCGCGGGGGTGTCGAGAGCTAAGTACGAGGCACTCGCAGACACGACTGACCATCTAGCTATTAAAGCGTCTAGCTCCACCTTGTGAGCGAATTTGGGCATCCCCTTGTATTATCACGAAGGTGATGGGACGAAGGGATGAATTTACCATTAGTACGCTGTCCCGCCGCGTCAACTTCGCCCATGATAGTATGACATTTACCTTTTCGATGCACAAGCTGACTTCCATATCGGGTAGTTCGCTTGTACACGGAAAAGGCCCTAAAAGCCGCCACTGATTACAGGCGTCAATAAACCTTCCAAGCTTTGGGCTTCCGATATCGTTCGGTTCCTGCGAAGTCGTGTGATTCGAGAGATGCGGCACTATCGATATCCCCGAGGGAAATAGACACTAGTATTGACTGGGAGTGTTGAGCGGAAGGAAGTGAGAGCGCTTACCCGTTAGTAATATACTTTTTTCCCACACGAATGTTATCCAATCAGAATCGCCACCTGCACATGCACAAGAATGGCTCACCGGAACAGTCCGCGGATGCAGATAAGTGGAGGGGGAGGGGACGGACTTCGGAAAGACAAGGATGCCTAAGCAACACAGGCTTAGCTAAGTTCCGGGACAGCCGACTGTTGGATATCACAGGCTGGTGGAAATTAGGATAACCAAGGAATCATGAGGTTCAGCACTGGTCCTTGTTCCAATAGGGGATGGAACTCCGTACCAGCAGATACCGACGAGTGAGAGCTTTGCAAATACACAACCTGTCAATGTCTAGCGTTTCCACTCGAATACAATGTTGCCACCGGCCAGGTCATTGGACAGTGGCATATAGTCATCGTCGTTGCCCGTCGTCCGCAGCGATGGAAACCTTGAGTGCAATGACGCAGAAGCCAATGGCAGGTTCGAAGGGTGAGAGTTGGAAACAGAACGTCTCATGGTTTGTTGGCGCCACTTTATGAAGCTGAGAGGACTCGAGTTGAAGACAATAGGCGTCGCCGTGAACATGCAGACAATAAGACTGATTGCCAATTTTGGTAGTGGGTGCATGACAATTGACATCCGTCAGCGACCGTCAGGCAAATTCGCATCTAGTAGGTACGGGGCAAAACGGATGGCAATTTTGAAAGAGTAGTATGTACTGCTACACTGACGACGACGACGCTAAGGCTACATAGGCAAACGAGCGCAAAACAGAAATGAACGTACGTATGCAAAGTGAAGGAAAACCCATCCAGGAAGGCAAACTTAATCTAACACCAGCGATCGCTCTGAAGTATCAGTCATGTCATCTGAAACCGCTTCCGGCTTATCAGCAGTTCTCGTTCCGGGAATCTGTAAGCTGTTCTGCCGGTATGCACATTTCCTCGATCTAGTCGAAGATGGGCACATGCTGCGGGACCTTCGGAATGTTCCTTACCTCGTTTCCCTTTGACATGCATGTCATGCTCAATGCCTTACGAGACCTCGGAGCGGCGGATGTCGTTACAGGCGGCTTAGGCCAGTCTTCCAGATGGGGGAAGACGACCTGATGGGGATCGAAACCGGAGTCCAGTGAATTATGGGACGAAGGGATCGTTGAGAAAATGGAAGGTGATTTGAGAGGAAGTAATGTCGGATCAAGCAGTTCAGCACTGTCGACGACGACGACGACAGTCACTACCTAATTGGCCGATATCGAATGATGGAGGCCGCGATGGACTTTGCAGCGTCAATTCGGATAATGACGATTTCTCGACTTCAACGACGGAGTGACCGAGTTGAGTCTCGGTACTCGGCTTGGCGATAGCCATAGTGAAGTCGAGGATTGTCACTGGCAATACGGGTGCAGATGTGCTGTTGATACTTAAGGATCCAGACGTCGCTAACCATGGAACTCGACACACACCAAACACTGGAACCCATCAAGAATCTGTGACCCATCTTTCCTTGGCCGCGCATCCGTAATACCCATCTCCTGATCGTCTCAGGGATGGCTCGCATTCGGTCAACACAGTCTTTGATGAAATCTTTCCGAAACGCAAACAGTCCAAAGAACAGCGCGGACTGGACCATGACACCGATCCATTCCACTAATAACACAGTCCCAACTGTTTCCGTAATCGCCCCAGAATGCCAGATTAGCACCTCGTCGAAGTCTCTGGATATCTTCGATATGGGGAGTAGCCCGGGTGAGAGGGTGTACCACATCCCCAGCGTGTCCGCCGAGGTTGAAAGTAAGACCTGCGTAACGGCCATGCCGACAAGACGAATATACATGTTGCGAGTGAGAGAGGACGCTGACGATCCCCCACTACCCCGAGAGAACTGGACGCCGTGCACCAGGAAATGCCACCAAGCGGCCGCTACAAATCTGGCATGTGGACGAGCGGAGCGGACAATCAATGCAAACTTACCTGCGTATCCAACAAGCTCCGATCGCAAGAAATATCGGAGGTACCCAGACTACAAAGATAGATGGAAGAGATGGATAGGTTCGCCGGTCGACAGCCAAACCCCTCGTACAGATCAAAACGACGAGGTTGAACCAGCAGATCTAGATGTCGATACGTGAGTCCATCTTTGTTCGTCGTCACATATAAAAGTAAGAGAAACCTGATCTACGCACGAATGGCAGTATAGACGAACGGAAGAGCGAAACATATGATACATTCTAACAAAATACGTTGTCGTTTTGATACAAACGCTGATGTTTGACTGAAGGACGCCAAACGCTCTAAATGGATACAGATACAAAGGTATGCTGCAGGCAGCGCAAAATGCGAAGCTGTGATAAAGCTCGACGCTTACATTTAAACACGTCAGTATGTGCATTTACACCGAGGCTGCAGCCCAAGCAGAGACGTACATATGTCGCACCACAGGGGGACCTTGATGTTGGCGTCGGTGGCCCAGATCAGGGCAGTCCACGGCGTATATAACATTGACGACCGACAGCCATCCTCCAACGGCCATCGCGGCAATATTAGAAGCGCGAAAGTAGCAAGTCAAAGGTGTGAGAACGAGCGCAGAAAGGAAAAAAGAGAACGCCGACAATAAAACCTGTAGCACAGGCATGATAGGAGCGTCGGGAGAACGGAGAACGAACGGAGGTATCCAAAATGTCGGGAAGGACTCGAACAACCGCAGTCCATTTTTAAACGGAATAAACCCTGAGAGCAATGCGAAGTCGTGGAGCCAAAAATACAAGGAACATACCAACACAACTGCCTTCGAAACACTGATACGCTCACAGCCACGAAAATCACAAGGGTCGGATGTCAGTAGTCAATCATTCACGATGCAACAGTCCCTAAAAGGAGCAAGAATGAAGGTAGTCACCGGAAATGGTAGTGTGAAAGTTTCAAGCTCATGCCCAAGCAACCAGCTAAATTCCCAAGCACTGAGAATGCAATTTATGGAAGCTAGTAAGCCCAAAATAAGTAAGTTATACCTGCAGGCGGTGTAGCGATCAGAAGATAACCCGGTGAGAAAAGTGCAAAGATGACATACTGGTATGCAAAACAACCTAACAATACGCGAAAATAAAATATCTCCAGAACAAATGATGCGGTATCATGAGCAGAAAACGAAATACAGCCCGAGAAACTGAGAAATCATGTTGGTGATACATCGAGGAAGTCATAAGGTGTGACATATAAAGGCCAACAACAAATTCTCAAGACGAACAAGTACTACAAGAGCGGAAAAGGTTGCTCGCGAAGGACAATCACAGAAACGGAGGAGAGCCACGGAAGCTGTAGACTTCCCCGGAAAGAAGATAGGCAATCAGGTAACGCAAAGGGAGAGTAATGAGGTCGCCGATACCAAAGAATAACTTCAAGCCCAAAATGTGGAACGGAGACGGGGCGACATGTATGGTAGGCTGAAAGGCGGCACGTTCGGGTATGGTCTCAAGTGAGATAGGCGGAGAACGACATAAACCAGATTTCTGACAGGATCGCAACCGTGACGGACTCGTGGGTCGCGTGTTTCCAGCCGCCCAGTACGGTTTGAGTATCTTCAGCTGTTCCTCCAGTGAAGAAAGCAAAGTAGGTGACACAGGATCTGCGCGGATCTCCTTCCTTTCCAAGAGTGACTCGACGTCCTTCTCCAGCCTACACAGCCTTGTTTCATGAGCGTTCTTTGCGGCTTCCAACTTTTTCTCTTGTCTCCGTACACCTCTTTCCATACCTTCGTAAGTTTCCTCCACGTTCGCGTAAATCTCATTCGAGACGGCTTCTACCCGCGCCTGCGACTCCCGGAGTTGTGTTTCTAGCAATGCGACCTTTTCAGTTAGAAGCTTTAAATGTTCCTGCGCTTTCTCCATCTCCGAGGGAGGATAGTGGACCTAAATCATGCAGATCGGTAATTCTTCGCCGGAGGCGTGAAACAAGATGATTCCAGGGTCGTAATCCAGTAGCAAGGACGAAGAGTGTGATGCTGAACCAGGATATGGAAGCCTGAAAGAGAGTCGCAGATGAAAGCGCAGTAGCAGCGCACCGAGACATGGTGACAAGATGGTTAACGCTAGGTAAAATAGCTCGAAAGCACGCAGCTCAGAAGAAGCGATGCGAGTGTACCGGTCTTCGGCGGATGCATCCTTCGCTCGAAGGGTATGATCGGCGCCGTGGCCTTGATAACTGATACAGATTCCACGGCACTATATTACTCGTTGGTACGAGGTCGTTTTTAAGAAGTGACAACGTCACTTACCCTCGATTATTTGGTGCAAGTAAAAGACAAGCAGAAGGAGAAGCATCACGTTTTTCACGTGGTCACCGCCAGTCAACCAGTTTCCTACAGGCGAGACTAGGGCAACCGTAATGGCGAGGTCGAATTCGTACCATGCTTTCATCCTATGTTCCACGTTTTTCTCCCTCACATCCGGCGAAGGTCGCTGAGAGAAAAAGGTACGGCGTGCGGATATAGTTTCTGCCCTCTTCCGATACCGCTTGTCCCTATGTCGGTATCGCTCTCTGGATCATCCTCGCTCTGAGTGTCGGGGCTAGACTCTTCCTGGGACTGGGAAGAAATCTTGTAATCAGGGCGTGTAACCTTCTGAAGAGTTGCGTCGCTGACTGTGTCCCATGACGTTCGTATACCCTTCTTTGATGCCCTTGAATTCCCGGGACAAGGGAGATCTTTGCCGTAGAAAAATGCCCTTCATCGTCTCCACGGAAACATGATCAAAGTAATTCGGAGTCGGAACTCTACTTCAATGTCATAGTCGGAGCCAGAAATCCCTGCGAGTGATACCGTGATGCTAGTTGTACGTAGGACCAGCGAAGGATATCCAGCCTCAGCCGACAATAAAATCCCAGCACAAAGAAACTACATAAGTAAGAAACGGTAGTGACCGCATTATCGATACAGGAAGGTAGCGGGTAAGTATGCCTGTGCACCAGAGATAGAAATTCCATAACTCGTTACTCTTCGAGCTGCACTCAGAACGAACAAAGCCATCGATAAAGACGATGAAAATAAAAATTTAATAAATAAACAACTGAGCAAGATTTCAACAGATAGATGCTGGATAGATGGTTTTCAGTGTAGGGAACATGTCATTCCATCCAGAAAGCCACACACCTCAGCAGTACTGTGGTGTAAACCCGATTGGAAGACTATGCGATGACGCATAAGCCAGTAATACCATAGCTGTACTCCTGATCAATTGGTATGGATGAAGTTTCCGTGGATCGCGATGGTTGCTCATCGAGGAGCAAAAACGATTCGAAGCTGGTAAACGAGTCCATTGGAGTGACTGAACGAGAGGATAGCGCACGCAGGAGAGTGATTTACGTAGTCAGCGCCAAAGGGATAGCAGACAGTGGAAAGCTGCGATGAGTTATAACATGCGTTGGGCTGGTCAGGCTTTGCTTTATAACCCCGGACGGACTTCAGGGGCCCCATTGTTCGCCAGTTTGATACTGCATTGTCTCAGGTTAGTATGTACGATTCAATGATGACGCTCTGGCATAAACAATAGTAAATACCTCGCACCGTTACGTAACGTCCATGAGCAAGCCGCCATTATGTCCCGAAACGCTGTGCACAAGCTTTGTTGAATCTAGTGTGCGTAATGTGTCCTCGAGCCGACCATCTAACCATATGATCATCAACGTAGGCCTTTTCACTCATAGACCGTCCTTATCGTGTAGGTCGGAGCCACGGCCGCCGTGCACGAGGACAGTGCAAGCTCATGGACACCAGAGTAAGCTTCGGCTTGTCTGATGTGGTTCGCCGTGAGACGAGACGGCGTCGCTTCTGTGAGTATGTTTTTTTTGTCGTTGATCGCTTTAAGCAGCATGACTTGTCGTGTAATCACACTAAGTAATGTTCGGGCTCAAAAGTCCAGTGAACTATCCACTCCATGAAGACTGCATGCGCGACCTTATGTGCCCAAATGCATACCCCATTGTACCCAAAGACCGTCGGTCTGTCCGACGTCTTCACCTAAGGGATTTTCGTTCATCCTTTTCCTACGAAAAGGAGTTTGATGCCGTCGAATTTGGCAAGGAAGCCGATGGGCACTATTGCTTGACCATGTGTCTTGACAGACACAGAGTGAAAACGAGAAATCCCCCAACGATCAGACCCGAACATTCTGTGTTACCGCCACACCGCAGTCACGTCGCGAAGCGCCTCGTAATAGAGGGCGAAGAGGAAGTAGAACCGAAATCTGCAGAACTGCGGGAACGACGCTCTGGACTACGGGAAGATACAACTCGAATCTAGTGTAGATCGGTATCCCGAGGCCGAGCCGGAACTTGAATCAGACGGTGCGAATAGACAATTAACATTCCCTTGCCTCTGGATGACATCCTACTTGGGGATAGATGGGATATAATAATTGCTTACAGTCCCTGTGAGCTCCTTCCATCGCCGGCCTCACGCATTCCACGTAGCCGGTTCTCACGTCGTTTGTTGGGATGGGATGAAGATGTTGGTTTTCTCCTTGCGGAACAAGGTACGTTCGCAATACTCACCGCTGCGCGTACGGGTGTAAAAGAAAACTGGGCGAATTCTCTCTTGGCCCTTAACATGTCATAGTGGATAACACGAACACTGTAGGTGATATGGATATCGTATTGTCGGAAAGCGGATTTGGCCCAGAAGGGGACCAGAATTACGTTCGCGGTCGCCGAACGCTTTGATCAAGAAGTAACATCGTCAGCAGGATGGATCTCCAGGGCCCATACAGCTGTGGGCTGTCTCGAGGGACAGTCCCCGACATTTGTCATGATCACTAGAGTACCAGGCGTTTACTATACCTGCAAGCATGGGCATGGACGCGACAAGTGCAACTCATGATTTCGCACAGTAGTCTATGGACAATTTTTGTTCGTAAAAAAGTTTGCAGACCTGGACCAGATAGTATCCAGGAGTTACAACTAACACATTCCAATTGCAGGCTACTTCGACGTTCAGCTCTGGGTACAGTGCAGGTCGCATGGGGTTGGTACGTTGGTAAAGCACCTCGAAGAAGGACCCTAAGCTGAATAGGCCGCACATCTTGCAAGGCAAGTGGTCGAATGTACCGCACGCGAGGCAGAGCAACGGCGACAAAGAGAATGTAATTCCCAACTCGCCGTTGACCGGATGCATCGATGAAGGGAAGAAGAGGAGCGACGAAGGTGGGAGGCTGAGAGGTTTGCCGCCATTGCCGCCCGGGAGGAAGAGGCGCATGACCAGACGTGCCAGGAGACCACAATAAGTTGAACAGAGAGTCTGAGGGGCTTCCGGTGCTGCGAGCAAATAAGGCTCAGACTGAGCGAGAGGTTGTGGAAAGACTGTTGAAAAAAGGCATTCAACCTGTGGTTATGCCTACTGTTGAGGAGACACGACTTGCCAAGGCTCCACTGGAGTCAACGAGACCACCTTGGAAATTGCAAGATATGTATGTCGATACCACGCACAGCGGGCAATTCACTTGGTACGGCGCTCGCGACTCCGGCATGTGTCTATATCTTCGATTGCGTCCTCGTGCTCTTTAACAGTCACTTCACGATAACCGACAAGGCTGTTCTTGCAAACTGTCGTCATTTCGAATGTCCAACATATCCTTTACCTTCTGAAGGACCTGGGTGGCAATTCTGACGAGGATGACACACATAGTCGAAAGCAATTTTAGAAGGTTGCTGGTAAATAGTATATGTCAGAGACACATCAGAGCGTCTTGAGAACAAGTTGGCTGTGGCAAACCTCCCTGACCAGCGAGTACATTTCGTGTCTAACAGGACTCTTCTCATGGCTGCCAAAGATAAGGAGCCGAGAAATGATCGACGACACTTGCACAGTGAGGCTTACCGCAGTAGCAAATTCACTTGAAACCTGCCGCAACCTTTTTTCGTTTCTGCTGCGCAAAACATCTGACATTATCGCTGCTTTGCAGAGTGTCCTTCTCGAAGCTCCCATGTGAAGTAGTAGAGCTGCGGCATGCGGGCCATGGGAGTGGCTGATTTCCGAGACTTGGAGCAGGTCTATACAGTATCGTACACTTGGCCTCTCGAAGCACCGTTGATGCAGAGGGTATAAAATGACGGTCACATTGTGAGTCTAGTTGTTTGCGGTACCGCGATGTGTAACAGATACAAGAGTAGAGTGTATGGAAGGAAATCGAAAGGGCACAGCGTTTTCGCCATACGTTGTAGAGTCGTTCAAGGAGCCGTAAGCTAAGCTAGAGGTCAAAGAGTGAAAAAGTCCGGGGAACGACATGTCGAGAAATGCACTGTAGAAATACAATATCGGACGTCGTGGGTAGCACCTTCCTGCGACTGACACCTGGTACAAGCCAAGAATTGGTCGTATCGTCGTTAAAGCACGACCCCATATTGGGTTTGGACGGAAACAGCAATACTCGCATGGAGGCAGTGCGACATCCGAGCATCATTGACACGGACGGGCAAAACGCTCGGTGGCGTGAACGGGCGGTGGCGGGCGGGGACATCACTGATATCCACGGAGTCAGGATGTGAAGGCGAGAACTTCGCTTCATTACCACTTCGCTGCGTGTTGCTATCAAACTCGGAGAAGTCGGTAGCCGTCGGCGAGCTATCGTTCTCTACAGAGTATCGAGGCAGCGTCGGCGACCAACTATCGATCGCTTTCTCTAAGCGCGGCCCGGTAGCATAGCTCTTCGAGGAGAATTCAAAAGATGCTTCTGGCTTGACAAAGGGAGGAAATGAGGTGACGTAGACGGGTAAGGAACCAGACGACTGATCCATGGACTTGTTGAAACTGCAATTCCAACTAGAAATAGATGTAATTGTTGCTTCACCGAACGTAAGACAGGATTCTTACCTTGGTAGCGCACGCTGCGCCCTCCCAGAGGTTGGCTGGTAACCAAAGAACCTCTTCACGATTGACAAAAACAAGGCACGGTACTGTTTGCGTGCCTCAGCTGCAAAGCCGAATAAAGCAAAAAATAACAGCCCGCATGCGGGGAATAACCACCGAGTCATTTCCACGGACGCAACATATTTTGAATTACTTTGCCAGATGACAGTGGGGTAAAGACCAACGTGCGAGAAGTTATAATGAGTGTTGTCCCAAGATATCCATGGTTGAATCGGGACAGCTTCATTTGAGATGCAGAGACTGGCGATGCATATGGGAATGGTAGATGACATTTCGATACAGGCCAAAGCCATCAGACGAATATACTGGCCGACATTCATTGAGCTGTTCGACGTAAGCAGCTGGTTGAATTCCAATCGGCGCATATAAAAGGCCCGCAAGTTCAAAGCTAATCAATAAACACCGTTGAGCAAGCACGAGGGCGAAAGAAAGTACAGACGTACCTGAATATATGAATGATATACAACCCAGGAGCGTAGGCCACATAAAAACGAGAAAATATGCAGGAAGGGTGTTATAGATCGATGGCCAGCATCCGACATCCTCCAGGATATCAAAGCGATGACCTATACATGATAAGCACGTCAATTCAGCATTCCACCCTACCACATACCTTGTACAATGTAGTCTGCAAGGGAATGTCAAAACCCTGCCGTGAAAGTAAAGCAACACAAGCTTACGCAACGCCATAACCATAACTGGTATCCCAATAGTGATAGCAAGGTCAGCAATAACGGCGCGACGCTTCTGTGGAACGTTGTTCAGTGCCAATACTGTGCGTTGAAGTTGAACTGGAACTTACATCCTCGCGAGTCACAGCGACGGACTTTATGACAGCTATCTTGTACAGCCTACGGCTAATGCACAACCCGGCGGCTGGTATTCCAACACCGGCGCCGATGAACAACTTGGTGGCTACATGATGGAGAAATTAGCGGATGATGATAGGAGAGCAGAGCGACCCACAGATATCACACCATACCGGTGCGACATTCAATGCATTGTTGCGCCATATAACGGAGTTCACGAAGTGCAGCAAGCAACCCAGCGCTGTCCAGACAATGTACATGCAAGTGCCAGAGTTCCACGCTTGTAGATGCCATGGCAGCGGAATAAGCACGACGACGAAACCCAGGAAGGCAAAAATTGGGAATAGCGGGTACGTGGGATTAACGTCCATAGCAGAGGTATACTTCCCAGAAACGAAGAGGACCAGCCCGGAAGGGATGAGAGGAATTGCGATGGTTGGATTTACTGGGCATCTTTATGCTTCCGCAAGTTGTCGGTAAGAACAATGGGCGGAGTTTGGGGTAGCTCCTTTGTCTTCTACTACATGATTATGTGACCGTGACCTTGCATAATGTCACGTGTCACACGTGACATGTAATAGGCCGACACCTATTGACGTCCATTTCAGTACTGAAGCATGTACTAGAGGATGGGGCCGTCGGGGACGGCAGGCAGCTTCTTTACGGACACGTCATCGAATCCCATAATTTGCGGCTAGCAATCAATATTTGTACCAGTCTAACATTTCCATTGCAGTGCCATCGGAGGTCATGCCCAGTGAAAACTGTGTAGGATTGGGTGGGATGGGAGCTGCTCCAGCCGGATTTGGTCAGAATTCGTCCGTCGGAATCGGGCGAAATAGGATTCTTGCCAACAATTTCATATTACATGTAACACTTCTGTAACACATTACATGGTCATTGTAACACAAGAAGTACTCGCACAGCACGATTGCATCAATAGCGTGCACCACACTGTGTACATTCATTACATCGTCATATGATGCATCGCACTGCTCACTTTGTCTTGTCGATGTAATGTGATGTGACGGTACATACAAGTCTCGGAAGTCCTGTAAGGTACTAACCATATGCTCTGCAGCACTTCCCAAGTCGACCAGATACCGAAATCCAAGCATGCTCGGCAAGCTCACTGTGCTCTAGTAAGATCTGGTACAGGTGTAGCAGATGGAGTTCGAGGACATGCTAAACGGGCACGTTCACACCAGGAGGTATGTCTTTTATATACTCTTCAGCTATGCTTGGTTTACAGGCCCTTTAGACAGACACTTCTACCAGCACTGGTTCAAATACACCTGGAGAAGTGAGTATTCCTGTTTTACGGTCCCAGATTCTCACTGACTCCTGCAGATGGGACGAACTGGTCTTCAAATCTCCCAACGGGATTCTAACTGTGAGAACACCTCTGTGACAGGACCAGCTGACAATAACCTGCCTCAAACATCTCCCCAAGAGCCGTCTCCACCCCCCCTACCTGGAGAGCCAGCAAACTCTCCTCCATGGGTGCCATCTCTGCCTCCTTCACCTGGAGAGCCAGCAAACTCTCCTCCATGAGCGCCATCTCCACCTCCTTCACCCAGAGAGCCTACAAACTTTCCTCCTCGAGTGCCACCTCCACCTTCCCTGCCACCTGCCCATCAGAATCTCTCTACCTCCCATGTGACTATTGACATTGATGCTCTCAGGTGCCTTGCTATCGATCCCAAGCAAACGGATGCCATCAAATTCATTGATCTTCTCACTGAAGCTTCACTGGATGATCCTGTCGTGAAATTAGATGATGCAGCTCTCTATAGGCTATGCAATCCACCCCATGCTCAACTCACAATAGACGACGATGCTATCTGTTTCAGGATTGAAACATACTTCGCACTCGAGCACTCTGCTATCAGTGCATATGAGTCCATACGATGATCAGCAGCCCAGTGTTTTGATGGGACTGCCACAGATATTCCTAGTCATTACACCATCGAGAAGTTCATTGCTGGGTACATGGGGGTTGACTCGATCAAGCATGATATGTGTCCAGATACCTGCGTGGCCTTCACTGGCCCATATTCTTCACTTGACATGTGCCCCATATGCAGCGGAGATCGCTACGACTGTATCAGACTATGCACTAGTGGGGGGAGGTCTCATGTGACCCATCAGAAATTTGTCACCATACCACTTGGCCCACAGTTGCAGGCTCTCTGGCGCAATTCACAGCATGCCAAAGATATTGGGTATCTGCGAGAGGAGACGTGTTGCATTCAGGAACAGATGCAGGCTAGTGGTGGTTTGATTGAGTTATTTGATGACTTTTGCAAAGGCTCAGATTACCTTGAGGCCATCCAGTGGGGTGACATCAAATCAGACGACATGGTTCTCATGATTTCACTTGACAGTGCTCAGCTCTATGAAAGCAAGGAGTCTGACTGTTGGATATACATCTGGATCGTTATGAACCATGCCCCGGACAAGCACTACAAGAAGTGCTACGTCCTGCTGGGCGGCTTTATTCCAGGTCCCAACAAACCGAAGAACGTCGACTCCTTCCTCTTCCCCGGTATCCACCATCTCACTGCACTACAAAATGAACGTTTATGCATCTGGGATGCATCTCGAGATATTACCTTCCTGTCAGACCTGTATCTTCTCTTTGTGACGGCCGATGGCCCGGGACTTGTCTACTTCAATGGGATGGTGGGACATAGCGGCCACAATGGCTGCAGACTCTACTGTGGACTCCACGGACACCGCAAGGGCAATCACTACTATCCTGCACTACTCCTCCCGAACAACTACAACATGGAAGGTAGTGATCACCCCGACTGCAGTCTGTACGACATCCAACAACCTGCAACATCTGAATACTTCAAAAATCTCTGTGACTTGGTCGCCACCTGCAATCCAACACACTACAAGAAACTATGCATGGAAACTGGGATTACCAAGCCCTCGATCCTTCTCGGTCTCAATCCTTCCTGCACACTGGGCATCCCAGACTGCCTTACCCCTGATATCATGCATCTCGCAGGACTACTCTCAGATCTACATCTATCGTTGTGGCACAGTACCATCGACTGTACACCCCTGGACCATGTCTCCCGATGGCCATGGGCCATCCTCAAGACCTCCGAAGCCTGGGAGACACATGGTGCGCTTGTCTCGTCTGCCGCACAGCACCTTCCCAGGTCATTTGATCAGAAGCCATGCAACCCTGCTGAGAAGATCTCTTCTGGATACAAGACATGGGAGTTTCAGCTGTATATGTTCTGTCTTGCACCCGCACTACTTTATGGAGTCCTGGGGGAACTGTATTGGCGCAATTACTGTAAGTTGGTTCACGGATTTCAACTCATATGCCAGAACAACATCACCTGGTCCGAACTTCATGATTCCCATCTTCTGCTTATGAAGTGGCCACTTGATTTTGAAGAACTCTACTGTCAGTGCTCTCCCTCTCGACTCCACTTCATTAGACCATGCGTACACCAAGTTGCCCACTTGACACAGCAGACGGTCAAGAAAGGACCTCCTAGTTGCTATGTGCAGTGGGCCATGGAGCGAACAATTGGCAACTTAGGTCAAGAAATCCGACAGCCATCAAATCTGTATGCCAATTTGTCTTGTGAGGGAGTCCAGCACTGTCAAGTCAACACGCTGAAGGCAATGGTACCTAGCCTGTGCCCTGACAAGCCATCCTTTCCATCGACAGCTGTCGAGCTAGATGACGGATATGTCTTGCTCCGCAAACGTGATCCACGTCTGATCTCTCCAAAAGGGCTTGCAGCAAGGGCGATCTTGCATTACTTAGGATGCACATCTGACATCAAAATACATTGTTGGGCCCGCCTGTGTCTACCCAATGGACAGATCGCCCGAACAGCATGGAGAGAGCTACGACGACCACCAGAGCAAATACGTCTGGCTCGCTTTGTGAAGGTAAGTATCCACTCATTTAAATGATCATATGCCCTAATTATATCTCATAGTTCTTACTCGAAGGAAGTACATATGTTGCTGAGGTCCAGTACTTCACTCACCTTGGAGTTCAAAACGAAGATCCCAGCTGCACATCTTGTTGGTTTTGGAAGAACATTGCCATCGTTAGAATGTTCTCGCCCCCCGATGCAAACCTTTTCTCACTCTCGTATCAGACAGTCTTCGCATGCCGCCCTCTAGATGAGGATGTGCATGTCATTGAAGTCAAATCGATCACAGGTGTTGTCGGGATGGTGCCACATAACTTTCGAGGATTAGGCCATTGCTTTTTTATGGTAGAGCGACCCGGGCTTGACATCACTACATATGGTGTTCCATATAAGGGGGAGGGCACGCAGGAGGATATGGCTGACGATAATGATGACAACGAGACAGGTTCCATCAATTAGTACTTAGTGTTTTTAGCTGCTGTTACAGTCCTTATAGTCCTCATCGAAATGGATGGCTTCTTGTTCACTTCTCGCATGCCGTATCACTTCAGAATCCATAAGAAATTGACTAACTATCGTTACAACACTTCCTCTAGTTCACTCTTCCAACGGTGTATCATATCAAAATTCTTATCTTTTCCCTCCCGGTCATACCACTTCGAATCCTCCTCTCGTGAGACATACTTCCAATAAATTGAGCCAGGAGGAGGTGGGCTCGGAGTGGCGAAGATACTTTTGCAAATGGGCGTAGGTTTCTTGATCGTAATCGTGTCGGTGGCTGGACATGCCATCGAGATGTCTTCTGTTGGTGGTGGGGTTTGGGTGTGCACTGGCACATCCGACTTGGACTTGGTTGTCGAACCTGGAGAAGGGTGCTGCACTGTGGTTGGGATGGTGGGGACAGCTGGCCGAGGGGTGGAGATACACTCCAAGCCTCGACAAAGGGCTAGCTTATGATTAGATAGAGATAGTCTTCCATGTACCTACCTGGATCAGACTCTGGCTCTGTTGTCAAGCCAGGAGATGGATGCTGTATTATAGTTGGCCAGGGGGTGGAGACATGCTCCAAACCTTGTGGAAGTACACTATGGCTGGTTAGAGATAGCAATCCATGTACCTACATACCTGGATCAGACTCTGGCTCTGTCGTCGAGCCAGGAGATGGGTGCTGTGTTATGGGGTGTGGTGCCTCTTCCACTTGGCAGGTCAATCTTGCGTGTACAGGTGGGGGGTGCTCGAACCTAGAGTAGAATGCCTACAAATCAATTGAAGACACAATATCCAAGCATACTCACAGTGCATCCGTCCAGTCCGTATCGGAGGGGGTTCCTGGGAGCCTGTATGGAAGAAAATGACATTTAAGTTGTGCATATTGATTGGGGTGGGTCTGCCAATATTCCGGGTCGAGAAGCTGATCATTGGAGGCAGTTAAATGGGGGCTCGTGCTGCTCTCAGTGATGGAATCACTGAGAATGGTGTTGTCGAGGTCGATATCGGATGGGATATCGAAGAAATGCTGGACAGCCACAGGTAAGTCCATCATGAAGTTTATACTTAGCCAGACTTATTTGCATGAAGTCAGTGGTAGCACGGTGTAGTATGGAGGTCACGAGTTTGTGGGAAATGTCTCAAGCTGGGCAAACACCAACTGATCATTATCTCCATCTCCCTCCTTCTCGACAAAGGATGGACCCACTTGCCAGATCGCAGTCTGGCTTTCTGAGCAGGACTCCATCGAGTCTTTTAGATACCCCTGACATCTCTACACAGATTGGGATGAGTCGCCAACAGAACCAGTTCAACACACTCAACGAATTGCAGTCGTTCTTGCACAATAACTTCTTTTCTCATCCATCTCAGGTGTGTTCAATCGTAAAACATCTTTCATTTGGCCCAATTGATCGCTTGATTTATGTGGGGTGCATATATGCGCCATGTAGCACCAACAGAACCCCGTTTTCATGTGCGCACACATGATACATGGTGCAATGTATGAGACCGAGATAAATGACTTACAGAACCAGTTGACCAAGGTTACCGCTGAGCATGACACAATAAAGTAAGTAACAGATGTACCACTATCGTTGTTTGACTTGTTTCTTTTCAGGGCAGCATTTCATACCCTCGCATCTGTGCTGAAATTGCCAGATGACATGGACCCGCTGACGTTCTCACTCACGGACATCGACTCACAAACAAAAGTGAGCAAGGATAAAGGCAACCTCAGGGAAAAATACCTGATGATCTGCTTCTGGTCAAGGTCCGACTACAAGGCTTTCGCGCTATCACTGGAAGCTCAAGGCATCGACCGCAGGAAAGCCCCATGGCTAGAACTAGAGAACGGCGACCCTGTTACAGCAAAGACGCTCAAGGCCATCCATGCAAGTGCTCGCAGTATTTGGGCCGAGCTCGTTCAACGACAGATTGCGCCACTGACATGGACCCGAATAAGTTCATCTGCAAAGGCTCTTGTGTCCAAGTATATGCTCAAGGAACATCCCCTTCTCGGCCTCAATGAGGATGGCTTCAAGCTGGAGATGCTCTGCATCAATGACTATTCAGGGTGGCACAAGAACCACTTCACACCAAGCAGTGAACTCAAGGGCACATCATCAATGAAAAGTGAACCAAAAGAAGAACCTAAGGAGGAGTCAAATGATACAATATCACCGCTCGCTACAAAAGGTAATAAGCGCAAGAGCGACCCCGCCCATTCCATGAATGTGCATGCGAAGCAGCCAAAAGGTGTGTTACTTTGTCCGATTTGTGCAGTTTGGGCTGATCACAACAATCCAAGGATGCAATATTACTACAGAATTATCAGCGGAAGAGACGCAGAGCCTAATTCTGAAACCTAGCAACGCAGACATAGGTAGGGTGAACGCAAGCATAGATGGGGTGAACGGCAGTATTTATTCAGTGCTAACTTCACTGAAGCAACAGTCGACGATAATAGCGAGTCAGTGCGACCTCAGCCAGATCCTGTTTTTTCCCAGCTGTGGGATGAACTTGCAATGACACCTGTTGTTCCCATGGACGACAGCCTATTGCTCCAACCATGCCGAAGTCCCCCCAATATTCCCCATGGTGTTTATTTACCAATGCCCCACCGTAGCCATTCGTGGTCCCGATCAAATTCCATCACACGTGGTGAGGCATCCAAGGCTGCTGGTCCATCCAGCCTGTCTCGCCATAACTCAAACAAAGAGAACGAGTTCCCACTCCAGAATCCTCTGTAAGTGTTTTTCATCACACAGATTGTGAACTGATACCATTTTCAACTCAGTATGAATGTATTTGGTCTGAATGGAGTCGCAAAGAAGGTGCCACTTGCACCTTCTCAGTCAAAGACGAACATGAACATGGAGTCGTTGACATTGACCACCTCAGTAAAAGGGGAAAAGAAAACTAAGATGCAACCTGGTGCAGCAAAAAATGCGAGGTATGTCCAGTATCTATCTCATTACAATACTAACTATACATTTTCTAGAAACCTCTGTGCACTTAGGTGGCACAAACTGGGATGGATTGACAGCAGAGACACGAGAGAAGTATCGCCTTGAGGCTGAGCACCTTCAGAAGGACAGAACGTGGACAAAACCATCTGACCCAGCTGCCTGCAACAGTACAATATTTTAGACAATGCAGGTGCTTCTCACTTTCATTCGTGCTTGGCTTAATGTTGTCACAGGTGTCTCTCAATTGTCGCCTGCACCCTCCGTTGCACTGTTTCACTGTACCTGCCATTCGCAAGTTCTCGACTGCCAACTCGATGCCTTGTTCACACTGCTGCCCTGCTGTGGCTGCCGTTTTATCACCCACTCTCCTCCATTGTTCCGTTTCACTGTACCTTCCATCCCAGGTTTCTCGACTGCCAACTTGATGGCTCGCTTGCACTCCTGCTCTGTTCTGGCTGCCATTTTATTACCCGCAGGTATTGGGGCGCGTGTACCATGTATAATATGGGCACATAGTGTTAATTGTATTATTGGACTGCACCTGATGGGACCGGAATGGAATTTGTTGCATTCTGACCCAATATGTGTGAATCTGGTGAGACCGGAACGAGAGAACCCTAATCCAATCCAGACAGACATGCACTGCTGTCATCATATTTATGCTACAGACAGAGAGGTAGCTACTATCTGCTGAGATCTGTCAGGATCGGATCATGAGTACCAAAATCCTACATCACCCAATGTCGGCCTGCCTCACCATGCAATATATGCATTGATTCCAGTTCGCACCTGATCAAAACAGATATTTTGCTTACCAATCGACCCTGTCAGATCTCGCCCGACTAGAGCCGCCCTCATCCTGGTAAGTTTTGACTGGGGGTCATGCCCCTTTCTCGCTGTGTCGGCATCACCACCCATGCTCTAAACACACCCTGTCTGCTGTCCTCACCTCGACTCCATCCCCCCGTTATATGCAAATGAATCTTCGACAACATGCTATTATTCCTCAGAGCTTTTAGAGGCCATTTTCTAAGTTTCCTCACTTTTGATGAAACACCGATCAGAGAGAAGATCCCTTCAGATAATGAGTGCATGCACAGCAATGTCAGTATCAGGTACTCACATGTTGTTGTTGAACACGAACAAATAGCCATCCAGAAAGGCAGGATATGTGCCACATACATACCCACCCAGTAACCACATGACATCAATGACCCCCAAGCACTTGAGGATGTCAGTGGGCTTCACAACATCGTGACAGAGATCAGATGTTTGAAGCCATAGACAGCCACTGTCAGTCAAATTGCAGGGCATACACCTGCAACTGTAAGGCAAATGATGATACTCTTTGCAGCTGCCAAACTCAAAACCACATGTGCTGTATTTCTGCAGGGCCACCATGGTTTTGAAGCTGATTGAGCTGTAATAAATGGGATGTGGGTTGATCAGCACATGGTGATGGAACATCAGGTTGGGATATTTGCAAAAGATGCTGTCAGCACTGATGAAATTCATCACTGCTGTGCTGTGGAATTGAAACAGCGGGGAGATAGCAGTTGATGTCTTGGAGACAATGACATCAATGTAATGAGTGCCATTGGCATATGTGAGAGTACTGCACCAGGCTCAAATGAAAAGGTGGTTAACTCATGGACAAAGATCAATTGATGGTGGCAGTGAATTGAAGGCATGTGCCCATGTATGGATGCGTGCCTAGACTGTCCCCATTCATTTGTTCGAACTCCAAGCGAAAGGGTTTACACACAGACAAAGAATTCACTGCCACCATTGATTGGTCTTTGTCTGCATGTAAACCCTTTCACTTGGAGTTCGAACAAATGAATGGGGACAGTCTAGGCACACAACTGTACATGGGCACATGCCTTCAATTCACTGCCACCATCAATTGATCTTTGTCCATGAGTTATCCACCTTTTCATTTGAGCTCATTACAATTGTACATAAATGCAAGTACAATATGTCTCCAGCAAGTGAGCCCATGCTATCATCACCTTGTTTACAAGGTCTCTGCAGCCCGAAATTCATACATGTTTTTTTGGTCACTTGCAAATATCAAGTTTTGTGCCTCAGCTCTGTACTCTGCACCTCCACACCTCCACATTACCACTGTGAGGGTGCATTATGAGGTAGACTACTGAGTGCATGCATAATTGCGGGTAAACAAGGTACCTGCCATGCAAAACAGCCTTATTCTAGTGATTGGACTGTACCAAATGTATTGTCACACATTTGCAGCTACATTCGAAACCTGTAATATTGTGGGTTGCCCACCACGACTTTGCTCAGGGTCCGCTGGTGGAGTGTGATCACACAAAGGACCTGTTGGCATCAGAAACATGATAGAGGACAATCTCATCGATGTCAGTGGCCATGATATGGCGCGACTACTGTGGGTCGGGGGTCAATAACCTGACAGGGTATCCCACATTCAAGAGGGAGTAAGTATTAGATGCGTAGTCCCGATGACTGCAAGCGGTCGGGGGCACTGAAATGTAATAGGGAGTATCTCGAGTGTGAAGAACTTCCCTACCGAGGCTGGAAGAGGACTCAAAGCTCTATTGCGAGGGTACATGATAGTGATACACGGTACACGGGTATGCGAACTGAGGAAACTAAAAAGAACGGTAGTGGTAGGATACAAATCTGACATGCATACATCTACACGAACTTCAAACAAATGTGTGTTGATCATCATCATGCCCCCCAGGAAACGAAGAATGAAACGACGGCGCCAGAGTTGAGGAATGAATACTGTCGGTGAGGGAGTCAGGCGATAGCACCGCGGCGTCCTTCCCAACGGAATCCCGGTCGTACACGGTGCTCCCTCTCTCAGAAGAACTCGTAGAGGAGCGCCGGTTGCGCTGGAATTGCATTCGTAACTTCTGTGGAGTTGCTAGAGACTGGCAACTACTTCCTCCTCTTGAGTTTATGTCAGTAGCAGTAGAGACTGGAATGATAACCCATACCGTGGGAGAGACAAGTTCTTGCTCTTGCCCAACTGTTCTACAGGAATACGGCGAAACACGGCACGACGAACCCAGGAGAAACACTCGCGATACTCGTTCATGGCGTCATGCCCGAAGGAAAAGAAGACAAAGAAAATTATGGCGGACGCTGGTAATGCCCACCACAAAATGTATGTCCAAGTTAGTGTTGAGGAGGGAATAAGGACGGTGGGGAAGTAGGCAATTTGCGAGAATCCCGTATGAACGTTATCCCAACTGATCCATCGTCGCAGACCATTTTGACATGAGAACCACACGTTGAAGGAGGTTATTAATAAACTCCAAAACATCTGGACGACGGCCATGCTCATTAGCCGAAAGTAGCGCGAGGTAGTCAATCCAGAATTGGAGTTCTGTAAATGCTTCGCAAACATAAGTCGTCGTCGAAAAAAGTGCCGAACGGCGACAACTACGAAAAATGTCAGTATCAATCTCTCTAAGGGACCTTGTACGATATGACGCACATGCAAACCCCAAGGTTGCAAGAGCGGCCGTCATAGGTGGCACCCAGATCAAGAAGATAGCGGGAATGGACACGTAAACCGTCGGGCGGCAACCGAAGTCTTCGATGATATCAAACCGGTGGCCTTGAACAACATAGTCTATCGTATGAATGAGTAATGATGGCTAGCGCTATGATAAGCAAAACGACTCACGAAGGGCCATGTAGATGATGGGTATCAGCCAACAAAGCGTAGCGTCGAAAATCATGCGCCGAATTTTATCCGAATGGGAAGTGCTAACTTGGCGGACTGACGCAATGCGTTCTAGATGGATACAAATACATAGACAACACGCTGGTAGTGCCATGTTGGTGCCGACCTGCAGCTTGGTTGCTGGGAGACCGTAAGAAATGACAGTGAAGACATCGGTGGACTGAACCTACTTATATCGCACCATACTGGCGCAGAATCTGCAACATTCCCGGCCCATATTATGGCGTCAATGGCATATATAATATTTGAAACAAATAGCCACACTATGGTGGAAAGCATCGCAACATTACGAGCACGCCAATGCCAAGGAAGAGGAATTAGAACTATGCCCGCAGCGATGAAGGCACCGACAAGAAGTTCAGCACGCATGACAATATGAAGAGAGAAAACGATGCACGTTAGACTTCAGTAGGGATCGTTTATAGAGTTGCACGGAATCCATTGTTGCATTTGCTTGCTTTCTGCGAGCCTACTAGGTGAACAAAGGGAGACTTCAGAATTCAAGCTCCGCGAGGCCAGTCACGTGGCCCAGTCAACCTAGTTTTGCCAGACAATAAGTGCCACTGGGCCATGCTATTTGTCCTGGAGGCCTAAACAATGCTGGCGGAAAACGTATAAAACCGCGAAAATATGGACGTGGGCTGAGCATCTGTATCCTCCTCGCTTATCTCGCTCTATCAGCTTTGCTGCGAGTTTTATCAATTTCACATGGACACCTTCACCGCCCTCCCTGATTTCACCTGTGATGCTGAGGATCAAATAGTGGACGCCCCCATACCTGTTGACGAAGAATACTTCGGAGGGTGGGGGCAGGGTGGATTCTGCATTGTCGCCTGAGTAATTCTTGTTTCTAGGCCGATTAACAATATTTTCACCCTAAACTATTCCAGGTGCCCATGCTTGCTGATAGTATTTAATACCAACTGGCCTTGCTGCAGTACCGACCCCAGTTGTACGGTTTTTCCTCAACTCCCTCCGCGCAATTACCGACGTCACTCCTAGCTGTCGTGTCGAATTATCCTTTGGCCTCTTTCGACCTTCTATTGTCATTATTGATTATTTATACAAACCTCGCGCCGATCATTTGTATTGCAGAATTCAAGCGCCCTTGCGAGCATAGTTATTTTATATCGTCATCGTATGTATTACTGGCTAGCGATCACCTATGTATACTACATGTTCGTGAGACATACTCGTATTCATTTGGCATTGCTAGCTGTCGGGATATCATATTGTTCCTCTGGTGGGCTTGAATTCACCATCTATCATTAGAGTAGGAAAGGGCAATCACCATTACCAAATCCTACATGAACTGCTTCACGCCAGGAGGAGAACCGGAGCTCCAAACTGAAAATTCGCGGATGGCAAAAAAAACGTGGTGAATTTTCAAGTTCTACAATCAATTGTCCCCGATAATCGTCATCTCCCCGTGCTGATCAAGTCGATGTCCAGATTGCAAAACATAGCTCTCCGCGTCCCACAGCACAGTTTTCGCATCTATAGCTGTGTCGGATCTCAGGGCAATAATTTACCTGCAAGTTTCTTGTCATCGAGGAATTCAAAACTCCGCTTGTACTTCTAACTCCGACATCCACCTGCATTACGTAACAAAGGATGTACTTTCGCCACTATGTAAGTACGATCCCGTCTCATCATGATCTCCAGACAATGGAGCATCAAACTGGCGAACAATGGGGCGATCTGCGAGCTTTAAACTCCGTCCGGGTTATAAAGCAGATCATGGCGAGTCAAGTATATATTATAGCATATCTCAGCTTTCTACTGTCTACGGCGTTCGCTAAATCATTCTCCTGCGCGCTATCTTCCTTTCCGTCGCTCCGATGGACTCGTTTACCAGCCTACCACTTTTTATCGTCGAAGAGCCTCCACTTCCCCGATCCACAGAACCCTCCTCAATACCGACTAATCAGGAGTACAACCACAGCTCAATTACCGGCTTCTTTTGCGTCATTGCATAATCTTCCAAACAGTATTGCACTAGAGTGCGCATGAGGTGTGCAGTTTTCCGGATACACTAGCACACGTCCCACATACTGACAACCATCTAACTAGCATTCCTGTTGGGATCTTCCCCGGCCATTTATTTATTGATTAATTAATTGTTTCCGTCGTTTCTACCGATGGCTTCGTTCGTTCTGGAATCCGCAGGCAACTGTGACGAGTAACGAGTTGCAGAATTTTCATCTTTGTTGTACAGGCATACTGACTGGTTACGCACCATCTTCTTTAAATACTTGCGTATTGGTAGTGTCGTGACACGATACGGATACATTACTTAGCTTGTTTGTGCTGGAATTTATTGTTGGCCGAGGCTGGACAACCTTGGCTGGTCGAGATAATAGCTGGATGTCAACTCAAATATTCGTGGCCCCAAACAGCACTGACCACGGTTGCAGATATGGGTAAATCTTTGTAGTCCCCTGATACTCTTGCAGTGATCATGGTAAATGTCAACAAGTCTTACTTGGCTCAACCAATAACTGCGGCACTTCTTCTGGTTCTGCTGATCCATGATCAGAGTATTCAATGACTTCAGAGGTAATCGTTATCCCTTCTGAGCCTTTGCTTTCCAAAGATACGACATTGTTTATTGTGAAAGGCTGGGAGAAAATTTATCCAAACGCTCTTGCGAACGAACTCAGTAGCAGTCATTTCGTACTCTCCACAAAGACAAAACTGGCAGCTGATCCCATTGCAACAAGCGACGTGAGAATCGTGGACATAGAACGGATATGGGCGACGATGTAGGCAACTTGGAGGGACTTCAGTAAAATCATGGGTTTACTCGTAGCGTGATGCTAGCCAAGTAGTTCATCCAAAAAATCTTGCATTTCCTCTTTCGGTGCCTTCGGTGCTCGTTCGGTTGGGAGGGGTGGGGCAACAATAGTATTGTCTGTGCAAGGAATAGAGGACGAACTCGTTTCAAACTCCAAAGAATGTCAGTCATAGCCGACCTACCATTCTTGCGCGGCTCGAAGGACACGGGCTTTTCTCGCAACTTACCAGACTTTGCCCGGAATCTTTCCTTGAGATCTAGTCAAGGACATCGCCTGTAAATTTAACAGACGCAGACTACGAGTGAAGACCAGACCTCTGGCAGCATCTGCAGCATCTTTCTCTCGCTGCAATTTCTCTAACTGGTCATCCCATGCAATTGTATGAACATTTCCCTTCTTGGACCGTGTACGTGTCTGCGTTCCCAATCTTATGTGATCAAAATCGTGGTCAACGTCGTCGTCATCGGGCAGAGTGGTAGAGGATGTCGCTGTATCCTCTGATATTTTTTGCTTCTCCAGAAAGGCAGACAGATCCACCTCTGGCTCTCTGATCTCCTCCCCTTCCAAAGAAGATAAGCATCAGCTAAACGCTGGACTCCAAGCACGATTGTCCATCCCTACCGTCTGATCCAAGTTCCGGTTCGGGTTCGACATACCGATCTGCATTGGATGCAAGCTGCCTCTTCCCATACCTGCGACGTTGTTCCTCCGCTTCTTCAGGGTCCAGCTCTACTTCCTCTTCGCCCTCTAGTACGAGGCGCTTCGAGAACTCCGCTGGGCGCCCGTATCCGCGGCCGCGACCCCTGGCACGGAGATATTTGCCTAACCCACCACGAGACTTACCCCTTCCACGTCCTCGACCACGCGATGGGCCATCGGTCGGAGACGGTTGTCCGTCTACCATGGATCGCGAGAGTTGGGTGTGGGTACTGAGATCATAGCCAGCAGGAGATGACCCGTGGCAACACGTGACACCAACGGTTTGGCAAATTCGATTTACTATTGACCTTATCTGATGATCTGGTTACACCGGCGTACTTCGGGTATACTGATACATTTACTACTACAATCCCACAAAAATAGATCCCAATAAAGAGTGAGTAGAGTGAAATAGTGTGTACCCAATGATGTCGCTCCAAAGTCCCGTCAGTGTGATCGCAGAAGCCCACCAGTGAAGACACGATACAAAAAGAAGACAAATATACACGTGTAAATGATGACCCCAATACACAGAATGGCAACGGCGTTTTCGATCTCGTCTACGATGCACTGCTGCAAGCGTTGAAACCGAGATCGGGGTGAGGAAATGACAAGCTGCAGGGAAGACGGTGGTACACATGTTAGTGGTTGGGGCATTTCAGGAGCGAAGTTACGACTGGGCCATGGTAGTAACGCGGGATGTTCGAACGTGATTGTTTGGGGACCCATCGTCTCCGCCCTTTGTTTGTCCAGATACTTGGTAAGGCAGTAATGTCCATACCCTTGCTCATCAAATTCGACGGCGCCAGACTCCGTTTCGTAGAAAAAGGATGAGCGAGAGTCTTTTGGGCGAAGACGTTGGACAAGCTGACGGTCAAAGTCGCACATGCAGTCCTCATAGATTGACTGTGAATCACCGTCACTTGCGTCGTCAGACGTGGGAGTTGATAGTTCGCTGAACCTCTACACATGAAACGTTACTTGACGTGATAGTAATAGAGAACTTTGCACTTACGCGCACAAGACACGGTCGTTCTGGTGACTTGGTTGGCGACCCTTTGGGCGGCGTTATGCGTGATTTCCGAAAGAAGATGGCTGGTTCGTCGTCAAAGCGGACCGTCTGTTTGGAGCGATTAAAAAATAGCTAATAGAGGCGAAGTCGTCTCACCTTACGGCGGGCTAGATCAGATGATGATTCCCCACCATCGTCGACAAGAGTATCCGTCTCGCACGAACTTGAGGTGAGCGCTTCCGTCAGTGTCGTGACGGAACCCTTACGTCGAAGACGGAACGAATCACGGTTCCAGGCAGGGCGGAGCAGGAAGACAAGAAATCTCTTGGCCTCTCTGCTTATTTTCGCACACTTGAGTTGCGGTACAAGTTGAAAGCGGGACACAATCCGCCGACAAGGGGGGCCGACGGCGGGTAGAGCGCGGGTGAGCATAAGGTAAAGAATCCTAGTCGGAGGATTGAGTCGCCAACAACAGGAGCAAGGGATGTGCGAGTCAATAACCAACCTCAAGGAATTGATGTAAAGGGCAAAAGGTCGGCGCCGCTCGATCGATGCAACAAATATTAAGAAGATGCAGCAGGTTCCTTCCAGAGGAGTGCGACGGTGAAGATACACAGATCTGCTAGTGGAGAGTTTGCAATCCGGGAGGAACATATGTCTTCGTATTTATCTATTATCATCCTGCGGAAGCTTTGACAAGCCAAAGCGTCGTCTGTGTTGTCCATGAACTTGCATTGTCCTCGTCCACCGTGGTTGTCGCTCTGGTCACAGGCGGCATTTTGCGACATCAGGGACGGCGAATTAAACCTACCTGATAAGGATGACTTCTGGGTGGACGGCGGATGCAGATGCGGAGAATGCCCTAGAATGCCTTGTCCACGTTGAGGATCATATGGCAAGATAGTCAATTGTTCACCAGGTGGCATGCACCGCAGTCTCGGATGCTTTACCGAAATGCCACCCTCTGGGAGGGAATGGCAGGGAACTGAGGGAGGTGGATGCGCCACTTTCGCACCAAACTTGCCAGGATTCATTGGCATGTACCTGTTCGATGACGCCAGAGAATGGTCGATATTCGATTATCACGTATAATGAACGCAACAACTATTTCACGAATGGGGGAAATCCAACTGGGCTGCATTCATAGCGCACACATGAGCTGGCTGCCGGTGTCTGCCATTCGCGTTTCCGGACGACGGCGGCTGCCGCAAAGACTGTGTTAGGTCAGCAATTCCAGTTCACGAACACCCACCGTGACAACAATATTAGGCTCCCAGACCCAGAAGCGGCCTAGGCCAGTCAAGTTAATATCAACCATGCCCTAATGTAACGGTGTTTGTACTTGTAGTGTCCAGGAGTGTCTGGGAGGGCATTTGGTATTAATATACTCCAGCCACTAGGGAATTGTCCTCAGCAAGCAGGCAGGTGACAGCGTGATCGCTCGGCTCAGGTCACTTACACAAGTCAATGGAATGAACGGAGGACGGCGGCGTGTCAAAATGACTGGATCTTTGACCTACAGAGGGGATCGCCAGTTCTCAAATCTAGAACCGCCACCCATGTTACTCGAAATCGATGCTATTCGTAATTGGCCGGGCATCGTGTTCCTCCGCTCGATACTGTCAAGATAATTTAGTTTGAATCGCTCAATGGCTCCGAAATCTGAGGGCTTCCAAACATAACTCCCTGAACCACCTCCTGACATAGTCGGAATGCTCGCTCGGGATGGTGACGATGCAATTGACGACGTTGAGGTAGAAGGAGAGGGCGGCCCCACATAGAGCCGTCCACGCTGGTAGGTCGTTTCTCGGGCCTTTTAACTTTGTATGCAACCCTCAACCCATGTGCAGTCAGATAATGGGCAATAATTAGTAACGCAAGCCCTAAAGTCACCAAGAATAGAATGGTTCTTAAAGAACATGCGCTCTCCTCCTTCGCTGTTATCGCTCTCATCTTCGACTCGATACCATGAAGTTTCACATCTCGAATGTGCATGCCCCCACTACAAAGTACACTGTGATGAATGCAATAGAATATCAAGTGCTACCTAGATGTCCTGGTCTGTTCCTGCTCGGCGGAAAACAATTCCTACCTAACTTTGAGATGACCCCCAATCCAGACGATCACGGCAATGTGACGAACGATGGTGCTGGTGCATCCGTCCTTCCGACCGCGATCGATGGTAAACCCCTCGAATGGTACAACCAAGACGATATCACTAATCCCGTCGGTGAGTTTCATTCAAGTGGGATACCTGTGGATGTAGGCTTAGAAATGAGACTAGAAGAGATCCCTTTCGTCGACCCGGAAATCCAGAAGAAGATCAATGCGTCTCTGGATGGTTTCGTCCTTCGCAAGTTCCAAATTGGTTAGCGGCCCGTTCTTTCTTAAGGTTTTGAAGTAGGGTTTAATCGCACACGATCTAGGTACTTTCTACCGCCCAGATAATACAGGACCCTGGGATCGTCCTCCGGACTTTTCTATAGAATGGGAGATGGACGTTGTGCAGCAAAGCATGCCGCGGATCAAATTTGAGAGCTATTACAAGCTGATGCGAATCGAGGTATTGGATTAATAATGCGACCTATCCTTGGTATTGTTCTTACATCATTGCAGATAGAGGACCCCTTGACGCGCTACAGTATCGTGATGAAATACCACAATATAGCCGAAATATCAATGCCTTGCGACACCCGTGAACCCTGTCAGTTATTTCCCCTACACTGGATTGGTAACTGACTATCGACTATAATAGATATTTGCTTTCATTTGTTGACACCTCCCGTGTTTCAGAAGGAGGAAATGCATCTCCCCCAGACTGGAAATTATAACAAGAACTATCTCCGGCGTGTAGGCGAATTGTGCGCTAGCCACGGCGCCATTGCTCCTTATGCCCATCATATTCGCATCGTTCTACCTGACGACCATTGCGAGCGTGACGTCCTCGACAGGTTTTACGACTCATGTGTTGTGGCCGGCATCGATCCTCTAATCCGACGTGTTTCGATAAATGCAAGGAACGAAGAGTTCTTCAACGGTGCCAATCTCAACTGCGTAGACGGGTGGTTCGAAGTGTTTCACGACAACTGGCGAGTTGCTTTCCAGATTGAGGCGCTTTTGCGCAATGGTATCGCCCATACACGTGACGTGCTAAAACTTATGCCCCGCATCGACTGGCTCGTCAGCCACCACGAAAGTGTTGCAGGTGAACTGATGCGTTACTTCACAGAGGCTGCAGCTCGTCGATCTGCGGTGCAACCCCTGCAGAAGTGTTTCGAAGCAATTCTGCAGAGGCAGCTCCGTCACCGACGATTAACTGCTCCAGTCGGACGTTTTTTCTGTCATCGTGTGACATTCACACCAACTCGACTTCTATTAGAAGGACCGAATGTCACTCAGTCCAACAGGGTCACACGGGAATTTAAAGGTTACGAAGACTACTTCCTTCGAGTCTCTTTCCGTGACGAAGACCGTCAACAATTCAAGTGTGCTCGAGACGCCAACAGTGAGAATTTTGTGCGGGAGCGGATAGGAAAATTATTGAAGGAGGGATTTGAGCTTGCGGGAAGACATTTCAAATTTTTGGCATATTCCTCCTCTGCTCTCAGGACTCACGCGTTTTGGTTCATGAGCCGCTTTTGGCACCCCGACAAAGGATGGGTGACAGCAGAGCGCATACGCGGTGGTCTCGGAAACTTTGAAGCAGTCATTTATTCTCCGTCGAAGTATGGTGCACGTATCGGGGTGAGTTAGGGATGCAGAACTTGATGCTGTTGCTGACAACTATCCAGCAAGCCTTCACTGCAACTGACCCTTCTGTCGAACTTCACAAGTCCCAGTGGAGCGAAATGTCCGACATTCAACAGAACGGCATCGTGTTCACAGATGGGATTGGAACAATATCTCAAGAATTGGCCGCTTTGATATGGCAAGCTTTGTGCGAAAATTATTCGGATGGTGGGGCAAATGCTGTTCAGCCTACTGCGGTATGTCACAGAAAAGAGTCTATTCGTCGTTCAGAGGCTCACTGTATTCCCTTGACCGGAACACCAATTTATAGTACCAGATTCGTTTTCTTGGCTATAAAGGAATGGTGGTTGTGGATCCCTTCCTAGAAGGGATACATATGCGTCTGCGGAAATCAATGAGAAAATTCGATGTCCAGGGAAAAGACTACGCAGAAATAGAGATCGCCTCTGCATTCACAGAACCAAAGCCGGTCCACTTGAATAGGTAAACCAAATATTTTTGGTACGTTTTGACACTCACCAATGGATAGGCCACTTGTCATGGTACTTGAGGATCGCGGTGTCCCCATACAAGCTTTCCTGGAACTTCAAGAGAAAGTAGTGTCGAACACACATGGAGCTGATGGATCGATGCTAATGTTTACCAACTTGCTGAAGAGGTATAACCTTGGCGAGGATTTCTGGGTTCCAGATATTCTCAGAAGGCTGAAGACTTTAGGGTTCGAACTGAATCCAGATCATGCGCAAAAGCAGCTGGATAGCCCCTTTCTTGTTCGTCTTCGTTCTGCCGCAATCAACCATGTTGTGCGTGGCATCAAGTATCGCGCCCGCATTCCTATTCCGGAAAGCTACATGCTTCCTGGCGTTGCAGATGAAGGACCAGCGTTTGTCGCTGTGGGATACAATAACATATACTGCCTTCCAGAGGGAAAGATTTTTGGTAAGCTAACGAGTGCACTTCCAACACCACCACCGATAGAATGTCGTCACCAGCGTGTATACAAAATCCCGGCGACAAGGAACCTACGTGGATCAGCGGCGCGTGCCTCGTCTATAGGAGCCCGGTCGTACACCCAGGCGACGGTAAGCACTTCTGCCAAATCTATGACATGTACATTTAAGCTGTTCCACAGTGCAGCGTGTGGAAGCCATCGGAAAACCTCCCAAAAACTGCCTATTTGCCAAGCTTAAAAATGTCGTGGTCTTCCCTGCACAAGGTGCTGAGCGGGACATACCTTCTTTTGCCATACTAATTACCTTGCAGGGACTCGGTCATTACCGAACTCACTGGCAGGCGGCGATCTGGACGGGTAAGCTCATTAGGGAGCCGTTATGCAGAGACCCACCGATTTTTTTCGCAGTGATATGTATGAAGTGGTACAGTACGAGCCATTTCTGGATCTAAAACCTCATGAACCGGCTACATACCCTCCTGCGAAACCACGTACACTCGACAGGCCAAGCACCGTAGATGACGTCTGCGATTTCATTGTCGAGTATATTAACTCTGATGCCGTGGTATGGATTTCTACCAAGCTGTCTGTCTGTCGCTTTGCTGATCCTAATCCTCAGGGCCTAGTCTCCGACAAACATATAACAATAGCAGGCAAGTAATATTTCAGCCATCTTGCTAAGCCTCACTTCGTTAACGTGACTATTAGATGAGTCGAAAGTAAGCCTACACAATGTTGCCTTGAAGTAGTGTTTAAGAGCTGTCAAGGATGGAACTTTGGATCCCACCTGCCTCAAACTTGCGGAGCTACACAGTCAGGCTGTCGACTATGCCAAGAACGGTCGCAAAGTCAGCGTTGATGACTTGCCAAGGACGCCATATCCCTTGCCGGACTGGCATGAATCGGAACAGCCCGACCAACCTAAGAATCTCAAAGCAAGTTATTACGAATCTTCTAGGGCTTTGGGGTACATGTACCGCAACATCAAGCTCGAAAAACTACCCGATGACAGATGCCGCCACATGCAGTCCTGTTGGAACGATGCTATATCAAATGTGCTCCAACCACTCGTGCAACGCAAACTGTCGGACTATAGGGCTTCTACAGACCAATCCTGGGTAAAGATAGTAGACTCGGTGTACGCCATATATCGGGAAGAGCTCATATACATATCCACCACACACTCGCTTTCCAAGACCGCGCTGACTGAAGAAGAGCTGGTACTTGGAACAATTATGGCCTGCTCAGGCTCTAGCGAAGGATACAAGAAAGAACCACTACGTGCGATGAATGAGAGTTTGTCGTTCCTCCTTCGTGTTACGAGGGAAGGCCTTGTTGGGGAGTTACACAAAGGCCCGGTGGAAAAACTACGTGGGCAACTGGCACGCGCATGGGAGTCTTGGAATGCGTGGATCTATACCCCGCACTTCCAGAGGGTTTCCAGCGAGTCTGGCTCCGAGCAATTCGGATCGCACAGCTTCGGTTTGATAGTGCTCGGGCTTGTTCTGGATTGTTTGGCGAGGATGGGCGGCTTACCTCTATGACAGATTTACATTGAACACTCAGTGTATGAACGACGACGATCGAGCTTTGTACTGTATTCCCTCATCTTGCTGTTGTAGTACCACTCACAGCTTGTTACTGAATCATTGTACGAAAATCCCGCCATCGGATTATATCCCATTTTCTGCTGTTACTAATCTCATCTTCGACTTGATGGTACGGCAGACCCAGGCAACCAGGTGCGACGTGAAAAAGCAATAGTAAACTGTCCCTGAATAACGGTGAGCAGCGTTGCACTAGAACATGGCCGGCGCCGCCGGCAGGCACCTTGTTTACCACGCCGGAGCGCTGCCCTCGCAGCACGCACCACCGTCGAAAGAGATGTACAACCAATTGATTCATGTACCCATAGCACGGCCCACACGCATGATGACATAGTACACATACTTTACACGCTCACGACAGCTGTCAACCTCACGCCTATGCAGTCCCTTCACTTCCGAGGAATTGACGTCCGAGCAGCTCACGTCTATGCTGGATCAGCAACCAGCCCACAGCGGACAAGTAGCAGAGACTCACGAATCGCCCTCGATCAGAAAACACTGACCACGGACAAAGGGATACATGCTTCTGCATACACCCCCCAAAAGTCAGATCATGTCAATGAAACCCAAGCTCTCGAAAACCTCTGCAGCCGAAAGTGACATGCCACGCATTTTGCTGATATTAACCCACAGCCCATGGCGGTCAGTAATCGAGCGAGGCATCGATCTACAAAGTCCAGACTCCCCATGGATATTGCGGCAAGCTACCAAAAGAAATTCACGCGCCGCATACTTTTCGAGGGCGCACATTGTGTCGAAGCCGAACAACTTGAAGTATCAAGGCCCAGCATTCACCATCGACATTAGGGAATCCGCGCTTCCGACCCTGAGATATCCGCAAATCCATCCAAAGGTACCCTCATCCACCAAAAACCGAACAGTACCGTGAGTTCTGCAGCGACGACGACAGAAAGGGTACCATTTGGAAGCTCTCGAATAGTAGCATCAGGCTCCAGAAAAGCGAGAGATCCAGTCAAGAAATGGGCGAGACACTCGAAGAGTCGTCCTAAAGTGTCTCTAACGATAAAACGGAGAGCATCTCCGCAACGGCAGCAGCGAGCGCAATGTATGATACACCATCAGAAAGCCATCGATGAGTAGTACAAAGTCCCTGAAAAGCGAAAGGTCCGGCGGTGAAAGGGGCAAGTTATCGCGCATACAACATTGTTGACTGAAAAGGGAAAACTGCAGACTAATGACGGATGCTCAGAACGCGGCAAAACTGCTAGTGACGATGGAGGGGAACGTAACGAATACGCCGAAAAAGAAACAGAGGGAATCTGTGCATGCGGGCCCGAGATATTCACAAGGTTGTCAGAAAGTGCCTCTAACCACGAAAACAGGCGTATCTCGACAACGGCCGCACGGAACTTGACAAAAGAGGCATCCCCAGAAAGGGCTATGCAAGGGGGATGGACTGCCGGAAACGCGAGAGGAACGGCGCTCGGATGCGCAAGATATGACGAGAGAACCTCAAGAGCGGGGAGGAGAGCGGTTCGCACGGCAATGGCAGGGACGATCAACACAAAACTCCGGGAGGTGATAGAGAACTCCTAGACGAACATGGAGAAGAAGGAACTACGCCAACTGGGCTACCCGATCTTGGGTTATTCGCAGAACTGTCTTGAAGCCCTCCAAACATGAAAACGGGAATATCTCCTGAACGGCTGGGTGCATGCAAACGGGCTTGGTACCGAAAGAGAGCTGTTGTCGACTAGTGTGAGCCTGCCAAAAGTGAGAGGCACAGCGCGAAAACGAGCGAAACACGCGAAACGGTACCCTAGGGGGGGAGAGAAGATGCCCTCGATCGACGAGGACCGAGGCGATCGACGCAGACCTCTAGAACACAGCAGGGGGCTCCTAGGCGATTACGTTGAAAGAGGAACCGCCACGATCGGGACACCCGATCCCGACTTATGCGTGAAATTGCAACCCTGCCCTCCAAGCAAGAGAACGGTCATATCTTCACAACGGCTAAGGGGAACTGGACAAACGAAGCATCCCTGGAAAGGGATCAGCGAGGGGGACCCGTGACCGGAAAAACGAGAGAAACGGCGCAGAATCGCGCGAGATACACCAGAAGACTTCGTGCGCACAAAATGTGGAATAACTCCGGAACCGCTGAGCGTGCCAAGACGTTCTTGTGATCTTTAGAAGCTCTCTCCGAGTAGTATCAGCCTGCGGAAAAGCGAGAGGGGCGGCGGAGGAACGAGCGAGATACAACCAAAAGACCTCACATGCACAAAAT